TGCCGGCCGCACCAACAGGGTGACAGTCACAGGCTGAGAGCAGAGGTGGGGAAGGCCTGCTGAGGAGCCCCCTGGGGTCCTGGCCCAGCAGGGGTGCTGGGGGAAGGGGGCAGGCTCACCTCTGCAAGCCCGCCGGTCACTCAAGGCCCGGCCAGGGTCGCGGTAGAAGCCCTCGCGGCAGTAATGGCAGTGGCGGCCCGCAGTGTTGTGCCGGCAGTTGAGGCAGACGCCCCCGCTGCGGCGGCCCGAGAGTCGGTACAGCTCCATGTTGAAGCGGCAGCGGCGGGCATGACCGTTGCAGGAGCAAGCTGCGGGAAGGTATGGGTCAGGGGCCAGCGGGCCCCGGCTGGGGTCCCCAGGCCTCCCTCCAAGGCCTCACCGAGGCAGGCGTGGGCTTCCCGGGATGTAGCCCGCTGCCACGGCCTGTCGTAGTAGAAGGGCTTGCAGCGGCCACAGTCAGGCCCCTCTGTGCCGTGCCGACAGTCGCAGAGCAGCTGGCCCTGGGTGTCCAACAGGCACCGTGAGGCGTGCCCATTGCACTTGCAGCGCCCGCCCACCTGCAGCTCAGTGGCCGAATAGGAGTAAGGGGCGGTGGTCTCTGGCTCCGAGGTGGCTCCCGGCCCTGCAGGCCTGGTGAGCACGAGGCGGATGTCGGTGGCGGTCACCCAGTCTTGGAGCACTGGGCTGCTGTCCAGTTCCAGGCCTGGCGGGCTGCCATCTTGCACACTGAAGGCCAGGAGGCCACCCCCGTCCGGCTGCACCTGGGGGGCAGGGAAGCACAGGGCTTCTGGCCCGGGGCCAGCCGGGCTCTGGGCAGAGGCCGGTGGCCGGCCATAGTCCAGCCCACAGTGGGAAGAGAAGAAGCCCAGAGGCGCCCAGCTGCGGCCGTGGTCCTGCGACTTGAGAAGAGCCAGAGAGGCAGGTGGAGCGGAGCAGAAGCGTAGGCTCACGAAGACCAGCTCAAAAGCCTTGCCCAGGGGCACTGTGAGGCTCACGTTGAAGGGAGCCTGGGACAAGGAGTCCGAGCGCCAGCACGTAGGGCCTGCGGGGGCCCCCGGCGTGGTCAGGAGCGTCGCGGGGTGCGCCCGCCGCGGGTCCGAGGCGTCGCAGGCCCGAGTGGCCGGCTGCCCGCACGTGCTGGACGCCAGCACCTCGCGGCCCAAGGCTGCGTTCACCAGGCCCGGCACACACCCTCGGGGCGCACCCCCCTCGTCGTGGCAGGGGTCGGCAGGCGCCAGCGGCCCCGAGCCCAGCGCGATGGAGAGGGTGCCCACCGTGAGCAGCAGCCCCCAGGGCCAGCCGGGCATGGCCGGAGCCGCCGCGGGTCAGCCAGGTACGTCGCCCTCGGGGAGGAAAAAGCGCAGCGTGCTGGCTTCGCCGTGCCCAGTGAGCAGAGCCCCCCAAGCGGCCCCAGGCCGAGCCCGGAGGAGGGAGCGGCGGCGGGCGCGCCCCGGGCCGAGTGCAGCCGCGGGACGTTGGCGCGTCCTCCCCCTGGGCCTGGAGCGGTGACAGGCGACGCACCCGCTCCCGGTGCCTCCGCCTGCAGAGGCCCCACCCGCCGCCGTCCCCTCGCACTCACCCTCCGAGGGCCGGCCCAAGCGGGTCTCCCGGCCTCCCGGGAAGGGCCGTGGGCGGGCGGGGCCTGGGGTGCCCAGGACCGCCGCCTCCTCCCGGCTGCAGCGAGGGCGCGCGAGCTATGCCAAGAGGGGGTGGGGGGCGCAGCAGGAGTAAGCCTGGGCCCAGCCGGGGGCGGGGCTGCTCGGGCGGGTAGGAGGGAGAAGAGGGGAGGGGGGCCTCGTCCGCACAGCCGGAATCAGAAGCAGATTCAGAGTCGGGCTGGGGCCTGCGGGGGGAGGGGGGCTGGGAGGCCCCGGGGCCGAAGGAGGGGCCGCGGGGCGCTAGGAATGCGTTGGCGGGAGGGGTCTGGGGAGGGGCGGCTCAGCTCCTGCGGCTGGTGGAGGACCACCCAGCGGGGTCTGTTGCCCGAGCCAGGCCTGCACTGCTCTTGGGGCTCTGCCACGTGCTGGGCCTGGATCCGGTGGTCTTCTGCTGGACGCTCAGCAGGCAGCCAGCCCGGGACCTGCAGGCTGGGACCCTGGATTCTTTCCCTGCCGGCGAGGTGTCTCCAGGGCAGCCAGCAGCCAGCTGCAGCGGACCAGCCGAATCCCTCCCCAGGTCTGTGTGCTGAGGGAATGGCCTGGTTCCTGGGGGTGTTACGAGGAGGCCCCACCTGGGAGCCGGACACCGTGGAGTCTTCTTCCCCACTGGCTTCTCCCCGGGAGATGTCAGGTCAAACTTTTTGAAAACATATTTAACTAATTTGGATGGCAGAGAAAGCTGGTTCATCTTCCATGACAACAGGCAGGATTGGGCTAGGAGACTGGAGCTCCGTCAGTCTCCCACGCAGGTGGCAGAAGCTCAAGCTGTCTTCTCTGGGAAGCTGGCTGAGAAGTAGAGCAGCCAGGGCTTCACTGGCATTTGGCTTAGGGACGCTTGGTCCCGAGGTCAGCCTCTTACCTCTAAGTATATCAGGCCTCTGGGCATCTGTTCCCGGCGGACTCTGAGCCCAGGTCTTGGCATGTCCTTGTGGATCAACCCGTTGGGCCCAGCAGCTGGGGCAGGCAGGAAGGGAATGGAAAGGGGGGGGCGACACAGCACACTAGGTCGCCCTTGGGCTTACAGGGCTTGCCCTGCTGCGGAGGACTTTTGTGGAAGGGAGGGCCTGTGGTTTGATCTGTGGGAAGAGGCGGGCTACAGGTGGCTCCTGCCAGCAGGCATGTACAAGGAAAGTGAGGCAGAAGTCCAGTTGGGGGCCTGGGGTGACCTGGGAGTTGCTCTAGCCAAGAGGGACCAGAGAAAGCTCTGGATGTTGACAGCCAGTGCCTGACTCTCACTGACAGAGAGGCACACATCCAAGAGAGGGCTTGGGGTGGCAACCCTGGGCAGAAGGGCCAGGGCAGCCCAGAGGCTGCACGCTCTGTTTTGGCCCCCAGGCCGAGAGCTGGCTCAGGCCTCATGGGCAGGTCCATGCAGGCAGTGCTGCCAACCTGGATGGGGCCACAGATGCTGCAAGGACTGGTAGGAAGATGGAAGAGGCCAGGAGACAGAGGAGGGAACGGAGGCCAACTGGGCCAGCAGGAACAGCTGCGTGTGGGGCTCCCCCTTCAGCCAGGCTCGGGGTCGGTAGAAAAGAGTGACAACCACAAACACTGAGCCCAGAGCCCAGTCCCTCAGCTTCGTGGTGACCCAAATGGACGAGGGACCTGGCACAGGGCTGGGGGTGAGGCCAAGTCCAGAAACTGCCTTGCCAGGATGTGATGAGTTCTGGGAGGGGAGTGAGGTGGCTGAGAGTGGTTATTCTGGGATCCTGGAGAGAAGCCTGATGTATGATGTAGCTCTGGGTGTTCACTGGGCCTGAGACCAAGTCCAGGCTGCCAGCCCTGCAGGCTGTCGGGGTGCCTCCTCCACCTTGGTCCTTGGGAGTGGGTTTTGTGGCCCAGCTTCCCCATGAGCTGGGGTCTACTGAACATGAGGGGTGGGCAGAAGCAAGCACCTGGGGCTCAGTCCTACTTGGGGTCAGCTGGTAGGGGTCTCCATCCACTGCTCTCCAGGGAGGAGTCTGTGGCAGGAGCACTCTACTGCACACATTAGCCACGGGTCCCTATTGTTGGTCTCCAGATGGCGTGATGGGAGTTGGGGAGATCCTTCTCCACAGCCTCAGGCAAGGCCCCCTATCCCCAGGGAGCTCAGCCACCTGTGCCCAGTCCCGGACTGGCGGCCTCTCGCCCCTCCCACAGTTGTGGCACCTTGGGAAACAAAGAGGCTGCACCTCCCCACCCTCCCCCAACCGCCTGTTCCAGGGGGTGGGGAACCCAGAGTCATCTGCTGGTCTTTCAGGGATAGGGGAGCCAGAGGTTTTCCCCCTAAAAGCAGGGGCTCATAAATAATTCCCAGCCCAGCCCAGGACCTAGTGTCACCTGGAGACACTGGCAAGCCACCACTTGTTCATATGCTGCATTTATTGGGGCCTGCTGTGCTTTGAGGGGCTTCCAAATCAGTGTGGGAGGTGGACAGCTGGGGGGGCAGGGGACATAGCAAGCTTGCACCTCACCACTGGGGTGGTCACACAAGTCCAAGTCCCATCGCTGCACCTCCCTCAGTTCCCTGTCCTCCAGGCAGGCGGGGCACACAGGCTCCCTCCCATCTCTGCAGTCGTGACCAGCTCCTCACGCCAAAGGAACTCTGGGTGGGTGACGGGAGGGGGAGGCAAAGGCTGCTAGCACTGTCTGTTAAGGACAGGGGGATAAAATAGTTTAGGGCGGAGGCTTCCAGGACGGGTGTGCACCAGGCCTGCCAAGTCGTAGTGGGATGATGCCCTGTTGTTGGGAGGGGGCTTCGTGCCCGCGGGCTCAGGGCATCTCCAGCTCCCGCCGGCCGCCACCCCCCTCCCTCCGCCTGCGCCACCTCCGAGTGTGCCAGCACAGGCAGGCGGCGATCAGGAGCCCCAGGCCTCCGCCCAGTGCAGCCAGCGATGCGCTCTGGGCCAAGTCCAGGAGGGGTCCGCGCAGCGAGAAGGTGATGGCTGTGGCAGCTGCCCCAGCCAGCGTAGCCAGGGCGCCGAACGGCAGGACACAGCAAGGCCAGGAGCTCCCTGCGCCGCCGGTAGCCAGGAGCAGTGTGCGCAGGGTGCCCAGTGGCTCTGGGGGTATGCGTCCTGGCGGGGACGGCACAGGGTCCGAGGTGGCCTCCTCGGCCTGCGACCCGGGTGTGCTCATGCCGCTGCCGCTGAGTTCCGGTCGGGGTGGATGCCCACTGAAGCCCCTGCTCACGTCCACACCCGCGAAGTCACAGCCGATTGGCTCAAGACGCGGTGACGCAGGGGTTGGCTTGCCCCCTTCCTGACCCGGGGGACGGCCATCTGAATGGGTGTGAATTTGCACGGGAGTGTTCACAAATGGGAACCTATTTGGAATCCCCCTCTCCACCCCAGCAGGCTGTTGTGTCTGCAGGAACGTGAGGGGCGGCTGACTTCCGGTAGGGGTGGAAGGCAGAAAAGCAGGTGGACCAGCTGCAGCGGTCCTGGGCAGCCGGTCTGCTGTGGAAGCACAACCGAGTGGCGGGAGGTTTTCCCCAGGGAAAGCTGGACATGAGCTCTGGCTGCGGTGAAGGGAGGACCAGGAGGGTGTAGCTGGCCTGTGCTGGGAACGCATACGATGTGGTCCCAGGACCCACATCACTTTCATGACAAAGTTTAGTTTTATGTCCCAATTTGGTTCTGTTAGTATGGATCCCAGCAACCCTTATCAGAGCGCCGTAACCGTGTGCTGGGGCTGGGTAACTACCCCAAGCTGCACCATGCCATGCTGCTTTCCAGGGGTCACCGACCTCCTGCCTGGACACAGCTCTGAGGAATGCTGGCAATGCGGCAAGGCGGTCAGTACTTGTTCCCTGAAGCCCCAGCCCGCAGGCCAAGCACTGCCCTCGGTGGGGACATCTGGGCAATGCAGTTTCACATTCTGCTACAGGTGGCTGCTGGAGCCTTCTTGCCTTCGCAGGGAAGTGACACCTGCTTTGCCCAGGACAGGTGGAAGTGGGAAGAGAGCAGCCGTGCAGGAAAACCCGGACAGGCCCGTCCTTCCTGGGAAGGGCTCAGCGTGTTGGAGCAGATGTCCCCCTGGAGTGGCCTGGCCTTTAGGCTTCTACAGAACGGATATTCACATTGTTGATGACACTTGGTGATTGACAAAGCAAACAAACAAATCCCACTAAGCCTAGATCTGTGGTGGGTTTAAATTATATTTAAAGTCACACAAGGAACGTGGGTACCAAGGCTCCCCAAGGTCTTGGGCACATTCAGGAAGCAGCCCAGACCCCACGTGAGGGAGACCCTCCGTCACCACTGAGGGGCTTCATGTGTGGAAGACACCCTGGAGGCCCCGGGCTGTGCCCCGCTGGGAGGGAACTTGCTTCTGTGCCCAGGCCTCAGTCAGCAGGGCCGTCCACTGGGTCATCTCGCAGGATGGTGAGGAAGTGTTCGCCGCTCTCGCAGAGCAGGCTATGCAGGGCGCGGCACAGGCCCAGCCTGGGTGGTTCCTGGGAATCCACTAGCGGGAGCAGTTCTGCCATCAGGACCTGGGTGGGGGGCAGTGAGGCTTCAGGGGTCCTGTTCTGAGCAACTAAGCTGGGGCTCCTGACTGGTGGCTGAGGGGCAGGGTTCCAGCTGCCCATGCTCCAGCATCGCCTAGGGTACCTGCAGCCCCAGGCCCAGGGGGATGGGACAGGCTCTCCAGTCCAGGCCACACCCGGGCTGGGACTACCATTTCCCCACTCCCTACTGCAGCCCCACGGAAGGGGGACAGCCACAGTCCAGCGCATTGGCTGTTGCTTGCCCAGGCACCCGCTGTGCTGCAAGTACCTTCTGTAAGTGGATCTGCTGGTCCAGCATGGCCACCCGTAGGCTGCGGGCCGCCAGGGTCTGCAGTTCCTGGGTGCCAGAGTAGAGGAGAAGCTGGGGGTGCCCGGCAGGGCCTGCTCTGTCTTCATGGGGTACAGAGGGCTGGTGGTGCCATCTTGCAGGGTGTGGTCCTGGGGGTTGTTCCAGCACTGCTGAGAGGGCAGAGGAAGCACCCTGCCCAAGGCCCAGCCCTGGCTCTGCTGTGGGACCTCCCTTTAGGACTTCTTTGGGAACTGGCTCAGTCCTTCGCTCTCTAAGCTGCAAACCCTGGTCCTTGTCACTCACGAGGGAGACTCCTGACTGCTGGCTCTGGCCTGGCCCTTGCAGACATTTGGAGAATGAAGCCATGAATGGGAGCTCTCTAGGAGTCTCTGTCACTCTGCCTTCCAGGTAAATAAAGAGATGAGTCTTTGAAAAACAAAACCTCAAAGCGACTAAAAATCACAAAGGGTAGGAGCTGCTGGTCTGCAGACGGCCGATCCAGGTAACACGGGGCAAGTCACCTGCCAGCACATGACTCACATGGATGCAACGCCACCAGGGGTGGACAGATCAGTGCACTCAACAAAGATGGCATTTGTCCCAAGACATGGGGATAGAGGGCAGCTGGCTGGCCCCAAGGGACAACTGGAGAAGCCAGTGCACTGTGAAGCTGGCACCGTTACAGCCTGCCTGCCTCTGGTCTTCAGGCTGCTGGCCTTTCCATAGGGCTTGGGCAACACTGCCCAACGCATCCCGACAAGGGTGTGGACCTCAGCCAGGGGGCAGGGTAGGGCCTCACCTGCTCGCAGCTCCTGTAGCCTCCGCAGACACTGGCCCACCATGGCCTGCAGCCCCTCCAGGGTGAGCAGGCAGTGGTACTCTTGCATCCAGTCGGTGGGCACTGTGTGCAGGGCAGGGAGGGCAGGCTGGGTCTCGGGAAGCCCTGACCCCCTTCCTGCAAGCACCCCTCCAGTGCTCACCAGTCCCTCCCTGACCTGTGGCGAGCGCCTCCTGCATGTGCAGTCTCATCACTGAACAGGCCTTCCGCAGACAGCGCAAATGCAGCTGCACCTCGGCATCACTGAGCCCCGGGCTGGGCCAGCCAGACTGGACACAGGTCAAGGAAACCTCTGTGGCCAGGTTCTGCCCCTGCCATGCCCAAGACTGGAGAGTGACCCTTCAAACCTGCAAAGTTTAGAGCCAGAAGCCGGCCACGGCTCCCGTGGGCCTGCAAGGATACAGCCACCTGCAGCTTCTGCAGGAAGTGGGCTTTGGCCGCCGCTGCAGCAGCACCATCCAAGGAGTCACTGGTCTGCACAGAGCTGAGCTGGGCCCACAGGCTGGGACACACACACCAGGAACCACAGAGGGTCAGGTTATTCTAGCCCACTGGGCCGAACCTTGCCTGGAAGTCGGCCAGGGCCAGGGGAGGGGAACTCAGGCTGAGTGCTCGCCTGCAGGAGGGGCATCCAGAGGTCTCGGGGCACCAACAGGACACTGGACCAGGACCAGGGGCAGAACCGTCCTGCTATGGGAAACTCTAAGGGGATGTGTGGGAGGAAAGAAGGCCCACTCATGACTGACAATTGTGTCTGTCCTTGGGAGACTGTGTGTAAAAATCCACGTATGACGTCAACGCAACTCAGGTGGCCGTCACCTCCAGAGAGGGCCTGGTAGTCTGCGAGTGGCAGAGCTGGGGGCCCGCCATGCCCGCCCACTCCTAGCAGGCAGACCAGCAGGGGACCTCCTAGAAAGTCAGGCCTGCCTGCTCCCGCTCGGGTGGCACTCCTGTGGCTTTCTCTCCACCCCAGCTCAGGGAAAGACCCAGGCTCACCGGAAGTTCTGGGAAATTGCCTTCCTGAGGGCCGCAGGCAAATGCAACAGCCTCCTGTCACAAAAACCGGGGTTCAGGGTGGCCCTGGGGGACCACAGAGCCCAGTGCCGAGATGAGGCCGCTGGTGCTGTTCCCATCCCAGATCCTGGTCTGCTCGGTGTGGTGGCTGCAGGCAGCTGCTCCTTCCTGCCAGTTGGGTGTGCCCGAGGGTCTCATGGCCCACCTCCAGTTTCACGGCCGCTCTCCCTGGCACCCTAATCCTCTGCCTGCTGGGGCCAGCCAGGGCCGGGGCAGCTAAACACAGAAGGCAGTTTGTCCAGTGAGGGTCTGGGAGACTTACCCGTGCTCCTCGAGTGTGAAGGCTGCTAAGGCCTGAGCAGCACTGAACGGGGCTGCCTGCTGGTCTTCAAGGCTGTGTCCAGGCTTGGCAGGTAGGACCCCATCCCTTCCGCCTGGCGAAGGCCTGTGCTCAGGGCCGTCCTTGGCAGGCGCTGCGGCCTGGCGAATGCCCTTGGTGGGTCCTGGCCCTGACGGATGCAGGCCCCCTTGGCTGGACGCTGAGGCTGTGGTCCTGAGCGAGGCAGCAGCGGAGGACCCAGGCTGCCAGCCAGCGGCCTTCTTATCTCTTGCTGCGGCCCTAGAGACACTTTCACGCACCCGCACAGCCTTCTCCAGGGCCTGCGTCAGAAGTTCCAGCTCTTGCAGGTCTTGGGGGATGGGGGTGCACACTGTGGAAAAGAACCACGGCAGGCAGTGTCCCTCTTCTCTGGCCACTGGGAGAGACAGGCCTGGGGTGGCATGCGGAGAAGATGGGTGGCTGAGTTACCTAGAGTCGGGTCCTCCTCTTTGGTTTCTGGTCCGGGAGGAAGCTCTGGAGCCAAGGTCTTGGCTGGTTCCCTGCAAAGATGTGGGAAAGCCCAGCGTGGCCAGGAGGCAGGGCCCTGGGTGCCCTAGAGCGCTGGCTCGGGCAGCCCACCCGTCTCAGAGCCTGCGAGTTTGCAGAGCTCAATTCCCAAGGGGTCCCGGGACCTGCGTACCAGGCTCGCAGGAGCCGTCGGCAGACGCCAAGGTTCCGCTCCAGCTGCTGCTGTCTCTCGGCGCAGGCGTCCAGCGCGCCCTGCAGCTCGGCCAGCAGGCTGCGGGGTGGGGGGACAGCGACGGCTCAGCAGCCGGCCGGCCCGCGCCCTCCCGTCCCCCCGGCCCCCGCGCGCGGGCCTCACCGGCGGGAGCACTCAGCCGGCAGCATGGAGGCAGGAACCGCTCCGCGAGTTCGCTGTACTTTGGCGCCGCCGCCAGGCACCGCCCCTTCCGGGATTGAGGCCCGCCCCCCCGGTCAGGCCACCCAATCCGAGGCCGCGCTCACGGCCCCGCCCCCGAAGGGCAGCTGCGGGAGGCGACCCCCGGAGCAGGCCTGGCCAGCGGGAAAGCAGGGATGGATGCTGGGCAGGGGGTTGCAGCGGCACGGGGCCTGCTCTGGGGGTGGACCATCGCTGAGCGCAGCTGAGAGGCTACTGGGACACAGTGGTGAGCAGGAACATCACTGGAAGAGAAAGCAGCAGGGCCCAGGGAAACTGGACAAACTGATGGACAATTCGGTCAGACCCCAAGGCAGCCAGGAAGGCAGTAGGGGTGTGGGGCCCTGCCAAGGGGAAGGTCAGGAAGGTGTTTCAGGGGACCCCTGTCTGTGAAATGGGTTTGGGGAGTGTGCCCTCAGCCACAGCAGAGGCAGGAGACCCCACATGAGTCAGGCACCTCCAGGGTGCCCCCCCCAGTGGCCACAAGGGACACACACAGAGCCTGGCAACAGTCCTTGTCACATTTAATCCTCACAACAACCCTGTGAGGTAGGAATCTCTGGCCCCTGTGCAGACAGGAAGCAGGTTCACACACGTCCAGGGGGCAGTCAGGGTGGGCGGCCAGGGCCCTGTGGACAAGGGGGGCACCACAGAATCAACCCTGCCTTCTGGCTCAGAGCGTTCAGGGCGCGCTGCTGGCCGAGTGGAGAGGCTGCAGGATGGCCCAGGCCGGATGAGAAGTGGACAGGCTGCCCGGGCACATGGCCGGCCCTGGGCAGCCGACCTGCCTCAGTGGCAGCAAAACCGCAGCCATCAGCAGTCGGACTTCTGCTACCTCAGACCCCTCAGCTGCCTTTACAGTCCTATGTCTGGCTAAAGCCTGTTGGACCCAGAGTGTGAAGATGGCACGGGGATGGGTTTTTGTTTCTCAGTTGAGCCTAAACAACATTGGTGATCTTTTCTGTTTTCATCTTGGAAGAGTAAGGAAGCATAGAAATAAGAATTGGAAACATTGGTCCAGGAATTCAGTGCGCAAAAAAAAAAAAAAAAAAAAAAAGAGTTTCCTGTGGACACCTTGGGGAGCACACATCCTTCTGTGGGGCGGACAAGACAAGTTCTAAAACATGGGCTGAGGCACAGGAAGGAGGACCTGGGGCTGTCTTCAGGACCCCAGAGACTGTCATGGTCCGGCCCACAGCAGCCCTTAAACCAAGCAGCTGCAGCAGGGGGGGGTGCGCGACTGCTAGGGGTCTGCACTTTGCAGGTAATGAGCTCCAGCTTTCCACGCTGACACCTGCCTGACTGGTCACCCGGGGCTGGACCCCGTGCCTCACAGGCCACCTGCTCTGCTCCTGGTGCTGGCCCTGGGGCTCCAGCCTCCGCCTGCCGCTCTTGGCAGCCCTCCCTCAGCAGACAGGCATGGCGGCAGACACATTGGCATTTCACAGCTTCAGGAAGCTCAAGTTCATGTCCTCTTCCTCCTCCTCGGCCCCATCGTGTGCTGACAGGTTCTTCCGCTTCACCTGTGGCCTGGGAACACTGCTGTCTGGGGAGCTTAGGGGCCGACACTCCAGACATGACTTCCTGGCCTGATGGTGGCAAGGCTGTGTGTGGGAGGTGCTGCCTGTGGCTGGCACTGAGGTAGAGTGGGGAGGGCCCCCTGAGCCACTGTCCACTGAGCCAGAGGGACTTGCACTGCTGACAGAGGAGTATCCTGAGGTTGTGATGTCCTTGGCCAGCACGGTCCTGCTGTGGCTGGCAGGCTCAGGTCCCGGTGACCGGCGGTCCGTGCTGCTTGAACAGTCCTCGTCGTCGCTGGACTCCTGGCAGCAGTGCTGCTCGGGGTTCAGATACACGACCGTGACATCGAAGACACCACTGGGAGCTGTCACTGCAAGAACAGTCGAGCATACGGGCACCAGTCATACTGCAGCCAGGGAGGCCCTGGGCAGGTACCCGCCCCTGCCTTGTCACTCTCTTTTGGGTGCCTACTGACTGAGCATGGTGACAGATGATAACAAATAGTAACTGGACTGAGTCACCAGTGGACACAACAGCAAGAAACACCCAATCTGGGGCTTCCCTGGGAGGCCGAGGTGGACAGTGTAGTTTGCAAGGCAGTAGGGGAAGGAGCGCAAGTACCCATGAGCTCAGCTCCAAGAAGGTTCGCGAAAGATCGGACTAGGGCTAGAATCCTGGTCATCAGCCTAAGCTGCTGCCTTTGATGTGGCATTTCACACGGGTGGGGCACCAGTGAATTCTGGCTGCCCCATTGCCAATCCTGCTCTCTAACACATTTGGGAAAACATTAAAAATAGCCCAGGATCTCGTCAGGTGGAGCGGGCTGGGTCGGGTTCATGCTCCTGCTTCCGCCCGGCCCTTTGGTTATTTACAGTGAGCCAGTGGACGGAAGGTGTCCCTCTCTAGGACTTTTAACAAATGAATTTCTTCTTCCTCAGAAGGACCTTAGGAGCTCCAGCCAGTTCTGCCCCGTCCCAGGGGCCTTTCTGCTGCAGCTGAACACGGACAGTTTCTCCTCTGTCAGCGCACCCTCCCTTCTGTGGTGGAGACACCAGACACTCCAGAAACTGGCTATGTGGTGCATGGGTCCACCTTGGCGTGAGCCTCTGGCATACTCACCGTCTCCCTCCTTCTCGCCCTCACTTTCCTGGTCGCCTTCGTAGCCGGAGCAGCAGTCCAGGCTCCAGTCCAGGAAGCTGCCCAGCAGGGTGTCCTCCTGGCTGGACAGCTCTGCCGTGGGCGTGGTGACAAAGCTGCCCCTGTCCTCCTGCAGGCTGTTCTCCCGCTTCCTGCAGTGGTGAGAAGGACACACAGCCCGGGAGCCCTGGTCACAGGCGGCCGTGCTGCAGGCCATCCCAGTCCTGACACCTGCCTCTACCGCCTGTATAGCCTGGGTTCTCGCTGTAGATTCGAGAGAGGAAGTCAGGGCAGGAGGGGGCCTGGATAAGAGGCCAACTAGCTCACTCCATAGCAGGAGCCAAGGCAAAGCACTGGAATCTTCTGGGAACTGGTAGGACCAGGACACTCTTGGGGACACTGACTGAATGAGATGCCAGCTGTGCCGGACAGAGGTTGCACGGGGCAGCATTGACCCATCTACCCGCTTGGGGTCAGGTGTTACTTGGGAGTGCGGGCATATTCCTGACACTGCCAGCTATGGTAGGGGGGTGGGAAAGGCATGTCTGGACACAGCAAAGCTGTGCTCGTGGTAGGGGCTACAAGCCCCCGCCCCCCGAGTGTGTGTGTGTGTGTGTGTGTGTGTGTGTGTGTGTGTCAGAGTAGACGTGGTGCCCCCTCCCACCTGGCACAGGGAGGGACTCTGGCTTAGCTGTTTATGTGCCTGCTGCTTCCCCAGGGTTCCCCTAAAGGGCAGGAGTGTGCTACCAGGGCCTGTGCCCCAGAAAACACCTGTGGTAGCCTTGCCTGGACCTGTACCCCACTCAACGGTGCTAGCCCTCAGCAGACAGGGGAGGTGGGGGGCCCTGCTGGGTTATGCAGGCTCAGTGTGAGTTCTCCAGGTGGGTGAGGAGCAGGGCTGGGCAAAGGCGCTGAGGCTGGAGTGCACACTCACCGCTTGGTCCTCCTCCCAGACGGCGAGCTGAGGAAGGTGTGGATGTCTCCTGTACCGAGGAAGGACGGAGGCTCCGGGCTGTCCTGTGTCACTCCCAGTGCAGCACACAACTGGCCATAGCTCAGCACCTGCAGGGACAGGCAAGGTGATGAGGTGTGAGGGGCACCAAGTCAGGGATGGGCACCTAGCCAGGTGTGAGGGGCAGTGGGTCAGCAAGGAGCACCTGTAGGGACAGGTGAGGTGGGGAGGGGCACCCGGCCAGGTGCGGGAACAGGGGGCTGAAGGGGGTACCTCTTCCTGGCTGATTTCCTCATAGCGCTTGTCTTCAAACCGCTGCTTCACGGCTGTCAGGGACACCTGCCTATAGTCCTTGGGGGCGTCATCATGGAAGCTGGAAACATGGACACAGAGGGCACGTGTGAGGTACCCTGCACTGGCGCCAGCCCCTGTTGGCCATCCTGGCAATGAGATGGGGAAACAGCCTGGCAGGGCCTCGGACAGGCAAAGCCAGCAGCGGCCCGCCCCATGCTCGAGTGTGCACCCCAGAGGAAGGAAGAGGTGTGCACCTGGTGCCCTGCAGCTGTGGGTGAGTGGGAACCCAAAAGGTGATGTGGCACATCATGGGCACACTCCACACATGCCATGACAGATGACCTGGCAACACATAATGCCAAGGGGCCACAGACAGGCACGCCTTGATGCGGTGCGACCAGTGTGGGCAGACCCAGGGACTGGCAGCAGACTATGCATGATCGCCAAGGCTGAGGTGGCTGGAGATATCTGAGTGACAGTAAGGGGCCCGGGATTCTGTCGGTGGTGGCGAGAATGAACTAAAATGGACTGCTGCTGGCCACACAACCGTGAGGATATCATGTCAGACAGTTTCGATCTCTTTAAACACAGCCAAACGATGTTTTTTGGTATCCACTTGTGGCTAGGGGGAGCGGGGGTGGGTGATGGCCACACTGCCTCCTGACCATTCTCCTCCTCGCTATCTGTCCATCGGTTCAGGAGATCTCAGTGGGGAAAAGCCTGCGTCAGATTCCCAGGGTGCCAATGGGTTCCCATGATGGGGGTACGGTGAGAAGTGGGCTGCCCCGAGGAGAGGCTGCCCTGCGAGTCCTGGTTCATCCTGAAATCACAGAGAAGCCCCTCCACTGGAGTACAAGGGAGGTGCCCACAGCTGGGGCAGCTCCACTGGGAGGTTGTGTTTGTGTGAGTGTGAGTATGAATGTGTGTCACAGGCAGCTGTGTCCGAGCACCAGACCCCACTGTGAACCAGTGTGTCACACCACACGGCTGCCTGGCTGCAGGGGTGAAGGAGGCAAAGATGGGACGCCTGAGGTTCTGTCAGGACTGCGGCCACAGCAAATGTGACCCGGGGGAGAGGCAGCTGGTGAAGAGGGCATCTGCCAAGCACCTGGGCAGGTGCGCCAGGCTGGGTTGGAGCGGAAACCTAGACAGCAAATGAACTCCAGAAGCGGGCCAGACTCCCAAGAGGCAGGCGGAGTCTCAGGGCAAGAAGAGCAAGGCAGCTCCCTGGCCAAGGACCCCAGAGTGTGTGACGGGGCACCCCAGGCTGCTGGGAACAGAAAGTGGGAGGCGTAAGTCTGTCCGTGAGGCTGCAAGGGGCAAGCTGGAGCTGGCCATAGCCTGACACAAACCCTGGCCCCTGGCTGCCCCACCGCACTGTGTCCCTCCCAGCTCAGTCTGGTGGTTCACACTCAGGCTGATCGCAGCTCTTCCGCTGCCCAGGACACAGATGCTCTTGTCCTCTGGGTCCTGGCTTTGGCCTGGTCCAGCCCCGGCCCCTGTGGGCACTGGGGGCATCAACAGCAGATGGGAGATCCTTGTCCATGTCTGCCTTTCCAATAAATAAAGAAACATGGCTCTGAGGAAGACTTTTTGTACAAAACCCAGTAGGGCAGAGCTGCGTGTGTGGACCAACAGCTTCGCGGGGAGCGACACCCTCTGGCGCCCGGCAGGAGACTCACCATTTTTTATGAAGGCTCAGAACACAGGGCAAGAGGTCTTCGTGGGAGAATCCAGTGAGGTCCCACAACCGAGGGGTCCAGGGCTGTGCTGGGGAGGAGAGCAGGTGGGGATGGATGGGCCACTGTGATGGCCACCTGACCCTTGCCACCCCATAGATTTTAGGATCCTGCGCTGGAGACTCCTGGAGAGTTGTGGTCCCTTTGTAACAGCTCTGGAAAGACCCAGGCTCACCATCCAAAGCCTGAGGATACCTCACCCGCCCCTTCTGGAGTTGCCTTTCCTTCCATCCCTCCAGCCTTCCCCACCGGGGGCTGCTCCTTACTCTGCCCATGGGTCAGCCTGGCCAGGAGCAGGGCCGCGGCAGCTAGGTGAGCTGGGGCGTAGGTGGACAGGCTGGTATGCAGAAGGGACAGCTCACAAAGGAAGCTGCAAAGGTGTTGGGTCCTTGGCGCCACAGGGACCAGTGTCAGCAGGACCTCTTTGTAGTCGACCACAGTGGGGATCTGGGGAGAGGCAGCAGGCATGGAGTTCAGGAACCAGAGGGCTCCCCACGCGATGGATGTGGGGTCTGGGTCAGCCTGGGTGATGTCTATACCACAGTGACGACGGAGCACACCATGCCCTCTTGCTCCATGGCTTTGGATATGGCCATGAGAGCTGCTGTCAAAAGCCTCCTGGGGGAACCCCTGGGGGTCAATCCCAAGCTGGGGGCTAGAGGGCCCCAGCTCCTCCTGTCCTACCCACAGCCTCAAAGCCAGACAAGGAAAGGGAAGGAGGGCACTTACTCGAATCTTGCCCTCCAGGGTGGAGACGACCTCGCCCATCATGCGCACCAGGTCCTCGTACTTGTACGTGTTGTCTGTGAGCCACACGGCCTCCCGGATCGTCAGGATCTCCTTACTGATGAACCTGCAGTACACAGGTGGCCACTCAAACTGGAGCCCAGTTACAGATGGGCAGGGTTGAAACTTGGGGCCTTGGGGTAAGGAGGGACGACTTTGGTGACAGGTGGTTACAGTGGATGCTGGGGCCCACAGTGGGAGACAGTGCTGGACAGAGGATGAGAGCCACATCATATAGACGAAGGCAGGGTCAGGTAGACAATGACCACCAGCTAAGTGTAAGTGACTTAATTCCAGAGGATGGTAAGGTCTTTGAACCAGAAGACAGGGTACAGGGCTGCAAGGGTGTCAAAGTCTGTACCCAGCACGGTGCCTGCACATGGGCATCTGTCTGCCGGAGGCAGTGAACACTGTTCGGCCAGCAAGGAGCAGCTTGCCCCAGAGACCCTGAAGGCTCCTTTGCCAGTGCCTGTGGGCTGCAGCTGAGCCCAGCTGCCCTGTCCTGCAACTCCACAGTGCTCATGCTTGTCGTCAGTTTGACAGGCCTGGAAGCGCAAGGGCCACTCCCTGGGGCACAGGCCTGCACGAGGCAGTGGGGAGGGCAGGCACTGCTCTGAGACAAAGTGGTTATCACACCCCCGTGAGCCAGCTGGTAGCCTGTGACGCGGCCTTACAGTCTTAGGTGCTGTCAGACACTGTGTGAGGGCCAGGCAGAAGACCTATATTAGGATTCCGGTCCAAGAACTCAACATGGAGTCCTGTGGACAGATGTGGCCAGGTCTGCTGACCCCACGCCCACATTCTCCCAATCTGTTAAAGTGGCCCTCCTTTGGGTGTACACGGCCACCTGGAGACGACACTCGTCGGGTCCCATGTTGGCCATGTGACTGACCTCGGGGGAAGGTAGAGGAGTCACCTACAGGTGTCAGAGCAAGAAGGAGCCAGGTCCTGTCCCCTCTGCCTGGCTCACCGCGTCTCTAACTCACAGCATGGTTCCTCACCCAGCAGGCTGCGCAGGTAAGGATGCTGGAAGGCATGTCCTGGGCGAAATGGCCAGCTGCGCGAGGGGGCCAGGGCAGGACAACCAGCAAAGGCCAGATGCATCGTGAGCCTCCAAAACCAGCCAGAGGAAGGTGGCCCAAAGTGAGGTCACAGGGGTGCTGGCTGATGTGCGGCCGCACCCCAATCCTGAAAATGTCCCAAGTTGGGGAGGACACGAGACAGACACCATGCTTGAGGACTCGCCTCGAACATTTTTTACGTGTGAATTCTGAGAACCTAGCAGGGGTTGTGACTCAGGAAACGGCGGAAGCACACTACACACCCCATCCTGCCGGCGGGGGCGGCAGCTCCTCACCGGGTGCAGATGACCATGCAAGCGATGCCCAGCAGCTGCAGCCTGTATCGCGGCACCACTCTCCTGCGCAGGTAGCGGTCCACACACTCCACCGTCAGGTGCAGGCACAGACTAGTGAAGTCCTTCATGGTGGCCACTTCCACCAGCCAGTCGATGAGAATGTATCTGTGGACAGAGCGGCAGTGCTGCAGCCACACCAAGCGCCTGGAGGTACAAGCTGTGGCGTGCAGGGTCCTGGCTCATCACTGGCCCCGTGGGCCCTGTGCCTCCATCGTGCACTGTTCACAGAGGCAAACACCTCAGAGCACCAAGAGAGAGACGGACCCCAACTCCCAGGTGGGAGGCATGCAGCTGACGCAGTCTGTTTGGGGCTGGATCACTGGTCCTGGGACAGGAGAAAATTCTCAAAGGGGAAAAGGGACTTAAGGCCAACACGGGCTGCCCTCACCCTGCACCATGGGGTGCTTACTGCATGGCTCCACGGCAGCCTGGAGCTAGAAGGGCAGCGCCAGCAACGGCCTGCTGACACACACTGGGGTCTCATCTCATCCTCACCTGCGCCCCCCAAGAGTTGAGATGTGCCTTTTCCCCAGATGGCCCGAGCTGGGGTCCAGGGACACTGGAGAGAGTGAACCCCTTTCTGCAGGAGTACATCCTGAAGCAGGGAGGTCACTCAAGAGCAGCAGGGACGCAAACTGTGCCATGGACAGGAGGGCGGGGTAGGGCAGGGGGTACGGGGGGTGGGAGCTAAGGGTCTCCCTGTGCTCCTAGAACAATGGGCACAGGGTCAAGTGCCCAGGTGGTGAACAGTGCACTCATTGTGAGCAGGCCAGGGGTTCCCCAAGCGCATGGACTGTACTGGATTGACAATCATACTAGACAATGGAAACAGTTAAATGAGCAAGCTGCAAACAACTCCTCCATTGGTCTTGTGGCCTCCTAACACACCCTTCTCACAGCAGTCCAATGCTAAGGCATGTTATGGCCAACCTCAGAGCAAAAGGGGATCCTGGGCTGATGGTAGTCACACCCACATGCTCACAAGGCCAGGACACAGGCCAGGCTAGGCCCCAGCTGCAGAAGCTGCTCGCTCTAGAAGGATGCCACCCTGCAGCCCCAAGGGGCCCAGAGGGAGGACGGACGTGTCCAGGGAGCAGGAAGCTGGTGGGCTGGCTGCCACATCAAGTCGCGCGGCGGGAAGCCTCACCTCATCGTGTCGTTGAGTCCCTTTTGCACAGCAAAGACCTGCTGCTTGCTGACGGCCTGCGACGCCTGGAAGAGCTGGCTCACAATCTCGGCGGACGCCTTCGCATCCAGCCCCAGCTGCTGCCCGTTGGCACAGACTTTGGCTAAGGCCAGCTGAGGAAGGAAAGACACAAGTGTGAAGAGCAGTGGTGGCTTTGAGGTCTGTCCACACGCAAGGGCACACGGGACAGCTACAGTCACGAGCCGTCACCGCTGCCTCCCGGGGCCTGCATGAGCAGGAAGCTGGGGTGGGAGCAGAACAGGGTATCAAGGCTGGGCATTCCATGGGATGCCAAATGCCCCAGCACAGCTGAGCAGGGTTGAAGGGCTACAACCGCATGCCAGGTGCGTTCCCACCTCGGCACAGGTGCTCAGTCTTTTGATTGCATGGTTTAAGAAAAAAAAAAAACAAAAAAAAACTAAGCTTTTACCCGTCCATTCCCAGGTGTGAGTTACCTGCTCCAGGGGGGAGGCCACAAGCTGAATAGGGAGCCTCAAGAAGGCTTCCGTGTGAAGGTAAATGGCAGGGTAAGGGTGGCCTTGATTTCCTTGATGGCAGAGTGGCCTGTGGCACGTGCTCTGGCAGGTGGTCGTGAGGGCCGAAAATCCTACCCAGCATGCACTATGACCTCAGACTCAACCAGCTAATGGAATGTTCAGAAAAATGCCGTGTCTGCCCTGGGTGTACCAACTTTCCCAACAACCTAGCACAACTGCTCCCATGGCGCGCACACGTCTGTCTGCTCCTAGCAGCTAGCCCAGGCAGGTGCTGAGGCTGGACGTGGCGGTGAGCAGGGCACCCTGGGAGCAGCCTCAGCGAGTGCTGTGAGGGTAAGCCTACCCTGCACCCCAACTGTGGACAGTGCGTGGGGATGAATCTGGCTGCCTTATGGCCTGAGCTCCAGCCCCATCTCCCTGCACCCCTTGGTCTCCTGCAAGAAGCCCAGGCAGGGCTGTCCCAGGAGGCCACCAAGACAGAGGCTCCTGCACTCCACTTCCTGTTACCTGTGCCTCCCAGCAGCCCTTGGCAGCATAGTCCCTGAGTTTCCGAAAGCTGTGCAGGCATCGTCCGGGATCTGACATCTGTCAATGGGAAGAGGCACCAAACCTTAAATACAGTCTAAGGAAGAACCCAGAATCAACTCAATGGGTTCTTAAATGTCCCAATACCCACAGGAGGTACCTGGCTGTGCTAACCCCAAGTGACAGTGGTAACTGGGAGTTGCTAACAGCAGATTCCCCAGAGGCCAGGAACATCAACCCTGGTCCCAGGGCAGTGTCCAGACTGTGCCTTTGGCTGACACGATCCCTCCCTTTCCAGAGCCAGCCACTTACGTCCACTCTCCTGTCACTTTCCCAGAGGAGGTACGAGCTGGCCAGGCATCCCTGGTGAGCAGATTCTTCAAAAAGTGCTCGGGCCTGCTTCTTCTTCTCTTCGTCCTGGAGTGGGTCCGAGCAGAGTGGGTTCTTTTCTCGGTCTCTGCTCCATACTGCAGCACTCTCCAACTCCCACCCCCGCTGCTGCCGTCCACCCCATTCCCAAGACACACGCTGACAGAACAGACCCTAACTCCATCAGAGGAAAAGGGACTTTAACTCTAAACACACACTGCTGGAGGCCGACGGCAAAATGGATTCAGAGCCCCAGTCAGGCCCAGCGCCCTTTCTTCTGTGTGGATTTGGCTTGGCTCTGGAGCTCCAAAACACCTGCCTTCCCGTTTGTTCCCAAAGAAAGACAGAGGCAGTTTTCCTAAATCTGCAACAGCAGAGCTTCCAGATCCCAAAGGCGGCTCACGCAGCACCTGTGTACCCCACGGGCTCCCAAGGGTGCAGCAAGGTGAGCTTGGCCACACCACTCCCCTAGCCCCGAGAGTGGCCCAGGCACTGCCCACTAGGGATCTCCAGGGTTGGACCTTGGGCCTGGGTGCCCTCTCCTTCTGCATCCTGACCAGGGACAGATTAAACAAGGTCAAGCACACTTACCTCGAATAGACTCAGCACTCTTCCCACACAGTGCAGGATGGACGCCCGGCGAGTCTTAAAACAAGAGAGGCATGGTGGGTGTCAGGTCTGGCCATTAGGGTACCTGTGGACCCAATGGGGCAGCCTGGCCCTTCTCCTGATTCCTAGCTTCCCACAAATGCCATCCTGGGAGGCTTAAGGACCTGGGCCCTGCCATCCACGCAGGATACCTGGGTCGAGTTCCCTGCACCTGGCTTTGGCGGGTTCTAGGATTGATTACCATGGGCACTTGCAGGGTGAATAACCAAACAGTTGCCCAAAGAGAAGCAAGTCGGGGCCACCTTCCTAGGTCTGCAAGCTCAGGGTCCTGTGCTGTCCACCCCTCTGCCTCCTGCAACGGCTGCTGGTTTCAATTGTCCATCAGCGCCCACAACTCTCTCTGTTACCTGGCACCAAGACCAGGCGGGTTGGCAGCACCCCCCAACGCGTGTCCTCTGTGCTGCTGCATGGCCCCAGCCTCAGGCACCAGATGCCTGTGGTCCACGGGGTGTGCCAGGACTTACCCTGGGCAGCTGGCATTCTGCCCTGAGACTTTCATGAACCACGGCCTTGCAGCAGCTTCCAGACACCGACCATGGTGGGCGGATGAAGAGCCAGACAAAGGGTGTTGCGCTTGCATTGAGCCGCTCAGCCAGGCTGAAGAAGCGCGAGGCCTTCAGGCCGTTCACTTCCGCACGGGCCTCGTCAGACACAGACACTGCAGGGGGATAGAACCGAACGTGGTCACACCTCTCGGGGGCGGGAAGTGCTCCAGAGTTTGACCTTATGCCATCATGGCGCAAGGTGCCCTGTGTCCTGGGAAAGAAGGACCTGCCATGGGGCTCCTTCCTCCTCTGTGCTGCCAGAAGTCCAGATGCCAGGGCCTGAGGCCAAGGAAAAGCACCCCTTGCAGCCAGCACCCCATCATCCCTCCAGGAGCTGTGTTACTGCCACCCAGTGATCGAGGCTCACTGCCCTCTGTGTCCCAAGGCACCAGCAGAGCCTGGCACGGAGAGGGGTTGCCCACACATGCAGCCCTCAGTGTGGGCAGATGCAGGCTCACCCGAGTCGGCTTGGGGCCTCCTGCTTGACCAAACAACAGGATTGGCCACCACAACAGTCGACTCTTTCGGAACGCAGTCAGTATGCCTGTGTGTTCCTAGGCCAACCAGCTCTGGGCATGAGCTCCCAGGAAGACAAGGGAAGTGGTGACTCAGCTCTTGGGGGACCTGGGGCTCACACACACAGGAAGAGTCCCCAGGGGCCGGGGCAGCACTTACAGCCTTCATTGTAGAGGTAGGCTATGCCCAGCTTCACAGCAGCTTCAAAGTTGCCCCTGTCTGCAGCCCTGCAACACGAGGAACACGCAACGTGGCAGTTTCTTACCCCCTGGGTCATGGCTTACCACTGCACTGGCTGCCAGCATACCCATTTTCTGAATGAATTTCTCCTCCCACCCGCCATGAGTTCAATATCAAAGGCTGCTTTTGGGTTTACGATTGCATGGAGCTCAGGGGAGGACGCAGCAGGCGAGCTGTCAGGAGCAGCAGTCCAAGGCACAGCAGAGTGAATAAAGGTGGCCTGGGCTTCGGGTGACTGAGTGACCTGGCAGTGTCTGCTGCCAGACCACTGAGCAAGCCCAAGGTCAGACAGGAGTGATGCATGTGCAACTCGGACCACTAACCCGGCCAAGCTGAGCCCTGGGGCTGGGGGAGTTCCTTGGTGCACGGCTCCTCCTGGGGTCCTGACAACCCTGTGGGTGAGGGCTGGAGTGGACCCAACCCAAGCTGTGCTTTCTGAGTCTGTTGAAACAAGGAGGCATTGGCAGAGCTACATGGTCCCAGGGGTGGCCAATGGCACAGGTAGCCGGCGGTCCTGGCGCTGACCCTGGCTCATGGGCACAAGGGAGTGAATTTGGCAATGAGTGATGCTGAAGCCACAAAGCTTAGACCCAAGAAAGTCTACCCACGCAGGCCACCTGTGCCTGAATCACATGGGAATGAGTCAACAGACCAAGATGGACCCGGGAAGTACAGTAGGTGGGGCTGAGTGATGGGGGGCCTTGATGGATGACATGCACAGTCTTGGGTTGCCCCTTGTGTGGGAATATGAGGGAAAACAGAGAAGGGGAAACAGTTCCGAGTCAGACTCAGAGGCGCAAGGAAGGGAGTGAGCTCAGGGCGTACCTCTCAAAGAGCTGCAGGTTTTTTGGTGAAGGCCACAGCTCCTGGAAGCTGGTACAGGCCCACACGCTGGCATGGTTGTCCACCAGGTCCCTCAAGTGCGAGTGCACCTGCAGAACAGTGGAGGAAGGAAGGGTCATTGAGGGACAGCGCAAAAGCCTGGCTCCTGAGGCTCACTCTCTGACGCTTACATTTGAAACGTAGAGTTACAGGGAGAAGGGGACAGAGCAAGGCCGTCCACCTATTGGTTCACTTTCCAAATGGCTGCAAACGGCCAGAGCCAAGTTGATCTGAAACGAGGAGCTTCTGCTGGGTTTCCCACGCGGGTGCAGGGACCCAAGGCTTTGGGCTATCTTCCACTGCTTTCCCAGGCCACAAACAGGGAGCTGGATGGGAAGTGGAGCTGCCAGGACACGAACTGGTGCCCATATGGGATCTGGCACTGCAACTGGAGGTTTAACCTACTAAGCCACAGTGCCAGTCCCACCCCCTAAAGATTTATTTACTTATTTGAGAGTCAGATAAATAATAGTATGGGTGCGGAAGCTAGAGAGAGAGATCTTCCACCCACTGGTTCACTCCCTAAACGTCTAGAAAAGCCATTTGTGTCTCCCTTGTGGGTGGTAGGGGCCCAGAGGCCCGAGTCAGCACCTGCTGCCCCCCGAGACCACTGGCGGCGAGCTGGACGGGAAGCCGAGGAGCCAGCTGCTGACCAGGAAGCAGGTGCCCTAGGCAGGACTTGTTCTCCGCAGCACGAAGCCTGCCTTCTGGAGGCGCCCTCCTGATACGCGTGTACCTCACGGCTGCAGGAACAAAGAGCCCAGAGACCAGCTTTTTGGAGGCTTTCATGGGGAGGGACATAGGTCCTGCAAGGGCAGCCAGAAGGGCTCAGATGAGGGGTGTCGGCTACCTTGTCACAGGCTGTGGCTCAACTTGCTGGGCTATGCCACCACCACAAGACTACCATGGCCTGCTTTCTTGTTTCTTAGGCAATGTAAATATTACTGTCTGTGTTAATGTTACCACAGACAAGATAAGCCCCACGTGCGATTCCTGTCACTAGAACATTCCTCTCACAAGTATCTATTGATAACATCCTTGTTTTCTCTATGCTCCTTGGAAGGCCAAGGTTTCATTCTGATATTGAAAATGTAAGGCCCAGGCCTGGCCTGGTGCAGTAGCCTAACAGCTAAAATCCTCGCCTTGCATCTGCCAGGATCCCATTTGGGCATCAGTTCATGTCACAGCAGCTCCACTTCCCATCCAGCTCCCTGCTTGTGGCTTGGAAAAGCAGTCAAGGACGGCCCAAAGCCTTGGGACCTGCACCTACATGGGAGACCAGAAGAGCTCCTGGCTTTGGATCAGCTCAGCTCAGCTCCGGCCACTGCAGTCACTTTGGGAGTGAATCATCGGACGGAAGATCTTCTTGTCTGTCTTTCCTCCTCTCTGTATATCTGACTTTCCAATATTAAATAAATAAATCAGAAAAGAAAATGTGAGGCCCAAGGGTGGGAGGCTGATGCCTTCGCAGTCCAAATGTGGACATCCCTCCTCGGGGCGTCTGGGCTTTGTGCCCATCCCCCTACCCCAGACTCCTGTCAGTGCAGACCCCACACACAAGACAGAGTTGGAGTGCCAGTCCTGGCTACTGTGGGCATTTGTGAGGTGAACTAGAGGATGGGGGCTGGCCTTCTCGCCACGCCGAGTGCTGCTGCAGGCAGGAGGGCAGGACTTACAGCTCGGATGGCCAGGATGTCCCCAACAGGAAGCCACTTGAGGATGTGGAAGAGCACGTCTTCAGGTAGACCCAGGATGGAGAGGTTCCGAGCGCGCCTCCTTATCCTCCGCTTGCTGGGATAGCAGAAACACTTGGCACATCGACAGTGGATTACTGGAGGGAAGAAAAAACTCAAGTCTCAATTAATAGAAAAGTTGCACCGGAAGTTAGCGGTTACTATTCCCTGCTCCACAGCGGTGCCCAACTCCAGAACCACCCTCCTAGCCCCAATAATCAAATCAAATTAAAAAAATACAACGCAAGACAGCAGATTTGTTCAAACACCCATGCAGAACTGACAGCCAACAGCAGGTACACCATGACTCGGCTACTGGCAACCTGCTCCTGGGGCCACAGGCCAACCAGTGCTGGGGGACAAAGGCAGCTGGGCTGAGGGCATGGTCCACCCCCTGGCAACCCTCCGCTGGATAGCTAGGCTTCTATCTGCAGACTAGGGAGCCGCTTAAGGATCTTCCTCAGTCTCCTGGAGGGCTGCTTTCAGGGAAGCCAAGAACTTGGGAAGGGCAGGCCAAGTGTCAGCGAGGTGCTGAGCAACGGGGCAATGGGCCCTTCCACGGACAGCTGCTTCCTCTCTTAGGCGACACAGACCCTCTGCAGCACGCTGGGATACCACCTCGGGTCCTCCTCTGCAGCGACGCCTCCGGGTCTTCCTGTCAGCAAGCACTGTGGCCACCTCACCCGGAGTGACCAACTCCCGAAGAGCTCTCGGATTTCTCTTCTCCTTTACCACTCAGAAAGCTTTCACCCCCTTTCACTCGGGAAGGGTCGGCAACCACTGAAATAACCCAAAGAACCGCAGGCGCCAGACCCCGCGGCAGAGCCCAGCAGCGCAGCTGACCAGGAGCCGCCAGGTGTCCGCAGCGCGGCACCAGGTGAGCGGGCGAGCCCATCGCATCGCTTCGCCCCTCGGCTCGCGCCATCAGCCTCCCACGACGGACGACAGCGATCGCATTTGCTACACCACAACTAACCCGAACCTTTGCTTGCGGGAGAACTGGAACAGGGTCGGGGGTAGGACAGCAGCCGCGCGAGACCAGCCGCCTCCCGGGGCATTTAAACCGCGCGTCCCTGGGCGCCGGCGAGCAGGAGGCCCGGCGCGCCCGCGACTCCCCGTCCCGGGTCCCAGGGGTGCGAGCCCGCCCTGCACCCCAAGCTGCCAGGGGCCGCCCCGCACTCACCGCCGCCGCTCCCCATCGCTCCGCTCGCACCGCAGTCCCAGCCCGCCCGCGAGCGCCCGCGCTCGGACCCAGCGCGCCGGCCACCCGCGCAGGCGCACACCGCGCCGCGCCGCCCGCCCTAGTTTTCAAACGCGCCCGGCGCTCCTATTGGCCGGGCCGCGGGTCCCCGCTCGCCTCGCCCCATTGGCCGGGCCGGGACGCGAATTCGAACGCGGGCGGTTGATTGGCGGAGCCCGCGCGCCCGGCCCGCCTCCTCCATCTCGGGGCTGCGTGCAGGAGCCGGGGCGCCTCCGCCGTGGCTGGCTGCGGTCGCCCTCCCGGCCTGATGGCTCGTCCCTCCTGGGCCCTGCAGTCGAGGGGACCCACCTCGCAGGGGTCCAGCGGGCCGTCCCGAGCTCGGACGCAGGTGGTCGCGCCACGGGAAGCCCTAGCGCCCTTCGCGGGCCTCGCCACGGACGGGACATGCTGCGCCCGGTGCGACACGGTCCCCCAGCAAGCCTGACCCGTTCCTCCCCGAAACGGGGTCTCCTCTCGCCTCGATTTCCGTGCTCTCCCCCCGTGTCCTGTCCTGCTGCCCCCCTCCCCCAGTGTCCTGTCCTGCTGCTCCCGAGTCCTTTCGGGCACTTGGCCTTCGCCGGACACGGATGGTGCAACGCGGGGGTGTGTGTGTGATCAGCAGGTCCCGGTGGCCCCAAAGAGCTCAAGGTCCCTGGACAGGAAAGAGCCGCCCCCTGCCCAGAATCAGCAAGCCCACAGTCCTCGGTCCCCCGTCCCTTTGCCCTACTGTTGCCCATTTGGTTACTCTGTCATTGTCCATACCCCCCAACACTGGGCCGTGTTACTTTGTTGTACGTCCCTGAGCTGAGCACCTGTAGGGCTCAAATGGTAACAGTGTCCCCATTGACAGCCTGCCCGGCCCCTCACGCAGCCCAGGACCAGCTTTGCAGTGAGATGAGCCCGGCAGGGCAACTCTGGAGAAGGCTAGGCTGTTGGGAGGAGCTCAGGGACGTTCCTCCCCGAGTTGGATGGCAGGGCAGGGGCCTGGAGATGAGAACTGAAGACCCCGTGGCGATGCACCACCGGTGGGAGGCAGAAGTCCCACCCCCAGGACTCGGAGCCTTCAGAGGTGGGGGGTGGCCAGAGCTGGGGGCACCTCACGGAGCAGAGGGGCACAATGTCCTGATGGCTGGGACACTCGGGCCTCAGTGTGGAACATCCTCCACAGAGCCAACGACCACAGGAACTTCTGATGCGATAGGTGTGGGGTGGGGGGAGACACCCAGGAGTCCACACCTCCAGCAGCTGCCTGACATCGTTAGTGCCACTGTGTGGAGGTCTCCGTAGGCAACAGCCTGCCAGGGTCCCATCGTGGTGCTGTAAGCATTGTGTGCATCAGGTCACAGGGGCCTGGGAGGACGGAGAACACCCTGAGTCCTGGACATGCAGCCTGCCCTGGGCCAGCACACGTGCTCCGGAAGAACGCTGTCCTTGCAGCTTCCGACTCAAGGGCTCCCTCAAAGCACCCCTGGGATGCAATGTGAGCCCCACCATCTGTGAGTCGGGTCACCCACTCTGGCCCTCCCCTGCTTTCCAAGGGGCCTGTGGACATTTCCTCACAGCCATCTAAATGAAGTCTTGCCCATGCTTCTGCAGAGAGGTCCCTGCCTTGACACACCCTGAGGCTTGATGTGTGTGGGGGACACGGCCCACCCCATGCTAGTGGCCAACTGTCTGGGGTGTCAGGGGATGGGAGAAAAGGGACTGGGCCTGGTGGGAACCGTTACCACTCAGACTCCTCACCCCAAGAAGGGTACCAGCTGGAGGGCACCAGCCGGGGGGCACCTGCCAGAGGGTACCAGCCAAAGGGCACCAGCCGGGGGGCACCAGCCAGAGGGTACCAGCCGGAGGGTACCAGCCAAAGGGCACCAGCCGGGGTGCACCAGCCAGAGGGTACCAGCCAGAGGGCAGGCCAGGTGACAGGATGTAAACGGGGTGCTGACTTCAGAGCTGGTCCGCCAGTGGTAACCACTGCCTGAGTCACCTCCAGTCACTGCTCTGTGACAGGACAGCCCAGATGTTACTTGGGGCAGCCTCCACAGCCAGGTCTTCCAAGTGACTGGCCCCGCCTGCTAAATGAGCTGCTCTGGAGAGCCTCGGCGGTGCTGGTGGAGACGGACCACGCACACCTGGGCTGTCTGGCCATATGGGGTTGTCTTTATTGCTGCTGGGAAAGGTCTGAGGGGGCAGCTGTCGTAGCGGAGGGAGGCCGTGTCTGCCCACGCTGGCCATGCGCTTGTGCAGAGTACACGGGGTAGGTGAAGCTCAGGAAGACGTCCTCCAGGGAGACCTGGCTGACCGAGTAGTCATCCAGCTGGTACTTGTTCCTAGCTTGCTCCAGGATGCCAAACACCTAGGGGAAGGAAGGGGGCTGCGCGTGTGGAGCAGGGGTGGGGACGCAGAGGGAGAGTGGGGACTGGGTTGCTGGGATTGTCACAGAAACTCAGGGAAGGGCCTGACCCACAGACATAGGTGTCTGCTGTTTGGGAACAGACCTGACAGGGTCCCTGACTTGCTCTGTGACCCGGGCTTGTGCTAACCCTCTCTCCGAAATGAGGGGTCCAGGAGCATATCCTATCAGTCCTTCACAACTCAGACTCTGTGTTCCATGACAAATGTTTCTGAATATTGCCATGGAGACAGCCAAGCAGGGCAGCAGCAGAGCGTGAGGCTTCCACACAACAAAGGCAACAACTGAGTCCCCCTAGAAAGCCAGAGACGTGCCACGGGCCTGTGCTCACCTTCGCCCAGCCGAGGCCATGGCCAGGCAGGTGGTAATGGACCATCCCCTGGTGCTCATCTTCCAGGATGCTTCCTGCACACAGATCAGACCATGCTGCTGTGAGCTCCATGCTGGGCTAGGGCAGGGCGGCCTGGGCACAGGGACCCTCGCCCCAGTGGCTGGGGGGCGGAGGTTCAGGCAGGGCAGCACACACCTGGGAAGGTCAGCTCCACAAACACCTTGAACGCCTCCAGCGCCTCCTGCTGCCCCTTGCTCCTGACCTTGGCCTGTAGGGAGTAGCCGCTGCCAAACTTGCTCTTGAGGTGCTGCGGGCTGCCCAGGCACTTGAACTGACCCTGCACCATGATGGCCAGCCGGGTGCACAAGGCCTCGCATTCCTCCATGCTGGGGACAAGGGTGGAGGCCTGAGACACGGCTGGGGTGCCGCCACCCACCCTGACCGCCAGGGTCTTGTGTGGGCGGGAAGGTGGCGACGCCCAGGTCAGGGCATTCCAGAGTGTGGCCACGGCCAGGGGCCAGGGAGTCTGTGGTAGGCACAGGCCCTGCTGCCCACCCCGGAGCCTGCCCTCCCCGGCCTCGTCTGCTCTCTCACTGACCCACGGGGACCCCCGGCTCTACCTGTGGGAGGTGATGATGACGGCCTTGCCGGATTCGCGGGCGCGGGCCACGGTGTCCCAGAGCAGGCGCCGGGCCACAGGGTCCATGCCAGTGGACGGCTCGTCCAGGAAGATGACGGCGGGCTCTCCGATGAGGGCAATGGCCGTGCTCAGCTTGCGCTTGTTCCCCCCACTGCGGGAGGAAGAGAGGGATACTTGGGGGTGAAGGAGTCATTGCTATCCACACCTCCGCCGGCTCTGTCCACCTCTGTTCCTGAGTGCTGTTCTACATGGGGGTGGGGGGCTGGTTAGAAATGGCCCCCTCAGTGTCACCCAGGGTTGTACTGGGGTTAGAGTGCCCACACTGTCCACTTCCCCTGACACAGGATCAGGCCACAGCAGCACACGGCCGGGGAGTCCTAGACACAGGATCAGGCCACAGCAGCACACGGCCGGAGAGTCCTAGACACAGGATCAGGCCACAGCAGCACGCGGCCGGGGGGTCTTCTTTGAGGGTTCCTGCCACAGCAGCTCGCGGCCGGGGGGTCTTCTTTGAGGGTTCCTGCCACAGCAGCACACGGCCGGGGGGTCTTCTTTCAGGGTTCCTGCCACAGCAGCACGCGGCCGGGGGGTCTTCTTTGAGGGTTCCTGCCACAGCAGCACGCGGCCGGGGGTCTTTGAGGGTTCCTGCCACAGCAGCACGTGGCCAGGGGGGTCTTCTTTGAGGGTTCCTGCCACAGCAGCACGCGGCCGGGGGGTCTTTGAGGGTTCCTGCCACAGCAGCTCGCGGCCGGGGGGTCTTTGAGGTTCCTCTGGGAATTAGGGAGCATTTCTTCTCCATCAAGGGAGGGCACAGCAACATTTAATAAACTTTTTTAAGCTTAAGAGCATTTCCTGTAGGTAAGGCCCTGTTCTAAATTTTCCAAAAATCCATTTTGATTTTTTAAAGGAAGTTTTATTTGCAAAATGACCAGCTGAATATAGAAGGGGAAGGCACCTCCCGGGTAGAGCCAGGAGCTGGCGTGCATCTTGAAAGCAGAGAGGAAGAGACACCAAAGGTTTGAGGATTTTAAGTGTTCCCTGATCCTTCCTTGTGCTCCTTTGATTTTCAAAGGACATGAGATTCCTGTTAAGATGGAAGAGTCAAGACCATCATCATTTGACCCAAGCCTGCCTTGCTACAGGCCAGAGGTTCCAGGATTGCAGTACCACTTTCACACAGTCTGAGGGGCCCTGTAGGACCCTGACAACAGGAGCCCGTGGTCCACAGAGGTGTCCCACCAGACCACTTGCAGGGAGCTCAGGGGCCACTGATCCAGCAGAATGGGGAACCTGGGGGCTTACGAGATGCACCGATCAAACCCAGGAAGCCCTCCAGGAAGCGAAGGACGCTGTGTTACTACCCACCAGGTACACAGCGCAGTATAGTTTGTCCTCTACCCTCGAGTGACCCTGTCCCTGACAGAAGGCAGTGCTTTAGGAGAAGGTCCCAAACACCCTCTGCAGGGCTGTGGACCACACAGCCACCTCACCTGTGTGCGGAGACGAGGAGCTATCCCATACCTGGAAGCCTCAGATCTCACCTGTAGGTCTTCACCAGCTTGTCGGCGTCCATGTGCAACACTAAGTCCTCCAGGATCTGATTCACACAGGCAGCGATCTGGTGCTCAGGCACGCCCCGGATGCGGGCATACATGACTAGGGACTCACGGCCTGTCATGAAGTTCAGCAGAGCATCAAACTGGGGACAGTAGCCGACCCACTTCCGCACCTGGTGTCAGAACACAGGCAGAGAGAGAGGCCCCACAGGTAAACCAGGTGTGGGGAGGCTGCCTAGTGCCCAGTTGCCTTTTCTCTCTCTGGTCACTAATCAGGTTTGCCATAAGGACCTATGTGTGCAAGCCACCACAGGGGCCACGCACGGGCTTACGCCAGTGTCTGTGAGCCTGGGATGTGTGCTTGGCTTGTCCTGCTGATTTGCTTCCTTGCTGTTCCACACTCACCCTTGAAGTGTCCGTCAGTAGAAGAGGCTTACATCTTCCCCTCTAGAAATATTTTTTACTGGGCGCCAGTGCAGTAGCTCAGAAGGCTAATCCTCTGCCTTGTAGTGCTGGCATCCCATATGGGTGCCAGTTCTAGTCCTGGCTGCTCAGCTTACAATCCAGCCCCCTGCTTATGGCCTAGTAAAGCAGTGGGAGATGGCTCAGATTCTTGGGCTCCTGCACCCAAGTGGGGGACCTGGAGGAAGCTCCTGGCTTCGGATTAGCTCAGCTCTGGCTGTTGTGGACATCCGGGGAAAGAAACAGCAGATGGAAGATTTTTCTGTTTCTGCTTCTCTATGTAAATCTGCCATTCATAAATAAATAGATAAATAAAAGATTTTACATCAGACATGTGACCTGTAAATAGATTTTCTCTGTGAACTGTCACACAAAAGGGACGCCAGGTGCTGCTGGTGTCTCCTTGGCTGAGGGCCGTCCAGGGTCAAGCTAGCACCTGCTTCCCAGTCTCCTGACAGTACAGGCACCTGTGCTGTCCAGGGAGGGGCTGACTGTGTGGTGGCACGGGACAGTTCCCATCCCCTCACCTCCTGCTCTGCAATGCACATCACTAACGCAGAGCGTCTTCTGGCTCCTGGCTGCTTCAGCTGCTACTTCACTGTCCAGAGATACTTTTTGGATTTTATTCAACTATTCAGAAAATTCAGGGGTAGATGCTGTGACCCAGAGGGTTAAGCTGCTGCTTGGGGCACTTGCGCTCTATACTGGGCTGCTGGTTTGGGTCTCAGCTGTAAGGCTGTACCTCTGCTTTTTGTTTGTTTGTTTGTTTTGTTTTGCTTTGTTTTATACTTCTGGCTTTCAAGTATATATATATTCAGTAACACTTATTTGAAAGGCAAAGTGACTGATACAGAGAGATCTTCTACCCACTAGTCCACTCCCCAAATAGCCATGGCAGCCGCGGCTGGGCCAGGCGAAAGCCAGGAGCCAGGAATGTCTTCCAGGCTCCCGTGTGGCCACAGGGGTCCCAGCACTGGGGCCATCTTCCACAGTTTTCCCAAGTGCATTAGTAGGGAGAGGATAAGAAGTAGAGTGTCTATGTCTCCAATTGGTACCCGTGTGGAATACTGACCTCACAGACAGCAACTTAAACTGTGTGTTGGTCCAAGCATTGTTTTTTCAAGATTTATATTTTATTGGAAAGTCAGATACAAAGAGAAGAGACAGAGAGGAAGATCTCCAATCTGATGATTCACTCTCCAAGTGGCCACAACAGCCAGACCTGAGCCCATCCAAAGCCAGGAGTCAGGAGCTTTTTCTGGGGCTCCCACATGGGTGCAGGTCCCAAGGCCTTGGCTGGACTCCACTGCTTTCCCAGGCCACAAGCAGGGAGCTGGATGGGAAATGGAGCTGCTGGGATTAGAACTGATACCCATATGGGATCACTGCGTGTTCAAGGAGAGGACTTTAGCCCCTAGGCTACTGCACCAGGTCCCCAAGCATTTTTTGTTTGTTTGAATGCAGATTTACAGAGTGAAGGATAAACAGAGAGAAAGATGTTCCATCCACTAGTTCACTCTCCAATGGCTGCAACGGCTGATCTGAGGAGTCAAGAACCAAGAGTCCCTTCTGGGTCTCCCATGTGGACAGGGTATCAAGGACTTGTGCTGTCCTGCCTGCTTTCCCAGGCCGTAAGCAGAGAGCTGGATCAGAAGTGGAGCAGCCGGGACAAGCACCAGTGTCCATTTGAGATGCTGGTAGTTTAAGCTGGATGATTAGCCTGTTGAGCCATGGCACCACCCTCTCCCCCCCCCAATATTTTTAAAGTTTATTTATACGATTTATTTTCATTTGCTTGATAGGCAGAATTTCGAACACACACCCCTTCTATCCATTGTCTTACTCCTCCAAATGGCAACAAAAGACAAGGCTGACCCAGGCTGAAGCTGAGAGCCCAGAATTCTATCTAGAGTGCCTGCATGTGACAGAGTGGAAAAACCTCGGGTGGCCCCGGCACCCTGTATCAGCCCTGGTTTAAGCATTGGAAGCCAATATGTCTGGGAAGGCAGTGGAAGATGAGCCACGTACTTGGGCCCCTCCACTCCTGTGGATGATTCACAGGAGTCAGTGGCTCCTGGCTTTGACCTGTCCCAGACGTGGCTGTTGTGGGAACTAGGGAAGTGAAACAGCCAATGGAAGATTTCTGTTTCTTTGTCTTTCCCCTTCACTCTCTCTGTCACTCTGCCTTCAAGTTAATCAGTGCTGGGCCAGGCTGAAGCTGGGAGCTCGATCTCAAGCTGGGTTGCACCACATGAGCAATACTGCCTTTTTGAGTATACCAGGGAGCTGGAACGGAAGTAGAGCAGCCAGAACTTGAACTGGTGCCCATGGGGGATGCTGGTAACTGCTCAGCCCATTATCGCATCCCATATAGAGTACCAGCTGGAGTCCCATATCCTCCGCTTCCAAATCAGTTTCCTGCTAATGCATATGGGAAAGCAGTGGGCGCTCACTCCAGTGCTTGTGGCCCAGCCACCCGTGGACGCTCACTCCAGTGCCTGTGTCCCAGCCACCCATGCTTGAAAGTCAGATGGAGTTCTCAGCTCTGACTTGGGCCTGGCTCAGCCGTAACCATGGCAACCACTGGGCAGTGAACCAGCAGATAGATCTCTCCTCTCTCTGTCTCTCCCTGTCTCTGTCATTCTTTCAGTTAAATAAATACATTTTGAGAGATGATACTGAATAAGAGCTTGATGCCAGTGTGAGTAGAGTCCCAAAGGAGCAGCTTAGGATGGAGGTATGGTTAGAGGCCGAGGGGATGATGGCAGACTTTTCAGAGACAAGTCTCATTCTAGGCCCCTGCCCTGCACCCTGCCAGCACTCCCAGAGCTGTCTCCAGCTGCACTTACTTTGTCTAGGTCAGATCTGATGCTGATACCTCGGACAAAGGCATCTCCAGAAGTCATGGGCTTATCCCCAGTCAGCATCTTGAAAATGGAAGTCTTCCCAGCTCCATTGAGGCCAAGGAGGCCAAAGCATTCTTTTGCTTGAATGGTGAAGGACACCTTGTTCACTGCCACCAGGGGCACCTTGCTCTCATAGACCTGAGATGCATGAGACAGGAGAAATGGAGATCAAGTCCAGCTCAGTCCAGCAGCTGCACTGTGCTCACTGCACCTGGTCTAGGACAGGGCCCAGGGGCCCTCCTGTCCCCAGGCCGCCTGCTCTCCGTGGTGATACACGGCAGGGATGGTAGGGTTTTCTCCCTAGCTACTGTCCTTTTCTAAGATAAACTCTCTGACCCTGATGCCAACACAATTCTTTTTTGGGTATTGTGGAAGATTTTATTTAAATTTAAACCACCAGGAGCTAGCGGGAAGCAGTACGATGCATGAACTTGGAAGAAATGGTACCACGATATCCTGAGGGTGGGAGGGGCCCTGAGCCCATCAGGCTGACCAAGGAGGCCTCTTCCCAGGGCCTCCTCCACAACTGACCTAGGTCCTGAGGCCAGGCACTGGGTCCTAGCCGCCCTGCTAGCCTTCTTCCCTTCGAAGCGCTGGTGATCTGCTCCTGCTTCCACTCCCTCCCCAGGCACCCGTTCCGTCTGCAGGGATGCGGAAGAGAATGGACCTCTCCCTGAGTCAGGTAAATCATCTGTGACTCATCGCAGGGGAAGCCCACTGAGAGTCCACCTCCTCAGGCCCTTGCCAACAGGAAGGAGGGTCGTGTCATGGGCCTTTGAAGCCAGGTCTGACTTTACCTTTGACACTTCTTTAACAACCAGTGGGTTCTTCTTGCGCAGCTTTTCCAAATGGGTCGCTATGAGTTTTGCTTCCTGGACCACGTCTTGGTCTTCAGGTAATGATGATACCTCCAGCAGCTCTGCCTGTGTGACCGAAACAAGGATCAGGACCTGTTTCTGCAGGGCAGGAGGTAGCTGGAGGCAAGGACTGCGTTTCAGTAAACTCAGGGCCTTGTTTCCACACAGCTGAGGGGCAAGCCCTCGCAGGCCACAGACAGCTGGCACAGCAGGTAAGAGTCCCAGGGGCTCGGCCAGACACACTCACCACACTCTGCTTCCTGCACAGGCGGGCTAGCCGGGCTCTCAGGGTCCAGAACACATTGGTTTCAATGAGGAACAGCAGGACGATGTACACGGGGCCCGAGATGGCCAGTGCTGTGAGGTACTTCCCTACCCCCAGAGGCTCCCAGGCATAGATGTTCTTTTGGACCACATATTTCTCTGCTGAAACAGGGTAAGAAGACGTTCTGGAGCTTCCAGGGATTGTCAGACGAATCCCTCAACTGCACATCTAGCAGATAAATCCCGATCACACAAAGTGTCACTTGGAAGACGCTCTCTCGTCATCGTTGGGATTACCACATCCCAGGCAGTGGTAAATAAGGACATGTTGCTCTCTTTAAGACTATAAAAATGATGTGGTAAAATAAGAGACCTCTCATGTCATCCATAATAGCTCTGTATGATTTCTGTCAATAAAAAAATAAAAAATGAATAGGTGTTGTGGTTCAGGGGTCAAGTCACTGCTTGTAACCACCAGTATCTCAAACAGAGCAACACCTCAGGTTCTGGCCACTCCCTTTCCAAGCCAGCCTCCTGCCAGCGTGCCTGTGGAAGCAGCAAAGGTTATCCCAAGTGCTGGCCCTGCTGCCCATGTGGGCAACCTGCATGGAGTGCCAGCCCTGACTGCTGCAAGCATGTGGGGAGCGAGCCAGCAGCTGGATGGTCATTCCTTGTTTCTCCCCTCTGTCACTCTGTCTTTCAAATACATAAATAAGTAAATCTTTGGGGAATAAAAAAGAAGTATTTCTTCTTGTTCATGTGACAGTTGAAATACAAGCTACCTATATGTTTGAGTCTTTTTTTAATCCTTAATTACCCTAGGGGCCTCTATTCTCTTTTTAATCTGGTCTGCCATGACATTTTTATAGTATTTTAAAATTATACAGTGTATGTGGTGGTCCAACATCATGAATTAACTGCTTAATCCCCACCTTGCAAATGCTGGGATCACATATGGTGCTGGTTCATGTCCCAGCAGCTCCACTTCCCATCCAGCTCCCTGCCTGTGGCCTGGGAAAGCAGTAGAGGACGGCCCAAAGCCTTGGGACCCTGCACCTGCGTGGGAGACCCAGAGGAGCTCCTGGCTGGCTTCGGATGGGCGCAGCACCAGCCATTGTGTACACCTGGGAAGTGAATCAGATCTTCCTCTCTGTCTTTCCTCCTCTCTGTGTATCTGACTTTGTAATAAAAAAAAATAAATCTTTTTAAAAAGATTTTTTATTGGAAAAAATATATACATATATATATGTATATATGTATATTTCAGATACACAGAGAAGAGGAGAAACAGAGAGGAAGATCTTCTGTCCGATGATTCACTCCCCAAGTGAGCGCAACGGCCAAATGCTATGCCGATCCGAAGCCAGGATCCAGGAACTTATTCTAGGTCTCCCACGCGGGTGCAGGGTCCCAAAGCTTTGGGCCATCCTCCACTGCTTTCCCAGGCCACAATCAGAGAACTGGATGGGAAGTGGAGCTGCCGGGACCAATATGGGATCCCGGTGCTTACAAGCAAAGGGCTTTAGCCACTAGTACCTCACCAGGCCCTGTATTAGGTATTATAAATAAATTAGGCATGAATTAAAGTGTAGAGCAGCATAAAAATAGGTTAAATGCAAATATGCCATTTTACATAAAAGGATCAACTTTGTGTGGATTATATCTCAATAAAAATATACTGCTACTCACAAGCCTCATTGCACTCGACCTGGCTCAGGTTCTTGATGCTGCACAACTGCTGCAGTTCGAAGTTGTAGTACAAGTTGCAGAAAGCCATGCCCAGACAGTGGCCGGGGAATACCAGGAACGCATGGTCCAAGGACTCAGAGAATGCTTCGTAACCGAGCTCTGCAAGGGAGTCCAAGCAATACAGCAGTAAGTTAGAGCAAGGAAAAAGCACACCCTTGAATCTAGTGTTGTAACACGACGGGTTCAGCCATGGCCTCCCTGGATGCTCTGCTTCTGATGCAGCTCCCTGAAAACACACCGGGGAAAGCAGTGGAAGATGCCTCAAGTGCTTGGGCCATGCCACGTGGGAGTCCTGGATGGGCATGACCTTGGTAGTTGTGGTCACTTGGCGAGTGAATCAGCAGATGTTCCATCTCTGTCTTGCCCCACCCCGACATCTCCCTCTCTCTGTAATGATTCACTCCCCAAGTGACCGCAACAGTTGGTGCTATGCCGATCTGAAGCCAGGATCCCTCCAGGTCTCCGACATGGATGCAGGGTCCCAAGGCTTTGGGCTGTCCTCGACTGCTTTCCCAGGCCACAAGCAGGGAGGGAGCTGGATGGGAAGTGGAGCTGCCGGGATTAGAACCGGTGCCCATATGGGATGCCGGCACGTTCAAGGCAAGGACTTTATCTGCTAGGCCATCATGCTGGACCCAAAAAAACAATTTCAGAAAGATGTTTTTGGGGCTCACATTGGTTGTGGTGCAGCACCCCTAGCAGAGCTCTGGTCTGAGAGTACTGGCTACTCCACTTGTGCTCCACCGCTTGGGCCACTGCCACCCAAAGGGAGATGAGGACAGAACGCCTGGTTCTGGACTCCAGCCCGGTTCAGCCCACCCACTGCAGCAGGGCCTGCTGCTCTCCCAGGCCACTGGCAGGAAGCTGGATCCAAAATGGAGCAGCTGGGATACAAACCAGTGTCTATATGGGTAACCAGCACTGTAGGCAGAGACTTAACCCTATATACTACAACACTGGGCCCAAATCATTTTTTCATTTTTCTTTTCTTTTTTTTTTAAAGTAGAAATCTGATTAATTGTGACAAACGAATAAGCTTACAAAAACAACACCTCGCATCACGATAGAGGCTATCTCATCATTCTCCAAAGTTCCCCAGTATTTTTTGGGATCAATGCTCTTTCCGGATCCTTAGGCAATCCCTTTTCATATTCTGGGGGTGGATCAGGTGTCTGTCCCTGGACTTCACCGGTGTCCCCACACAGCTGTACAATCCTCCTTCGCTGCCCAGCAGTCCATTGGATGAATACAGCCAAACATTTCCCTCGCTTGCTAAAGGGTGTTTCTCAGAGCACAGCTGCCCTGAATGGCCTCTAAGAGGCACATCTTCTGCAGCTGTGGCAGGGACACTCAGCTGCCATGCGCTCACCCTGTTCTGCTGTGACTCTGACGAGCAGGATGGGCCCGATGCTCAGGAAGGTGAGCATGATGACCAGCTTCATGCAGGCGTGGCTGGCGCTTTCAAAGGAGAAGCTGACAATGTATATGAAGGGCACTGTGGCCCATCCGTACAGGAGCAACATGGAGACCAGGGCAGTGATGTTCTCATAGCGTGTGAACACGTCTTCTTTGTAGTATAAAAACACCACCTCAGGAAAGCGGAAGAATTGGGGAAAGTCCTTAGGAACCTATCCTCAGCACTGGAGAAAGAATGACGACACAGAGAGATCCTCCATCTACTGTTCATTCCCAAATGGCTCAACGGCCAGAGCTGAGCCAATCTGAAGCCAAGAGTCAGAAGTTTTCCCTGGCCTCCCTCACAGGCCGTCCTCGACTGCTTTCTCAGGCTATAGGCAGGGAGCTGGGTGGGAAGTGAAGCAGCTGGGACACAAACCAGCATTCATATGGGACGTTGATGCTTAAAGGTGGAAGGATGGCCTGTTGAGCCATCATGCTGGTCTGTAAGATTTTGGCCCTACCCCACAGGTACCTTCTTTCCCAACACCCACCATCAGCAGAAGTGTAGTGAGGTAGGAGGGTCAGACATGCCTGCAGAACACACAGACAGGGGGCTGGCTCAGTCTTGGCTACTCTGCTCCTGACCCAGCTTCCCGCTAGGACAATTTGGGAGGAAGATGATGGCTGCAGTAGGTGCCTGGGCCCTGACCCGTGGGAGACCCAGCCGGAGTTATGGGCTTCTCAGTCGGCTCAGCCTGGCTGCTGTAGGCATCTGGGGAGTGAGCCAGCAGATGGAAGATCTCTGTCTCTGTGTTATCCTGCCTTTCAAATAAATGAAAACAAAACAAAACAAAAAAACAAGAAACAGCCCCCCCCCCCCCTCAGGTGGAACAAAGAAGGCATCCAAGAAACCCTTAAATAGCTGAATTCAACCACCATCAAATAGTTGATGAGTATACTGGAGAGCTATTTCTGGATGGCCAGTCACATCCTCAAGGCTTCTGACAGCCAGCGGCAGTGACTGTGACGCCACGTGAAGAGCCTTGGGCAGGGGCGGGCCTTGTGCCACAGCCAGTGAAGCTGATGTTTAGAGCGCCCACATGACACTGCAGAGCTGCTGGGACCCAGTCTCGCCTCCACTCCCAATCCTAGTTTCCTGGGAATCTGTCCAGAAGGTGGCAGCAGATGGTCAAAGTACGTGGATCCCTGCCCCATGCGGGAGACACTGGAGCTCCTGCTAGCTCCGGCCTGGCCCAGTCCCAGCTTTTATGGACATTTAGGGAGTAAACCAGCGCCTGTCAGAGTCTCTCTCTGTTTCTCCCTTTCTCTCTTTATCTGTCACTGTCAAGGAAGTCAATACAACTAAGAAAAATTACAGAACCTTAAAACACAAAAAAACAGAGTAGGTCTGTCAGCTCACAGCCACGCCAAGACTCAGTGAGGAGTGGCTGAACTGCCAGCCGGAGATGCCAGCTGCTTCTGGTCCTGTGCCAGTGTCCTCAAGGCAACATTCCCTGCCATCTGCGGTGGTGGGGGGCACCCCAGCGTGATCCAGCACTCACCACCATCAGCAGTGTGGGGACAAGGAAGGAGATGAGGTCCCAGAGCAGGGCAGAGAGCCAGTAAGCTACCAAGTAAATGCCACTGACAAACTGGATGTGCTTGGCTTTGATCCGTCTCTCCCGCACAATCAAGATGGAAAAGGAGCTGGACAGAAAAGCGACTCCAAAGAGCAAGTTGACCACGAGGTAATGCCCTTTAGGGCCCCTGTGAGGAGAGAGGTACCAGTGCAAGTGGAACTGCCGAGAGTTGCCATCTCCACAAGAACAATTTGTTATAAATAAGAGATGAAGAAAGAAATGGGTTATGAAGAGACAGATGCTTTGAGTCAGAGAGGAGGGAGGGTGCACCCACTGGTATAGGACATTCTCGGATATCTCCATCTCCGACTGAGGCTGTGGGTAGTTGGACGTGCGTATGGAAGCCCCGGCACCGGAGAGCAGCTTGAAGAGGAAGTTGTCCACCATAGTCATGGCCAGAGCAGGGGAATGGTACGCCTGGTTGTTGAACAGTGCGGTCACGGTGGTGTGATTGCCCTCGTCCCTGAAGGAGGCTGCCACGAGGTAGAACTTATTAAAATCCTCAGGTTTCTCTTTGGCCTTTTTCAATAGGAATGTCTCTATAGAACCTGGAAGGGAGTAGGACATGCAGCAGGCAGTAAGCGTGACTGAGAGCGTGGGAGTCGAGCACCCTCCCCACCGGCCCCCCATCCTGCTGCTCCCTGGATGGATCACCACCCCTTGCCATATCCACTCTCTCCTGCTGCGTCCCACCGAGCATCCCAGGCCTCTCACCCTTTCAGCTCTGCCCTTGGCCTCTCATGAAGCACCTTGCTGCTCCCACAGAGCCCTTCCATTGTCTGCCATGGCCTGGCTGTGTGGCTTGTCCCCTCAGAACTCATACTGGAACCTGGTCTCCGGGGCAGCAGTGCGCAGCCGCACCGAGAGCCCTAAGAGCCCTCCTGGGAAGGGCCTCCTGGAGGCGGGGAGGGGTGGGCGCTAGGGCAGGCTCTGCTGCCTCGGCTTTCTCTCACTGCTCCCCTCACCTCCTGCCCTTCTATCAGGCTGCGATGCGAGAGGAGGCCCTCCCCAAAAGCTGAGCACAGACGCCAGGACTTCTCAGCCTCTGGAACATTCACAACACAAGCTTGTATTCTGTAAAAATGACCCAGTCAGTGGCCTGCTGATACAGCAGCAACAGTGTTAACACGCTACACAGCCTCCAGGCCTTGTGTCTGCTCTGGCCTCAGCAGAGGCCCTCCAGAGCAGACCAGGTCCCTGCTGTTCGGGAGGCTCCCTGGGCTGCCTTCCCTGTTCACTGTCACTTACTCAGGGAGTGTCCTCTGCCCTTGCAGGGCTCAGCCATGCCAGGAGACCTTGCACTGCAGGCACAGTGCCATCCCTGTGTTCTGATAACTCTGTCACCTGTCACCTTCTTCACTGAAGCCCCTGGCAGACATTGTGCACACAGGGTCACGCATGGGACACCTGTCACCGCAGCTGATGGCAGGGACCTTCAACCCCAAAGACGTCAAGGGACCATTGCCAGGGGGCACAAACTGTGCCAAGTGCTGCGTGGACGGTGTCTCCCTGGAACCGTCCCAATGATGCTACATGGCAAGGTTTCTCACTCTCATCGTCTGGCACATGAAACATGCTGACAGAGGGAAGTGTGACACCAGCCATTTTGTTCCACCATTTTCTACAACTGCTCTCCTTGATTTAAAAAAATCAGTATCCCAACATTTCACTGGATCAAAACAATAACGAATGTAATTTCAAAAGTCAAATGATTAGACAAGACGTGAGGCACAGCACTGCCCCCATCTCCCCTCAGCCCTTGCTCTCTGAGGCTTCTGTAAGCCAGAGCTTCTCCACGCGGTCAACCGCACTTTTTCTCTGTTGATGTCTTACCATGGAAGCAAAAATTTTGTTCTCTTGTCATTTTTGCCAACACCCCTAGACTTGCCATCCTAGCAGGGCTAAATCACACTTTTGGTTACTTCAATAGTCAGTTCTGACATTATTAGGACTAAATGAAGGCTTTTCCAAGCATGTTTCAACTTTGTACAGTTTCCCCTGTAACCATGTACTTGCTTTCTTACCAGCTCTTTTCTTCACATGCGCCATCAACTCTCCCCCCGACGAAAGTGCCGACCTTTACACTCACAGAGCTGACTTCCTGACCGCCTCCGGGGCTCCCATCAACCCCTAGAAGGACACATCCTCTGTCTCCTTCCTAAGAACCCTCCTCTTTCCTGTCATTTCGAACCTGAAAGGTGTTTTTGCTAAGGGGCCCTACGGGGCCAAGAGGGCAACCAGCAGCCTGTGGCACGGCCCATTCTCTGCCGGATGCTTACCTGGGACTTCCAGAGGGATCTGCCCCTCAGCCACAAGCATGCTTGCAAAGCGCTCTGAAAGCTGAGGATCCAACCTGGAATTCTGAGGAACAGAGAATGGGACCACGGTCTGACCGTACGTTTTCAGGCTGAGCTCCAGGGGGACGCTGGCCGCATTCATCACTCTCAGATTGAAGAAGAAGAGACTTAACATAATGATCACCAGCGGCACCAGGATCTGGATCGACAAAATCAGCATCCAGTTGCGCCAAGAATACAGCGCTTTCTTCAGGAACATGGCATAGAATTGCTGGCAGAGAAGAAAGAACTGCAACACATCAAGAGGGCACAGCAAAAACATGGTCACCAGGTAGACACAGGCAGACACAGGCAGAGAGCAGGCACACAGGCAGACACAGGCAGACAAGGCAGAGAGCAGGCAGAGAGCAGGCAGACACAGGCAGACACAGGCAGACAAGGCAGAGAGCACGCAGAGAGCAGGCAGACACAGGCAGAGAGCAGGCAGACAAGGCAGAGAGCAGGGAGACACAGACAGACACAGACACAGGCAGACACAGGCAGTCACAGGCAGACACAGGCAGTCACAGGCAGACACAGGCAGACACAGGCAGACACAGGCAGATACAGGCAGTCACAGGCAGACACAGGCAGACACAGACAGACAGCAGCAGACACAGGCAGACACAGGCAATCACAGGCAGACACAGGCAGTCACAGACAATCACAGGCAGACACAGGCAGACACAGGCAGTCACAGGCAATCACAGGCAGATACAGGTAGTCACAGACAGACAGCAGCAGCCACAGGCAGACACAGGCAGTCACAGGCAGACACAGACAGACACAGACACAGGCAGACACAGGCAGACAAGGCAGAGAGCAGGAAGACACAGACACAGGCAGACACAGGCAGACACAGGCAGTCACAGGCAGACACAGGCAGTCACAGGCAATCACAGGCAGACACAGGCAGACACAGCAGACACAGGCAGATACAGGCAGTCACAGGCAGACACAGGCAAACACAGGCAGACACAGGCAGACACAGGCAGACAGCAGCAGCCACAGGCAGACACAGGCAGTCACAGGCAGACACAGCAGACACAGGCAGATACAGGCAGTCACAGGCAGACACAGGCAGTCACAGGCAGACACAGGCAGACACAGGCAGACACAGGCAGTCACAGGCAGACACAGGCAATCACAGGCAGTCACAGGCAATCACAGGCAGATACAGGTAGTCACAGGCAATCACAGGCAGACAAGGCAGAGAGCAGGCACACAGACAGCAGCAGCCACAGGCAGTCACAGGCAGACACAGGCAATTCTTGGAGCACTGCCTGTTGTACCCCTCATTATAGGCCTACCTAACTTGTTATCTATGTTCAAATTACAAATGTTGAACTCATGATCTCTTTGATCTTTAATGGAAAAAGAAGAACAAGGTGGGAAGATGGGCCCAAATAGCTAGTAAAGGTAACGATTTCTCAAACGGACAAAGCTGACAAACTTCAAAGTGGATCAGAATGTGGGAAATGCCGATGTTGGTTGGTTTTAATTTTTTTCAGTGTTTTTTTTTTAATTTCACTTGAAAGGCAGAGTTAGAAGGCCACAGGGAAGAGAGACCGCGACACAGCTCAAGACAGCTTCTTTCTGTTTCACTCCAAAAAATGTCCTCAGTGGCCAGAGCTAGACCGATCTGAAGCCAGCAATGAGGAAGTTCCTCTGGGTCTTCCACATGTGTGCAGGGGTCCTAGGTACTTGGCCCGTTCTCCCCTAGGTGCACCCAGAAACCAACCTGGAATTGGATCAGTCAGGATGTGAGCTGGCACTCATATTGGGATGCTGGTACCTTGGGTGGCAGTTTTACCCACAATACCACAGTGCCAGCCCCAATGTGTCTTATAAAAAATTTCTTTCTTTCTTTACTTTATTGGAAAGTCAGATTTACAGAGAGGAGACACAGAGAGAAATATCTGTTCACTGGTACACACCCAAAATGGCCACAATGGCCAAAGCTGAGCTGATTTGAAGCCAGGAGCCAGGAGCTTTTTCCAGGTCACCCACGTGGGTGCAAGGTCCCAAGGCTTTGGCCCATCCTCCACTGCTTTCCCAGGACATAGGCAGGGAGCTGGACGGGAAGTAGAGTTGCCAGGCTGGGATTAGAATCAGCGCCCATATGCAGTCCTGATGCATTCAAGGTAAGGACTTTAGCTGCTAGGCTACTGTACCGGGCCCATAATATATATATATTTTAAATAAGAATTTTTACACTCAGCATTCTGAAGTTTACCTTTACCTCCTTCATCACAAGGCATTACTCTTCTCCTGTCCAAGGCTGCAGACAGAAAACGGTTCTCAAGAAGGCTCGGGAGCTGGCTTCCCAAACAACACATGCTCAAGGCTAGCCCTGCTAGAGCTCGCTGAGGCTGGAGAAGGCCCCTCACACAGGACAGGGGCTCCCAGTGTGGAGGCTCAAGCAGGCCAGCGTCCTCTCCAGTGTGTGATTCCAGACCACGAACAATGAAGCTAATCTCCAGCCCAGGGAAGTGAGTCTCATTTCACGTTAACACCTAATAGCAGTGCTCACTTTGGTAGCAGACAGGCTAAAAAACTGGGACAATACCACAGCAGCAAAAGCAAGACAATTGTATGAAATACACACCAATATCTTTTTTTCAATGAAAATGTTACACATTGTCCATGTAGCTCATACAGGTGTACTGTGAGAATTTAAACTCCAGCTTGTGTAACACAACACAGGGAAATAGAAAATACGGCTCCTGGCCAGTAGATTTGGTGTTTTTCCTTCTCGTTCTTACTAGCGAGAAGAAAAGTCCAGATCTTTCCTGTGACCTTATCTAATATCTTCTTGCACCGGGCTCATCTCCACCCAAAACACGGCACCTAAAATATGCACACTTTTTCTTAAGTACGTGTAAAAGTTTGGTTATACTTTTTGATAGAAATAGAAATGCTGTGGTCCTCAGAATTAAATCTGCGACTGTTCCGAATGCTTTGCTTACCCCGGTGTTTAGTCTCACTGGGAGGCCAGGGTGGATTGAGTAGATCCTGGAATGGATCTGTTTAATTCTGTCAACAGGAACTCTGCTCGTCATGGGGTGAGGACGGAGAGACGAACGCTTGCTGCTCAGGGCATTTATAGTGGAATCTGCCAAAGTACACACCCTAAACCAAATCAAAATGAAAAAAACAAATTCTCAAAGCACATTGCATCTGGATTAAAAGAATAAAAGCTATATATAACATTTAAAAAGAGTAAGACATTTAAGAATAATGAGAGGGAATCATACTTAGATTATGTACTATGTAAAACATATACTCTAAAGGTCTTAAATAAGTGCTAAACACTGTTAATTAGCCAATGCTCTTGTCAGAGAACTGTGGCAATAGTAACACTAGCGGGTACAGGGGCCCAAGGTCTTGGGCTATCCTTTGCTGCTTTCCCATGCGATTAGCAGGGAATTGGACTCTAAGTGGAGCAGCTGGTACTCAAACTGGCACCCATATGGGATGCAGGTGCAGGCGGATTAGCCCGCCTGGCCATGGCACTAGCCATTTCTGTTCAAGTCGTTGTTCCATTATTCTGCTACTGGGAAGTTACCGCTGCAGAGACATGCAGCATGTTGTGGCTTCTTTATTGCTCTTGGAAAAGTAGATTGATGCAAAGAAAGAGACACAGAGAGGACAATATTCTGTCCACTGTTTTATTTGCCAAGTGGCCGCAACGGCTGGAGCTGAGCCGATTTGACGCCGAGAGGCAGGAGCTTCTTCTGGGTATCCCACATGTGTGCAGGGCTCCAAGGCTTTGGTTCCAGGCCACAAACAGGGAGCTGGATAGGAAGTGGAGCAGCCAGGACACAGCCCGTGCCCACATGGGATCCCAGTGAATGCAAGGTGAAGATGAAGTCAACAGGCTACCACACCACACCCCCTGGCTCATTTTTCATTCCGTTACAGTTCCACAGAGGATGGTGTATTGGTTATGTGCTGTTAACACAGATTATCTTGAAGGTTAGCAGCTTTAAGTAGCCTAAATCATTTATTTTCTCACATAGTTTTTGTGGATGAGGAGTTTGGGAGTGACATGACTGGGCGATTCTCTCTCAGGTTTCCTCAAGTTGTTGGCCACAGGTGTGGTCGCACAGAGGCCTGACTGAGGCTGCAGGACTCACTTTCGAGGGCAGTGACTCACTTTCACCTCCACACCCAATTCCTTCACCTTTAGTCAGCATCTTGTACCACAGTTGATCAGCTGGCATGCCAGCAGACAGAGTGCCAGAGTGAGAAGAGAGGTCTTCTATTCCTGGGTCACTTCCCAAATGGATGTAACAGCCAGGTCTAGGTTGAGCTAATGCCAGGAGCCAGGAACTCCATCTGGGTCTCCCACATGGACCTGGGCCCAGTATTTTGGCTGCCTTTGGCTGCCTTCCTAGATGTGTTAGCAGGAAGCTGGACCTAAAGCAGAACAACTGGTACTTGAATCATCACTCCATATTGGATGCTGACTTCTTGAACAGTGCCTTACACTGCTGTGCCACGGTGTCCATCCCTAGGGAATTATTTTTCAGCGAAGTGATATTTTTAAACCAGAGTTGCCAGGTAGGCAAAAACATCCCAACTGATATAACACAGTGTTCCACCCATCTTTTGATTCCTACAAATTTCTTTCAAAATTGTTGAAAATTACAGTTAGCATTATCTCCATTATCCAACACGCCCATTACTGGAGTGCTAGTCTAAGGCTGGAAGACCACCGAGTTTGTAGCCATCACAGCATGGGCAACGCTTAGACAGACGGGCTTTAGGGAGCTTTACAAAGTGAGCTCTGCCCTCACCGAATGAACACCTCCTCCATGGTGGTGACCGAGGCCCCGAAGCTGGCGATGCCCAGCTCTGTCTGCCGTAGCTCCAAGCTGTTGAACAAAGATTCGAACCTGGAAGGAAAACACAGTTTTGTTACTGAAAGTTGGAAGGTGAATTCCTCACCAGCATGGTTAGCTTGCTAAATGAAAAATGTGTGAGCTTTGCGTGAGGACAATCCAAAGCTTTGGGATCCTGCACCCGTGTGGGAGACCCGGAAGAAGTTCCTGGATCCTGGCTTCGGATCGGCATAGTATCGGCCGTTGCGCTCACTTGGGGAGTAAATCATCAGACGGAAGATCTTCCTCTCTGTCTCTCCTCCTCTCTGTACATCTCACTTTCCAATAAATAAATAAATCTTTTAATTGGAAAATCAGATTTACAGAGAGAAGGAGAGATAAACAGAAAGATCTTCCATCTGCTGGTTCACTCGTCAAGTGGCTACAACGGTTGGAGCTGAGCTGATCCCAGGTCACAAGCAGGGAGCTAGAAGAAGAGTGGAAAGCTGGGATACAAACTGGTGCCCAAATGGGATCCTGGGATATGCAAGGTGAGGACTTTGGCCAGTAGGCTACTGTGCCAGGACTCAGATAATTTACCTGAAATAAAGAGAAATGGAAGTTGTGGAGGGAGACAGAGAGAGAGAGAGCTGCCAATCCCTGGCTCACTCCCCATATGCCTCCATGAGAGGCAGCAGGTGAGGTTGAAGACAGGAACCAGGAGCATCCAGGTGCCTAACCGGGTGCACCTAAGCCATGATTATTGCCTTCCAGGCTCTGAACTGGCAGGAAGCTGGAACCAGGAGCAGACAGTGCAGGTACGAGCATGCCAAGTGCCATGCCAAATGTCAGTCTTGAGGAGCTAGTTTGGTTTGCTTATTTGACTATTTGTTTGAAATATTATTTATTTCAAAGTCAGAGTCACAGAGAGGGAGTTGAGAGAGAGAGAGAGAGAGAGCGAAGATAACATTGAATGGCTCATACCTGTGCATACTCTCTTTCGGGAGTATGAATATTATTTCTTCACCAGCACTGGACTCTAACACAGCATTGGGTATATGATGATAAATCAGGTGAGAAAGTGCCTCCGTGTTACACTGTGGTGTCTTCAGTAAAGTGATATAATATCCTGAACCTGGAACACCATTGAAAAGATATGAAGCAACTTCGTTGTGTTAGGCTTCCCAGACCACACTTAGCATGGACGGCTCCCTGGGAGAGAAGCCGAGTGACCCACAACGTCACACTGAGGCCACACGGAACTTACCTGGGACGCTCTGTAGAGCCAGTCTTCAAAACGATGGGTTTTTTGCTTTATTTTATTTATTTAAAAGAGAGAGAAGTGGGGATCCTCTTCTGGTTCTCTCCCCAAATGCCTGCAACAACTGGGGGGGCAGGGCTTGGCTGGCCAAGAACATGGAGCCTGGAACTCATTCTGGGTCTCTCCCACGTGGGTGTCAGGGACCCAAGGGTGCGGCCTGCCCCTGCTTCCTCTAAGAGCATGAGTTAGCAGGACACTGGAATCAAAGTGCAGCTAGAACTTGGCATTCTATTTGCTTTTCCCTGCCACTTCACAGACCTGCTCCGGAGAGGCCATTGTTGAGTCTCCACTGCCACCCCAGGACAGGGAGGTGAGCAATGCTACACAGAAGGAAGAAGGCTACGCCCCAGTGTGTCCTTTCTGTGGTAACTAGGGCCTTGACAGCTCCAGTACAAGGATTCCCGTGTGACAATCACCTCACGCTCCGTGGAGGCCCGTCTCACGGTCTCACAAACACTTCAGAAGTCAGTAATGCTCATGACTGCTGTGCTGAGTGTGTATTCATTCAGTAAACATGGCTGAGGCCCTGGGATGTAACAGGTACTGCTCAAGGTACTGAGCATACAGCTATGGGTCAAACACCACTCTCCAGGCAGTGGGAGGCAAGCAAATCTGCCGCTTGGGTCACCCACATCCCACAGCAGAGTGCCTGGTTCCAGACCCGCCTTCCCTGTCCCCCAAAGCGAGAGGCACACATCGGGTGCCAGGATCTGAGCTTTGGCCTGGCCCAACGCCGCCGGCTGCAGCACTGACAGGACGCACCAGTAGATGCGTGATGCATGTCTGTCTCTGACTCTGCCTTTCAAATAAACAAAAATCAATAAATGCTAAGGATCCCAATTTCCGTGTCACTTTCACTACAGGAATGGGATCAGACAATGAACAAGATAGAGAGGGGACATGCCTGGGTTGTTAGTAACAAACACTCAGGGAAAAAGCAGAGGGGAAAAAGATTTATTATTTTTATTGGAAAGGAAGATTTACAGAGAAGGTGAGACAGAGAGAAAGATCTTCCCTGCACTGGTTCACTCCCTAAGTGTCTGCAATGACCAGAGTTGAGCTGATCCGAAGCCAGGAGCCTCCTCTGGGTCTCCCGCACGGGTGCAGGGTGCCAAGGCTTTGGGCCGTCCTCGACTGCTTTCCCAGGCCACAGGCAGGGAGCTGGATGGGAAGTAGAACAGCCCTGACACGAACTGATGTCCAAATGGGATCCCAGCAGATGCAAGGTGAGGATTTAGCCACCGAGCTATCACATCAGGCCCAGAAGTGTGGTTTTAAAGTGATGAAGGCAGCTCTCACTGTGAGCATGAGAGGTGTAGCCATGTAAGATCTAGAAACCTGTGTCAGCAAGCGGCCTTAGGGAGGGGCACAGCCTGAAGACAGGAGGGTCAGGGACACAGGACCAGGCCGATACAGTCCTACTGGCCACTCCTGACTTCACCATTTTTGTTTTTTTAAGATATATTTTTACTGGAAAGGCACGTTCACAGAGAGAAGGAGAGATAGAAAGATTTTTCATCCACTGGTTCCTTCCCCAAATGTTCACAATAGCTGGAGCTAAGCTGATCTGAATCCGAGCGCCAGGAGCCAATAGACTCCTCTGGGTGTTCCTTGCAGGTGCAGGGTCCGAAGGACTTGGGCAACCTTCTACTGCTCACCGAGGTCAGAATCAGGGAGCTGGGGGAAGAGGAGTAGCTGGGTCATGAACTAATGTCCATATGGGATCCCAACACTTATGGAGGATTAGCCAGTTGAACCATTAATCCAGATGCTCTGAGTAGGAGGGCAAGTCCCCGGAGGGTCTGTGCAGCCTCAGCAGAGTGGCACGTGCTGTCATGTGTGCATGGTGGGTTGGGAAAGAGGAATCAGGGCAATAACAGAGGCACCTGTGGGAGAAGAGGGCGGCCTGGGCCTGAGTGACTTGGAGGCTATGAGTCTGCAGGGGCAGACAAGGGCTAGGAGGAAATAGGACCCCGCTCCCCCACCTTGTCAACTAAGCATTAGAGGAAGGGGCTCCCTTTCCTGGGTGTCAGCTAAGCACCTGTGGAAGGAGCACAATGGGTACACAGCAAAGACTGGGGGCTTTGCAGGAGTCTGAGTGTCACTGCACTCAGTATTCAGCAGGCCCACACTGAGCTTTGGTGCCCAGTGTCACAGAGCCAGGAGGTGGCCCAGCCTTCATGGATCCATCAACGCCTTTCATGGAGGAGGGAGTGCTTGCATCATTCCCTGGAAGAGCAAGTCATTACAAAGCAGTCAGCTTCCCTAGCTCTTTTCCTCTTTCTTTTTTTTTTTTAAGTAGGATTTATTTGTTTATTGGGAAGTCAGATATACAGAGAGGAGGAGAGACAGAGAGGAAGATCTTCCGTCCGATGATTCACTCCCCAAGTGAGCGCAACGGCTGATGCAATGCCGATCCGAAGCCAGGATCCAGGAACTTCTTCCAGGACTCCCACACGGGTGCAGGGTCCCAAGGCTTTGGGCCGTCCTCCACTGCTTCCCCAGGCCACAAGCAGGGAGCTGGATGGGAAGTGGAGCTGCCGGGATTAGAACCGGCACCCATACGGGATGCCGGCGCGTTCAAGGCGTGAACTTTAGCCACTAGGCCACGCCGCTGGGCCCAGCTCTTTTCCTCTTAATGCACACACAACCTGCCCTGCTGCCAGTAGGGAAAGCTGCCCCAGGCCCTCAGCAGGTGGGGCCATAGCACGGAACTTCCCAGCCTGCAGACTTTTTTGTTTTTTAAAAAATATTTATTTTTATTGGAAATGCAAATCAGTTACCAGAGAGAAGGAAAGACAGAAAGAAAGATCTGTCTGTCCCCAAATGGTTGCAATAGCTGGTGCTTAGCCGATCCGAAGCCAGGAGCCAGGAGCTTCCTCCCAGTCTCCCATGCAGATGCAGGGTCCCAAGGCTTTGGGCCATCCTCAACTTTTCCAGGCCACAATCAGAGAGCTGGATGGGAAGTGGAGCAGTCAGAACACAAACCAGTGCCCATATGGGATCCTGGCTCTTGCAGAGAGGATTTAGCTATTGAACCATTGCACCAAGCTCAGGACAAACCTTTTCTTCTGATCAATTAGTCAGTTACAGATCCTGTTACAGGTTGTGCAGTCTGATGTACAGACATGGGACGCAGGCCAAGGGTTATTCAGGCATTTTTCATGAACATAAGAGAGTAGATTTAGTGGATAGATAAGACAACTGGGTCAGTAAGCAGAAAAAGGGGACAGAGGCTGGTGAGAGATAGGAATGATACTGAGCACAGCAGGCCAGCAGCACTGACCACATGGTAGGCGGCAAGAGGACTGCCCGCCCTCTCACTCATGCTCACCATATTTCTGCTTGAGGAACAGCGGGGACCCACAGCACTGCAGTTTCCCCTGGGCCATGATGGCAATGCGGTCCCCTAGCAGGTCAGCCTCATCCATGTAGTGGGTGGTCAGCAGGATGGTGCGGTCACTTTTCTGCTGCTGCAGCAGGTCCCAGACAGCCCTCCTGGAGATGGCGTCCATGCCCGAGGTGGGCTCGTCCAGAATCAGCACCTGAGGGTGAGTGGGGGAGACAGCCTTGGGATGACACCAGAGCCTCATCCGAAGGCTCGGGCTGGAGGCACAGAGTGTCAAAGATGACCCACAGCTGCCCGTGTCAGGCTGCTTAGTTAGGGCATCAAGGCCATCGCAAAAGCCAAGAAGAGCAACAGCCCGCTGTACCTGCGCCCTCCTGCCCGCTGCGCCTGCCCCCGAGGCCCCATACCTTGGAGCCCGCAATGAGGGCGATGCCGATGGACAGCTTGCGCTTCATGCCCCCACTCAGCAGCTTGCACCGGGTGTGGCGCTTGTCCTCCAGGCCGAGCACATGCAGTATCTGCTTGACCTCCTCGGGGCACTTGTGGCGCGACAAGCCTTTCAGCTGAGACCACAGCAACCAAAGAGAGTTGGGGCAGGCCGTGTGGTGGGAAATGGTTCCATGGAATCAACACTTGTGAATACACAAAATACAGCCCAGAAAGGTACAAGGGCAGGCATTAGGTGAGGCGGCTGGGATGCCGCCCTCCTTGTCGGAGCATGGGTTCAAGTTCCAGCCCCGTTTGGTTCCAGCTGCACACAGTTACGTGGGAGGGTGCCTGTCAACCAAGTGAGCCAGCACATGGAAAGAGTGTTCTGTTTCTGTCTCTCTGCCTTTCAAATAATAATAATTATAATGTCCAAAAAGTTAAAAAGGTTTTAGAAAATATAGACATTTGAAACTTACCCCCTTTAGAAAAGGGGATAGGCAAAAGGGTTTTACATTCTGAACCTTGAAAAGGAATCTATGGCTTGGTAAACGTGAGCACGAAGCAGCTGTTCAGAGAATCACACCTCAGGGCCAGGTGAGACATCCTCAAAAACTTAAAAAGAGCTAATAAACCATTTCAGCAAAGCTGCAAATACAAAATAAATACACGCATTTGAGTTGTGTATTGCTACACACCAGCAGTGAAATTACAGAAACAAGTGTGTTCATATCAGCCTCGCAGGGATGCAGTGTACAGACTTATTGCAGGACGAGGGATAACTGTACACTGAAAGCAAACAGGAAATAGTGAAAGAAAACAAGGCCTAAATTAATGGAAATATAGTTCTTGCTCTCAGTGGGTCCTTAAAATATTAAGAGTAGCATTACTGGAGACGTCCTAGTGCAATGGTGGGCCGACTGCTACCCACAGTGGAATGCCAGCGGCAGCCCTGCCTCTCTGCCAGTGCCGTCCAACAGCAGGAGCCTGTCCCCATGCGGGACCAGTGGGGGAGTTCCCGGCTCCGCCCGGGGTTCTGCCAGGCTCGCTCCTGGCTACGCTGCGGTCCTGGCTACGCTGCGCTCCTGGCTATGCTGCGGTCCTGGCTACGCTGCAGTCCTGGCTACGCTGCGGTCCTGGCTGTGTATCAACTATAACAAGTAAAGTCAAGCTGTAGACCTGTGGGTGACACAGCTTAGAAACCTGCCCCAAGGAGAAAAATCTGATAACCAGAAGTACAATGACCAAGAGCAAAAGAAGGGACAAAGGCACAATGAATATTACTGAATTCTCTTCTGCAAAGAAGCAAAAGCCTTTGCCAACCTCAGAGTTCACTGAGGAAGAAAATGGGGATACAGAATTCAAAACACTTGTCATAAAGCTTCTTGTCTACAATATGAAGTACATAAAGCAGGCTTTCAAGCAATTTAAGGAATATGTCACACTGGAAATGAATCAAATGAGAGTTGATATTTCAGAAATGAAGAATACAGTGGAGCAAATTAAAAGCAAAGTGAAGAGTCTACAAAATGGAATGAAGGAAGCAGAAAAAGACTCTCAGAATTGAAAGGTATTTCCTGTCACCAGGGGGAAACAAAGCAAAAGCTGAAAGCAGAGCTGAGGCAACCTGAAAAAAATATTCAAGAACTGAAGGAGTGCTCACTTCGGCAGCACATATACTAAAAAGAACACCACTAAAAGGCCAAATAAAGGAGTTATGGGAGTCCCAGAAGGTGCAGAAAGAGAAGCTGGGTTTAAAAACCATTTAATAAAACATTAAAGGAAAATTTCCAGAATCTAAGGAAAGAATTGGGAAACAACATGTAGGAAGGCACAGAACTCCCAACAGGCTTGACCAAAAGTGATCTTCACCATGACACATGATAATCAATCTCTCTTCGATTGAACGTAAGGAAAAGATCTTTAAATGTGCACATGAAAAAATCAACTGACAGACACATAAAGGAATGCCAATTAAATTCACAGGAGACCTCTCAGGAAACTCTACAGACCAGAAGAGAATGGAACGATATATTCCAGATTCTAAAAGCAAAAAATTGTCAGCCCAGGATAACATACCCAGCAAAGCTTCCCTTTGTCTTTGATAATGAAATAAAATTCTTCCACAGTAAAGAAAAGTTAAAAAAATATGCCTCTCCCAAACCTGCCCTACAAATGATGCTTAAAGATGTTCTCTTGACAGAGAAGAGGAATAGGGCCCACCAAAACCAAAGGCAAATGTGAAGAACATCCCAGTAAAATAACAGCAGAAGACTAAATAAATAAACAACCCATTGCTAAAATGACAGGAACAAATTACTACCCAATCATATCAACCCTGAATGTAAATGGCCTAAATTCATCAGTCAAACATCATAGATTAGTACACTGGATTAAAAGCACACAACTCATCTATTTGTTATTTACAGGAAACATACCTCACCAACAAAGATCAGCAGAAACTATATCTCATGGATTTTGATTTTTTAAAATTAGTTTCATTTCTTCAAAAACATTTTTTCATTAAATTCTTCATCACTGACTCATAGATCATACAGTAACATCATTTTCTTCAAGAAGGTTCTTTTCTTTCACATTTCTTCAGTGACACATTAGTCATTCAGCAGCATGTTATTTACTTTATGGTGTTTTTAATTTCTTCTTTTCTCCCTGTTGTTGATTTTGTATTGTGGTTTTTCATTTAAGGGATGTACAGTAACTGTGTAATGGAGCCTATCAAATCCAGATGGGAGCATGCAATGCAGTCTGCATCTCTACTTATACACCAAAGATGGACTCCCAATGAAACTGTTAATGAAGTCTTGAGTATAGGATGCTGAACTCTGCCACTGTCCATGCCCGCAACGATGGACATACGACTTTTTATGTTGGGGGAGGGAACTTGGGGAGGGATAAGGGAAATCCCAAGGTCTACAGAACTGTATCATAAAATGATAATAATAATTTAAAAAGTAAAAATGAATAAATAAATAACTCCATTAAAAAACGAACTAAGGACATGAATAGATGTTTGTTTGAAGATGTACACAAGTGGAAGGCACAAGCAAGATGGCCAGCACCGCTAGTCACTGGGGAAGTACAATCTGGTGTCACAGCAGTTACTCAAAAAGTTAAAAACAAAACAAAAAACTATAAAGACAACCAGAATTAACATACAACCCATGAACTTCACTCCTAGGTATATTCCCAAAAGTGAACATAGATGTTCAAATGAAAAACAGAATTCTAATGTTCACAGCAGTACTATATGTATTAGGCACAGCCAGGAAACAAGTCACATATCCATCAACTGTAAACAAAACGTGGCCTGCCTGTGCTCTGGCCTACTATTCAGCTGTAACAGGAGGGGAATATTGTGGCCGGTGTGTGGTGTGAGTGGGGTAAGTCACCACCTGTGATACTGGCATCCTATAGGGAGGATGCAATGACAGTATCCCTCAAGCTAGCTGGTGAGGATCCCAGTTGCCTCCTGCTGATATGGCTGAGAAAGCAGCACAAGACGGCCCAATGCCAGAGCAGTGCCACCCCAGGGGAGTGTAGGATGGGGTGCCAGGATCCTGGGTTCAACCTGTCCCAGCCTGACGGAGAGTGGTGTCACCCCGGGGGAGTACAGGACAGGGTGCCAGGCTCCTGGGCACAGCCTGTCCCAGCCCGACGGGAAGCTCCTCAGGAGATGGCATGTCTCTGCTTCTGCCTGCATCGCCGTAACTCTGCCTTTCACAGTAAGCACATCTTTTAAAAAGGGCACTAAGCTTGTAAGTGCTAAACCATTGAGAAATACTCCATGAAATAAGCCTAGCATATATGTAGACTCCATTTCTGTGAAACGTGCAAGGCAGGCGAAGCCACAGAGATGGAAAGCCGGGAGTGATTTTGGAGGGACAAAGGAGCGAGGCAGCAGGCCTGCTATGGTGCAGCTACTTTGGGATGATGGACACGTTCTGAAACTTTAATCACACGTTATTGTGAGAAAGCCAAAAACCATTAATCCAGACACTATAAAATGAGAAAACTAGTGAATTTTGTGTTATGTAAATTTCATCTAAATAAATAGCAAAAAAAAAAAAAAAGTGAAATTAAGATGCAATAGTTTTGGACATATTTGAACTGATAAGTCTGACAGCCACACTCTTGCGTGAAGGAACAGCATTCAAGAGAGGTCTCAGAACGGTAACAGAACAGAGAAACTTGCATTTGGCCTCCCCAGCTACTGCAGCGCAATCAGCCTCTTCCTCACGCCCCTCCCCCACCCTGCAGCTCTGCCTCTCAAATGAATAAACAGTCTAAAAAAAAATCTGTCTCTGTCCCGAGGACTGACATGGAACCCCTAAAGCCCTTGTCATTTCCTGAATGAGAGGATTCTAGAAACATCTTTCATTTTGATTTTTTAAACACTTGGTTTGGTTTATTGCATAGAACTCTGTTCTTAATGATTTATTTCTTTGAAAGACAGGCAGACACAGACACAGAGTCCCCATTCCTTGATTTACTCCCCAGATGGCCGCAACAGCCAGAGCTGGGTTAATCCTAAGCCAGGGGTCAGGAGCTCTTCTGGGTCTCCCACGCGGGTGCAGGGTCCCAAGGCTTTGGGGTGTCATCCACTGCTTTCCCAGGGCACAGGCAGGGAGCTGGATCAGAAGTGGAGCAGACAGGACTTGAATGGGTCATACACAATGCTGGCTCCACAGGGAGCAGCTTCACCCACAATGTCACAGCACTGGCCCTATGACATAGAACTCTTAAAACCTTTGCTTCCCAGGTGACTGGGTATCCTTCTCTCGGAGGAAGTGACCCTTGGAAAGGCCTTCAAGGTAGGAATCGGTGATCAGTGACCAGGAGACCAAGCTGCGATTATAAGTTAGAACATTCAGCCCCACTTCCTGTCCTCTACAGATTGAGTTAATAATTGGCTATGCTGGACCTGGCGTGGTAGCCTAGTAGCTAAAGTCCTCACCTTGAACACTCCAGGATTCCCCATAAACACCAGTTCTAATCCCAGTGGTCCTGCTTCCCATCCAGCTCCCTGCTTGTGACCTGGGAAAGCAGTTGAGGATGGCCCAAAGCCTTGGAACCCTGCACCCGCGTGGGAGCCTCGGAAGAAGCTCTTGCCTCCTGGTTTCAGATCGACGCAGTTCTGGCCGCTGTATCTGACCTTATGATAAAAAAATAAATCTTTAAAAAATATAAATAATTATTGGCTATGCCTTTGTGGAAACGCTTATAAAAAACCCTCTAACCTAGCTCTGGACTGGAGCCACAGGACGGGGGCTGACTTCCCATCCCTGCCCCTTGCTGTTGCCACAGCTACAACACCCTAAGCTATGGACTTGTCTGGGTTGCTGAACTTAAGTGCCCGCAACATGCTGCAAGAGAGCACGTGGAAGCGGCAGCTCCTCCCCTGGATCTACCGTTCACCTGCACCCATCATAACACCGCATTTCATAAATGCTTTCCACTTAAGAAAATTGCTGAACCTAAGGAGGAAGTTCATGGGAGACCTGATTGTGACACCCTCAGTGGGGGCATCCTTGTGGAACAGAGCCCTTCGCTGTGTGGTCTATTTCACTCCAGGAGGAGGGCATCACAGGGGACTGGCGGACATCCATCTAGTGTCTGCAGAGAATTAAAGAACTGGCTGGTATAAGAAAACCCCTCCTCTCTACAGTTGGTGTTGGAAGTGTTGAGATCAGATAAAAATGACCTTTGTGTTAAAAACAAACGAAAACATCCTCCCAGTTTGTCAGAGAGCTGCTGCATTCCCAGGAAGGGATGCAATGGCAACAAATCCTTGTCACCCACCGACTCACCTGAGCATAAAAAAAGAGATGCTCCTCCACTGTGAGGTTGTCAAACAGGATGTCATGTTGGGGGCACCAGCCCAGACTCCTCCTGATCTGAGCTATGTCTCTTGAAATTTCGTATCCATTGATATACGCCCGTCCACTGGAACAGGGAGTAAGACCTAGAGCCGGGAGGAAGAGGCATCAGAGTACACAGCCGAGTGAAGGCTTCCCGACATCCCGCCTCCGCCTGCTCATCTCACGCGCATCACCTGACTACTTCCGTTGGTGATACAGAAGCAGCACACAGCAGACGCGTGGCAGATTGACGGGAGCAAGCAGTGTCCTTGCTAAGACTAGTGATAAATGAGTAAAACACACATGGGCATTTGGAAAGCAAAGTCACAAAAAGAGGGAAACAGAAACACATGTTGCATCTACTGGTTCACTTCCAGAAGGGCCAGGGCTGAGTCAAGCCAAGCCAGGACCCTGCGACTCCATTCACATCTCCCACAGCCGCTTGGGCCTTCCTGTGCTGTTCTCCCAGGCAGGCTGACAGTGAGGTAGACCAGCAGTACAACAGCCAGGATTCAAACCAATATTCCCACGGATGCCTACACCACAGGCGGAGGCTTAAATCACTGCCCCTCAATGCCACCGGCCCCTGGTCCCTCAAGTCCTTAATGACTGTGTACTAGGGCTGCGCCTATGGTTCTAGCATCCCACATGGGAGGTGGTTTGGACACGACTGTTCTCCTTCCCATCCAGCTCCCTGCTTGTGGCCTGGGAAAGCAGTGGATGACAGTCAAAGGCCTTGGGACCCTGCACCCGTGTGGGAGCCTCGGAGGAAGTTCCTGGCTCATGGCTTCGGATCAGCTCAGCAGGAATGTGTTACTGATTGCTATGTGCCATCTACTGAGAACCTCCTGACCACAGGATTAGGCCGGCTGATATCCTGCCTCAAGGTGAGACAATCGGAAGAACTGTCCTTAGGAATGCCCGCATGACCAGGTGTGAAAGTAGGTGCCAGAGTTTGTGACTGCCTCTGTATAAATAAAGGGGACAGTTTTCTTGCATGGTCCATTATGATCCTGAAATCGTAGTGGTCCGTTTCTTTTCTCTCTACGCCTATTCCACGCACCCTTTTCGAGTTCCGAACTCTGCTGGAGCTGGGCTCGGGCACGTGGACCAAGGGAGGAACAGTCCTCCTCCTCCTGCAGCCTGGTAAAGTGGATGATCGGGCACTACGCAGAGCAGTGTCCGAGACCTCCAGCAAGGGAGCACACACTGCATGCTTGCTCGGGGCTCCCTGGGAGCGCTCTGCCGTGTACCTGTGAGCATCCAGCAGGTGATGGTCTTCCCCGCTCCGTTGTGTCCCAGCAGCACCGTGATCTGCCCTCTGTAGAGATTCATCGTGAGCCCTTTGACTGCTACGTGCTCGTCCCTTCCTTTGTGAAACACCTTGGAGAAGTTGAAACAAGACACGTACACCAGGCGGCATTTCACAGAGGCCCTGCGGGGCTGTGCGCCAAAATCAACCTCCCGCCCAGGCTCCTCAGTGGGAATCCGAGCACGCAGCTGTCTGGGGGCCATCACAGGGGCCTTTCCCTTGATCCCTGCAGCCTGGTAGTGGAGAACCTGAACCCAGAGGCCGGGCCAGCAGCCCTTGGAAGGTGAGCAGCAGGCATGCTCCTCCCTGCTTCTCGGTTCTGCCGAGCCTGTGCTCGTCCAGGGGTGCTGGGCTGCACAAGGAATCCTAGGAACAGCTGACTGTTTTCCAAGACAAATGTCTCCACTGTCTTAAATCCCGTGTACTTTTTTTCTTATTATATGAGTAATTCATACACAGGAGGATAAAGACATAAATAACAATCACCCACAGTGCCACCCTAAGGAAGGTGCTGCTTCTTTGTGTGTGCCTCAGTTTCTGTTCTGTCCAATGGATTTCGGGCTGCACTCGAGATCTGGCACCCACACGCACAGCCAGGTGGACTCGGTGCAATTCCTCACGATGCAGCTGATTATGCCAGCAAGCAGGGTGCTGCCAGAAAGAAGCTGGCAACGAAGGCAGAGCGTGGGAGCGAGGAAGGGAGTATCAGTATATTCTTAGAACTGCATCCAGGAATTATGTTGAATGTTAAAAACATTAAAAATGAAAATTGAAAGAAAGAAGAAAGAAAAGAAGGTGGCAAATGTTCTCTGCTCCCACACTCGTGTGGTCCTATTTTACGTCAACCCCCGTAAATCTGTTGCAAGTTCTCATTATCTCCGGCAGCGGAGATGGCTACATGACCATGACGACATTTTGAGAGGTCATCTGTGGAAGGGAAGGAGACAGGAAGGAAAGAACAAAGGGGGGCAGGAAGAAGGAAAGGTGGACAAGTCCTGCCCCCAAAGTCACTGTGTCCATGTTCCCCACGGCTGAGCTTGTCGCCATCTTGCAACCAAGAAGTGGGGAGCCCTGGGCAGTTGGGATGTCACAGAGGGGAGAGTCTGACCCAGCAGTGGGGACACCTACATTCCTTATTGGAGCACCCGGGCTCAGCTTCTGCATTCACTTAGCTCCGGCTTGCTGCTGGTGCACACCCTGGGAGGCAGCGGGTTCAGGTGCCTGGGTTCCTGTCACTGTGTGGGAGACCTGGCTTGAGTCTCCAGCTGCCAGCATCAGCCCTGGCCCAGTCCCACGTGTTGCAGGCATTTGGGGAGTGAAGCAGTGGATGAGAGCTGCCCCTCTCCCTGCCTGTTTTAACTAAATAAACATCTTTCAAAGAATACAGGAGAAGCACATCTGGACAAGTCCTTGCACTCTTGGAAGGAGGCTTGTGAGCTGATACCTTGTACAGATGTTGGATCTCGATCCCCTTCATCAGGTTGCTGGGCTCTTCTTGAAAGAACCTGTATGTCGGAGACTTTCCAGGAAGCTCCACAGGCAGCAGTGTCTGGGTAGCAGGTGCAGGCTTCCCAGTCCAGTAGGAGGGCTGGAGACAAAGCCAATGCATACGTTACTCGTTTGGGGAACTGGACTTTTTTTTTTTCTAGACAATAAGTATTTTGGTGATCTATATTTCACTGCCCTCACAGCACATTTGCATCAACTCCTTAATGGTGCCTGGAGAAGGTAAGTAACTTTCATAGGTACTCAAGCAAATCACCTGCATTCCATCCTGTAACCCCTGGTCCCAAGCACACAGGGACTCATGCAGCCAAGATCTGGACAAACACTGGAGTGAACCACCTGCCTGCTCTCTCACCGTGGTCCAGACTGAGCACTGCGACAGGAGCAGTCACCTGGGCAAGCCTGTGGTCAGAAAACAGCCACCATGCGGCAGTGACTCTGAGGCTCTCCCAGGGCTGCTGAGGAAAGCCATGCCCCTGCAGCACCTCCAGGAGCCAGTGAGCTCAGGGACACCCTGGGCTCTTCTGCGAGCGCAGCTCAGCGGAGAGAACGGGGCAGCACGAGGCTCTTGCAGGTTGGGACCTGAGGCTTACAGAGAATACGCGACCTGATGTTCGAGTGGACACATGTGGGACATCTGCAGGTACTCCTGGCTGGTGGGAGTGCATGCGGGACAAATTCTCCAAACCCAGCCCAGCAAGGTTCAGGGAAGCTGACACTCACTGTTCATTATACTGTACTGGCAACCACAAACCCAACATGGTTAGGATGCCCCAAGAGAGTTCTCAGGGTCAGCACATTCACAAGAGGCTAAGAATAGTGAAGGTCAAAAAAGCCTCACATCAATTTGTACAACAGCAGCATCAGAACTCACCTTGAGAAAGAAGTACCACGGCTTAGGTGTACCGAACTTCCCGGGGAAGACGGCCTCCACATACCAGGCCACCAAGCAGTAGAGGACAGAGTCCAGCAGGAGCATCAGCAGCACGTGGCTGAAGGTAAACTCTGCACGGACACTGCCCACGCTCTCCCACTGCAAACCTGCACCTGTTACAGAGGAAGGAAGTGCCCATGACATCAGCAGGAGAGAGGACTCAGGGCCCGGCCAGAGCCTGCACTGGGCGGGATACCTGGACTCAGGGCCCGGCCAGAGCTTGCACTGGGCGGGATACCTGGACTCAGGGCCCGGCCAGAGCCTGCACTGGGCGGGACACCTGGACTCAGGGCCCGGCCAGAGCCTGCACTGGGCGGGACACCTGGACTCAGGGCCCGGCCAGAGCCTGCACCGGGCTACTTGTGGCATCAAGGCTAGGAATGGGAAAGAGGAAAACTGAAGAGATACGCCTTTTATTTTATTGTTTGTTTTTAAAATTTTTAAGCCTTTTTTTTAATTGACAAAAAGTGGTAGTACTTCCACTGGCTCTGGAAGCAAGAACTGTGGCTGTCCACGACACTGTGCGTAGCTCCTGCACATGCTTTCGGGACTGTACCCACCTTGCTCAGCCCCCTCCTTCCTGCCTCAGAGCTCAGCACAGGCAGTGCCTCACCAGGAAACTAGTACGTCAGCTTTCCTTGTCTGGGTCGGAAGCCAAAGCCACGTGTGCTCAGAGCACCCTATTTTGATTCCCCAAGCTCCTACGTTGCAGTGTGAGTCTGTCACTTATTACTGTCACTACTCTGTATGAGGATTCTTGGACCAGGGGCTGTCTCTTATTTCAGCAACTCCAGCATTTGGTTCGGTCCATTATGAACCCCATCAAATGCTCATTCCAGCACTAGGGAAGACATGGAATAGAAGCTTAGGACCAGCTCCCAGGTGCACACGTGTCCTGTGTTAGCCAGGTGTCTAACTGGGACACACACTGATGGAGCTTTCCACTTAGAGCGTCCAAGATGCTGCACATTCACCGCCAGTCTGACTGGTTTAAGCAGGTGGGAAGCAGAGACAACAGGAGACTCAAGTTTGGTGAGCAGAGAGCCTGCATCCGGGTTCCTCAAGCATTAACGTGCTTACCAACCACCAGGCAAAATGCAAATTCTGCAGCTTCAGGCAGGGCAGGAGTGGCTGCTGTGATCACCCAACTGGCTAATATTCTTCTACCTGTGTCACCAACCCATACGGGTGCTAGCTCGTGTCTCGCGTGCTCCACTTCCCATCCAGCTCCCTGCCTGTGGCCTGGGAAAGCAGTCAAGGACGGCCCAAAGCCTTGGGACCCTGAATCTGTGTGGGAGACCCAGAAGAGGCTCCTGACTCCTGGCTTCAGATCAGCCCAGCTCTGGCCATTTCAGCTACTTGGAGAGTGAATCAGTAGATGGAAGATCTTTCTCAGTCTCTCCTCCTCTTTGTAAATCTGCCTTTTTAATACATAATAAACAAACAAACCAATAAATGACATGCAGATTCAGACCAGGTAAATGTGGACATATCAGAGACCAGGCTCTGTGTTTCTTTTTCTCTTTCCTCCTTCCTTCTTCCCTTTCTTGTTTTATTTTTTAGAATTTTTTGGGGGTAGATCTCTTTCCTCCACTGGTTTCCTCCCTTGATAGCTAACAGCCAGCGCTGGGCTAGGTAGAAGCTGGGGGCCAGGAGCTTCCTCCCAATCTCGCAGGTAGGCAGCAGAACACTTGGGCTTTCTTGCACTGACTTACCTGACCATCAGCAGGCATCTGGGCTGGACTCAAACAAAGCTCCAATGCTGACATCCACAGGGGACGTCAGCAGGACAGGGGTTGCTGGCAGCTCTGCCCAGTGCACTGGGATGCCAGCCCCCGGCCCTGCACTGGGCAGGCCGAAGCTTCTGGTTCACTGTGAGCCAAGCAAGGGTGAGGTCCTGGTTTACTGACTACTGAGAGCTCTGCTCTGTTCTGTCCTTTCCGCTCCAGGCACACAGCTCAGGGCTGATTCTGAAGTTGCAGCGCACCACAGTCAGAATACAGCTCTAACCAGCCAAGGCAAAATCCGCCATGTCCAAACACAAGAGAAAAAGCACCTCTCTCCACGGGCAGACATTACATGCATGAGCATTACAAGGCAAACATCTGTGAAAAACCTCTGCCCAAATTGGTCACCCCCAAAATGCTACAGGTACACCTCCCCATTGTAAACCCAGCCCTATAGTATGTCGATAAGCAGCATATACTTGAATTCTGTCATTTGGAGAAAAAGAAAGGACGGGGGAAGACAGACAGAAATATCTGCCACTGAAATGGATGTAGCAGCCAGGTCTGGGTGAGGCCAAAGGCAGAAACGGCAAGAATTCCACCCTCCTGGCCTCCATGAACAAGTGCCACCCTTCGCTGCCTCCCCAGGTGCCTCAGCAGGGAATTCCAAGTGGAGCATCTAGGACTAGAACCAGTGCCCACTTGGGGTTCTGGTACTGCAGGCAGAGGACTGGCCTGGTAGGCCATCACACCAGTCACCTGACGTGTTTTTTTAATTGCTATGCTTAAACTATCTACATATTATGCAAGTATTAATCTTACGGAAAATTCCATTGTGTCAGCTCTTCCCTGCATGTTCTTCCTCATTTCTTACTTTCTGCCCTTCTTGCATTAATGGAGAATTTTCTGATGATTCCACTTTTTTCCTGAAGTTTCTTTATTTGAGAAGCAGAGTGACAGCATACATGCACAAGAGGTATCCTCCATCTACTGGCTCGCTCACGTCCACCCTAGCCAGGCCCGGGTCAGGCTGAAGACGGCTCTGCCCAGGTCTGCCACACGGGCGGCAGGGACTTGAGCCATCACTTGCTGCCCCAGGGGCTGTGTTTGCAGGAAACGCTGCAGCTCAAAACTTAAGCACTTGGATAAATAGTGACCCAAGTGGCATAAGGGGAGAGCGCTGCTTGGGATGCCCGCGTCCCGTAGCAGGCTGCTAACTCTGGTCCTGACTGCTTCATTCATTTTCATTCTCTCTCTCTCTCATATATATATATATATATATATATATAATTTATATATATATATATATAATTTATTTTTATTGGGAAATCAGATTGACAGAGAAAAAGAGACAAAAATCTTTCATCCACTGGAAACCCAGAAGAAGCTCCCGACTCCTGGCTTCAGATCAGCGCAGCTCCAGCTGCTGCAGCCACTTGGGAAGGGGCCAGGGGATAGAGGATCCTTCTGTCTCTCCTTTCTGTACGTCAGCCTTTCCAGGAAAAATAAGTAAATCTCAAAAAGAAAGGAAGTAGACCCTTAAATATATAATTAGCACTGCCATTGTACCATGTATGTCCTTTGTGAATCTGTTCTACTCTCTTCTTTTTTGTTATTTTTTGGTTTTATTTATTTATTTGTTTTTCTTGGAAAGGCAGATACACAGAGAGATAGAGAGAAAGATCTTCTATCCGATGATTCACTCCCCAAGCGGCCGCAACGGCTAGAGCTGAGCCAGTCTGAAGCCAGGAGCCAGGAGTTCTTCCAGCCCTCCCATGCAGGTGCAGGATCCCACTTTCGGCCATCCTCGACTACTTTCCCAGGCCACAAGTCAAGAGCTGGATGGGAAGCAGGGCTACTGGGATTAGAACCGGCGGCCATATGGGATCCCGGCACGTTCAAGTCAAGGACTTTAACCACTATGCTATCACGCCGGGCCCCTTTTTTGGTTCTCATATATGATGTTTCGTTTCCTCTTGTCTTCAAGTACTTCTTTTCCTCTGTGTTGCTGCATCCATCACAGTGCAGGTGAAGGTGCCTCCCTGCAGAGAGCACATTGTCTCTTCCAGGCACCTAGGGAGGAGCTCAGTCTTTGCAGCAGCCTGAACCAGCGCACTGCGTGGTGCCAGGAGCAGGCGTTCAGCCTGGGTGCTGGGAACCCACACCCCATCAGTAGGCCCAGGTTCAATCCCCAGGTCCAGCTGCTGGTGCAGCCTCCTGTTAGGCATAGAGACGCTGGCATAGCCAGTGATAAAGGCTCCACCCACTGCATCCCTGCCACCCCTGGGACGGACCTGGACTGAATCCCCGGCTCTGTGGTTTCTAAAGGCATTTAGGGGAGAAAACCAGAAGCAGGAATTGCTCTGTTCCTCAGCATGCATGTATCTCTAACTGGCTCTCAAAAAATAAATAAATAAAATAAAATAATAAAAACCAAATAGCTGCCAGGACTCCTGCAGAACAAATCCAGCCCAGGCTCAGCAGGGTGGCCTAGGGGCTATAAAGTCTTTGCCTTACACGCCCATATTCCCATATGGATGCAGTTCTAATCCCGGCAGCCCCACTTCCCATCCAGCTCCCTGCTTGTGGCCTAGGAAAGCAGGACAACCGAAAGCCTTGGGACCCTGCACCAGCGTGGGAGACCTGGAAGAAGCTCCTGGCTCCTGGCTTCAGATTGGCTCAGCTCCAGCTGTTGCGGCCACTTGTGGAGTGAACCAGTGGAGGGAAGATATTCCTCTGTCTCTCCTCCTCTCTGTATATGTGACTTTACAATAAAAATAAAATCTTAAAAAAAAAAAAAAAAACAGCCCTAGACCACAACATCCCAAAGAGCTGACTTGAACAATTTCACAGGAGGTATTTTTTTGGTTTTAATTTCTTATTTAAACTTAATTAATTTTTTTCTGTTCTAGTTTCTTGATGGCCACCTTCCCTAAGGTCCTTTGTGGACACCGTGATGCAGCATGCTGTACACCAGCTGGGAGCCCCAGTGGCAGAGCAAACGCAGGCTGCCTGGGATGCAGGCATGCAGCCTGCTCTGTGCAGCTTTAGTGCACCACCCAGCTTTGCAAGGCGTCTGAGAAAGCTCCGGGTGTGGAGGGAACCGTGCCAGTTGAGCAGATTTGGCTTGCGCCGGGTGAGGCTCACCTTCTGCCTCCAAGGTAGCGATGAGTCGGACTCCCACCGCCATGGCTACATTGGAGAAGAGGCACAGGAGGATCTTCTGGAGAGGACTCCGCTGCAAGTAGTTGAAGCCGAGGTACAGGTACGGCAGGTAGGTGAGGAAGAAGACGATGCCTCCCACAGCAGTTCCAACATGGGCTGCAAGAGAAGGGGGCAATAGGGCACCACCCACTGTGGCTCAGGCGCCACTCTGGGTCAGTCAGGTTAGTGCTGTGAACTCAGCAGTTTCACAAGGAGGAGATTTTTGTAAGCGCTTTGATTGAGCCTGTGTTGGGGCACAACCTGCTACGCTGCGCCCGTGCTGCCAGCATCCCACTTGGAAGTGCTGCTCTGAGTGCGGCTTCTCCACTTCCAACAGCAGGAAGGCAGCAGACAGCTCCAGCACTTGGGCCCCTGCTGCCCACGCGAGAGCCCTTCCTGGACTTCCTACATCCAGTTCCTGGCTCCGGCTTGGCTCAGACACCTGGATGCTCTGGTCCTTTGGGAGGTGAACCAGCAGATGAGAGATCTTTTCCTTTCTGTTTCTGTCTCTTTTTCAGATAAATAAAACCTTTTATTGAGATATTTAACAAGGTTGCAGAAAACAACAAGTTTGTTTTGGTACAAGTAATTTTTAAAAAATGATTTATTTTCATTGGAAAGGCAGATATACAGAGGAGAGACAGAGAGAAAGACCTTCCTTCTGATGATTTACTCCCAAGCGACCACAATGGCTGCAGCTGAGCTGATCTGAAGCCAGGAACCTCTTCGAGGTCTCCCAAGTGGGTGCAGGGTCCCAACGCTTAGGGCCGTGTTGACTGCTTTCCCAGGCCATAAGCAGGGAGCTGGATGGGAAGCAGGGAAGCTAGGATACACACTGGCACCCCCACAGGACTCCCTACTTGGAGGCGGAGGATTAATCAGTTGAGAAAATGCTCTAGGTCAAGCACAAGTAATTTTTGAAATTCATCCACAGTTTTTTCCAATAATATTAAATTCCTATGAACTTTCTGAAGGCCTTTCATAGTTAAGACTCTTACCAGTGAAAGATAAAAAAGCAGATCCTCAAGAAAAGGTACAACACCACCCAAAACATTTTCCCTCCAAAACCACAGCAGAGCCCCGTGGAGTAGTCTAGTGGCCGGGATCCCATAGGGGTGCCAGTTCATGTCCCGGCGGCTCCATTTCCACCTGGCTCCCTGCATGTGGCCTGGGAAAGCAGTCGAGGACAGCCCAGGGCCTTGGGACCCTGCACCCACCTGGAAGACTCAGAAGAATTTCCAGGCTCCTGGCTTCAACCTGGCCCATTTCCGGCCATTGTGGCTATCTAGAGAGTGGACCAGCAGATGGAACAGTCTTTTTCTATCTTACCTTCTCTCTGTAAATCTGGTGTTCAAATAAAAATAAATCTTTTAAAAAAAATCTAAATCTTAAGATAAAACCCAAAACATATTATTGCTACCTTTTCGTCAGGAAAGTAGTGGCTTTATGTGGCATTTACTAAGTGGGGCCTGACTGAGAAGCATTTTGTAGACACCACCTTATCTCGTCCTCCAAACCTCCCGCTGGCAGAGGAGGAAGCTGAAGCGGGGCTGCATTGCACAGATTTGCTCAACCTGGGCCAGCAGCACGTGAGGGGGTAGCACGCCGGGGGAAGCGCCAATCCTAGATGCTCCGTGCTAATGTGCTTTGGGAAGCAGCAGCAGACAGCCTAGACCTGCATCAGCACATGGGGGATCCCGCAGAGCTCCAGGCCCGCTTTGATTCTGCTCAGATCCGGCCTTTGTGGCCATCTAGGGAATGACCCAGGAAGCGCCCGCTCTCTTTCTCTCCCTCTCTGTAACTACCTTCCAAATAAGTGAAGAAATAAATATATATTTTTTAAATTTCTGCTAACACCAGGGAACCTGATAATTATTACGGAGTCAAGGTTTTCCAGGCCCTACAGAGTAGCTTCAGATTTGGAGATAAACCCAAATTTTTCATTGAAATTTGGGGACTAAATTAAAGTTTGCAAATGTTTTAACTTCTAAAAAGTTACAACCAATGCTGGTGCCGCAAACATAGTAGGCTAATCCTCTGTGGCACCAGAATCTCACTCAGGTGCCAATTCTAGTCCCAGCTGCTCCACTTCCCATCAAACTTCCTGTAAACGGCCTGAAAGAGTAGTGAGAGATGTTCCAAAGCCTTGGGCCCTGCATTCACATGGAGGACCCCGAGAAAGCGCCTGGCTCCTGGTTTTGGAATAGCTCAACTCAGCAACCCAATGGATAGAAGACCTCTTTCTGTGTCTCTCCTTCTCTCTGTGTAATTCTGCCTTTCAAATAAAAATAAAAGCAAATTTTCAAAAAATAAATTGATAATAATGATGGAAATGTGAGGACTGTGTATGTAGAAGAAACAGCCACAGTTAAGCCTCGAGGCCGTCCTGGGCTAAGCATGCCTCATGCAGCACTGACAGGGTTTCTGTCATTTTCTGCATTTGCACTGTTTCTTTTGTAAAAGTTGTCAATATTTATGAAGCTCCTACAACATAACAGGTACTGTTTTCAGCGTTGTATATGCAGTATCACATTTAATCTTTCACACTGAATTATAAGAGCCGTCATTCTCACAATTTTACGGAAGGCAAATGACAGGCTTGACTTTAGTGAGACAGGCGCCACACCTGGATGCAAACACAGCACGCTGAAGCCCTAGGGAGGAAGGGACAAAGGTCCCTGTCCACTTGAGGAGTGGGAGGAGGGGAAATGGTTGCCCTCAGACAGACAGGGTCAGGGTAAAGAGAGAATGTGCCTAATCTGAAGCAGCCCATGAGCACTTCGCAAGGGGCAGAGCCATTGGGCAGCACGATGGGCAGCATGGCGCGCTCCTGCCCTCACCTGCTCTCCACTCATCTCATTGTTCTTTGTGTTTTATTTCTAGCCCTCTGCTTCTCTGTATAAGATTTGTTTGTTTAGTTTTAATCAACGTTAGTTACAAAGAGAGAATAAGAGGCAGATCAAACTGGCATCTGTATGTGATGTCAGTGCCACAGGAGCCACAGAGCTGGTTTCTTACACTTGACCACAGTTTAAATTTTCAGTTTTCAACCACTTGTATCCTGTAAGTCGTATGACACAGGCACTCTTAGATGCTGCTCATGCTCCAAGTTCACTTCATACCCGTTACCTCCTCCAAGCTCACCCTTATACCAGAGCAGTGTGTGTGAGAGTATGTGTGAGTATGTGTGAGTAAGTGTGAGTGTGTGTGAGTGTGTGTGAGTGTGTGTGAGAGTATGTGTGAGTGTGTGTGAGTGTGTGTGAGAGTATGTGAGAGTGTGTGTGAGAGTGTGCGTGAGTGTGTGAGAGTGTGTCAGTGTGTATGAGTGTGTGTGAGTGTGCGTGAGTGTGAGTATGTGTGAGTGTGTGAGAGTATGTGTATGTGTGTGTGAGTGTGTGTATGTGTGAGTATGTGTGAGTGTGTGTGTGTGAGAGTGTGTGTGAGTGTGTGTGAGTATGTGTGAGTGTGTGTGTGAGTATGTGTGAGTATGTGTGAGTGTGTGTGAGTATGTGAGAGTGTGTGTGAGTGTGTGTGAGTATGTGTGAGTGTGTGTGAGAGTATGTGTGAGTGTGTGTGAGTGTGTGAGAGTATGTGTGAGTGTGTGTGAGAGTATGTGTGAGTGTGTGTGAGTGTGTGAGTGTGTGTGAGTGTGTGTGAGAGTATGTGAGAGTGTGTGTGAGAGTATGTGTGAGTGTGTGTAAGTGTGAGAGTGTATGTGAGTGTGAGTATGAGTATGTGTGAGTGTGTGAGAGTATGTGTATGTGTGTGTGTGTGAGTGTGTGTATGTGTGAGAGTATGTGTGAGTGTGAGAGTGTGTGTGTGTGTGAGTATGTGAGTGTGTGTGAGAGTATGTGAGAGTGTGTAAGTGTGAGTGTGTGAGAGTATGTGTATGTGTGAGTGTGTGTGAGAGTGTGTGTATGTGTGAGTATGTGTGAGTGTGAGTATGTGTCAGAGTGTGTGAGAGTATGTGTGAGTGTGAATGAGAGTGTGTGTGAGTGTGTGTGAGTGTGTGTGAGAGTATGTGTGAGTGTGAGTGTGTGTGAGAGTGTGAGTGTGTGTGAGAGTATGTGTGTGTGTGAGAGTGTGAGTGTGACTATGTGTGAGTGTGTGCTAATCTTCAAAGTGAACACTCGGCACTGAAGCAGTAACTGCTGAGGCTGGAGCTCATGGGAACTGCAAAGCTGGGAGAAAGGAAATGCAGAAGCCCTGCCTGGCAGAAAGTGAAACACGACTCACCTCGTTGGAAGAACGTGCTGATCATGAATGCAAAGAAAATTGTAGCAGTGGCAAAACACATTAGAAAAATGAATATCAAAGTGGGTTCACTATTCCTGAACACTGCGACACCATTCACCTGCAAACCAATCACAAAGGGCAAACTTTACAAACAACGAGGCAAAAGCGTGAGGCGCCTTAGTCAACGCACTGAAGCTTGACAGTACCTTCAAACAAACAACTAGCAGAGATTTTTAAACATTTTTAAAGATTTATTTTATTTTTATTACAAAGTCAGATATACAGAGAGAAGGAAACAGATAGGAAGATCTTCCACCCACTGGTTCACTCCCTAAATGAGCGCAATGGCCAGAGCTGAGCCAATCCGAAGCCAGGAGCCAGGAACTTCCTCCAGGTCTCCTACACAGGAGCAGGGTCCCAAGGCTTTGGGCCGTCCTCCACTGCTTTCCCAGGTCACAAGCAGGGAGCTGGATAAGAAGTGGAGCTGCTGGGATTAGAACCGGCGCCCATATGGGATGCCGGCGTGTTCAAGGCGAGGACTTTATCTGCTAGGCCATGGTGCCGGGCCCAACTCACACGGAAGGCAAAACTTCAGTTTAGCATCCACTGCCATTTATATATTATGTTCTATACATAATATATATATATATATAGAGAGAGAGAGCCTATGTTTGGATTTAGTTTTTGGCCCAATCTGAATGTTTTATTTTTTAAGAGATTGACTTGTTTATTTGAAAGTCCTACTGATGGACAGCATGGGGGAGAGGGAAGCAGAGACAGAGAACTCTCCTGCTCTGTGCTCACTTCCACACGGCCGCAGAGCCACCGCGGGCCAGAGCCGCCCAGGCCCCATCTGGGCAGCAGGGCAGCCGGGTGCCCGGCCTGCACTCAACACACGATACTGGCATTGCAAGCAGTTGCTTAACGCACGCACTGTCTCCACTCACTTTAACAAGTGACTTTATCCCATGTCATCTTCAGATCAAAACTTTGATACCCCTTCTGATAGATCTTCCCTTTTTAATATTTCCTGGACGTTTCCTTTACTTTATATATTGTATTATTATTTTGCTTTATTTTGTCCAAACTATCACAATTTGGATAATTCAGAGGACAGGTTTCCATATACTCAAACAATAGCGGGTTATAATTCAGTCATTCATTGAAAGATGACATACTGGGCCAGGTACTGCCCCAGTGGATAAAGTCCTCACCTTGAATGTGCCGGCATCCCATATGGGTGCAGGATCTAATCCCTGCACCTCCACTTTCCCTCCAGCTCCCCGCCTGTGGCCTGGGAAAGCAGTCGAGGACGGCCCAAAGCCTTGGGACCCTGCACCCACGTGGGAGACCCAGAGGAAGTTCCTGGCTCCTGACTTCAGATCGGTGCAGCACTGGCCGTTACGATCACTTGGGGAGTGAATCATCAAATGGAAGATCTTCCTCTCTGTCTCTCCTCCTCTCTGTATATCTCACTTTATAATAAAAATAATAAATAAATCTTAAAAAAAAAAGATGACACACTATCAAATTGAAAAAAAAAGGTATCAGTTCTCCAGCAAATTAACCTACAAATAAAAATCAATTCAAATGAAATTGTGAATGATAAAATGTTTCCACAATAATCTCACTTAAATGGGGGGAACTATCCAAGCCACTTGGCCAGAACCCTTGGAATATGAACACAAGGAGACTCTGGGTTGATGTGAGGGGGCGGTTTCTCATCCCTGGGTACTGAGGCGTGTGGAAAGTCGTGAGTGGCTTTCCCCTTTGTTTCTCCCCTCCCCCCAGGAACAACAAGAAGAACTAGTTAATTTGGAAGCAATGAATTCACCCAGTTTTCCCTAACCCTCAATCTTTCCCATCCTGATCAACCATGTAATCATTATTCAAAAAAAAAAAAGTATCCCACTCATAGTCCCTACTTGAAGGAAGGTGAGGATGGGCAGCCGCTGCCCCCAGTCCTGAGGGCCAAAGGCTGACTGCCCAGTCTCAGTGGAAATTAATCACTGTGCTTCCATCCCCTTCTAGATATCTGCACCCGCCCCCACTGGATCACATGTATTTTTCACTGCTAGCTTGGCACACCATGAAGGAAGAAAGAGACACATACCTCTACACAGAACAGAATGGTCATGACAAGAACTGCAACGGAGACGGAAACGAAGAACAAGATGAACCAAGCAACCCAGTGCAGCCAGTTGTCCAGTCCCATCATGCACATATACTCCTGACAGGAGAGAAAGAATCTGACATTACACTTCTAACTGGTTTGGCTCATCAGTCTGTTCCTGAGATCCCAGCACACTGGGATGAGAACTGGCTCACAGAGAGACTGAGTCAGCTGGAAAGAAGAGTACAAACCAGTGAGTGCCATTTAGACAGTTTAGGTGTGAGAGAAATAGACCTTGTATTACAATGACTCTTCATGGGCCCAGCGCAATGGCTCAGTGGCTAAATCCTTGCCTTGAATGCTGCCAGGATCCCATGTGGGTGCTGGTTCATGTCTTGGTTGCTCTACTTCCCATCCAGCTCCCTGATTGTGGCCTGGGAAAGCAGTCGAGGACGGCCCAAAGCCTTGGGACCCTGCACCCACATGGAAGACCCAGAAGAAGCTCCTGGCTTCGGATTGGCTCAGCTCCAATCATTGTGGCCACCTGGGGAGTGAACCAGTGAATGGAAGATCTTTCTTTCTGTCTCTCTTTCTCTCTGTAAAGAATCTGCCTTTCCAATTAAAAATAAATTACTCTTTATTTATAACAGCAAGTCGACTGCCAACACATTCATTGTTTGAATACTGCATGACTCCAGTGGTTCTGAGGATAAAAATAAACATCTTGGGACTGGCATCACAGTATGAAGGGTGAAGCCACTGCTGTGACACCCAAGTCCCACATGGGTGCCAGTTCAGGCCCCCGTGGCTCCACTTCTGATCCAGCTCCCTGCTGATACACCCTGGGGGAGCAACGGGAGAGCGCCACAGTGCTCGAGCCCCTGCACACCTGGGGAGATTCGCTTCAGCCTGGCCATTGTAGACACTTGGGGAGTGAACCGGTGGATGAAGATCTGTTTCTGTCTCTCCCTCCCTCTCTCTCAGTGACTCTGTCTTTCAAATAAATCATTTTAAAAACTGAACCTAAACACTTATTGGGTTCTCATTTAAATTCTATTGATGGTTAGAATTGAAATTTTTCTTTTAAAAGTGGTCTGTTCTCTACAGAACAGACTAAAGGATAAAATAGAAAACATGATCAATTTGATGAAAAAAGTCAAGCATGTCAGCACTAGTTTGTTAGGTAATCTCCAGTCAAATCTGAAAACTGAAAGGAAAGTCCAGGAACACAATGGAAAATCCTGGTTTCCTGAGGTTTTTCCATAAGTGTCCCGGTGAGCACAGGGTCTCACTACGTCTATCATTACAGCAGGGCCGCTGCATCCCACCACCGACAGCCTCCTCGTGCCACCGCCATGTGCCTGCTCACCACCCACAAGCCTTTCCTTTACATCTGCCCTCGGAGGGCAGTGCCCTTCCCGGTGGGGGGACAGTACTCTTGCCATCCAGGGAGAGTGGGGCTGGACAGTTCCAGTCCATAAGCAAAGCGAAGGTGCTTCAAGTTCAAATTCAACCTGGAGCTCATTCCTACTTGCGTGATTTTTCACGAGTAGTGTCTGCACCGCTCTGGGACAGGAGCCAGAATTACCTTCAGTTTTCTCTCTTTCTCCAGTGAAATGGAATTGATGATAATGAGCTCGAAACAGATGAAGCTGAGCATGAGGAGCAGCGGGAAATCATTCTGGAGAACCAGGAAGAACTTGTCTTGGATAAAGGGTCCGTAAGGGAATCTCTTCAGGAGCACGCTGAGGCTGTCCAACAGGCTGACTGCCGCGGTCTGGGCATGGTGCCACATGATGGCTTTATCCACGGCATGCTGTATGGCCAGGAAGCCTTCTCTGTTGTATCCTGTAAGAAAATAGCACATCTCAAGCACAAGAAACTCTTTAAAAAGGCACAAGACACAAAACTAATGACTCAGATGGAGGCCAGCTAAGTCATTCTGACGGACAAGGCGGCATAAGGAAAGGCATTCCCTATAGATCAGACACCCACTGGGAGAAGGCCACAACACAGAGCCATGGGTCTGAGGGACATCTGCAGGGTAAGAACTGCCCTTCAGGGCTCAGGCTTTGGGCAGAGTGTACACTGGAAGCAGCTAAATGACCTGTCTCTGAGTCGGCACTGCTGCCGTGCTAAACACTGCATCACAGGGGACCTGCACTTCCACAGAATAACTGGCTTTTCAAAAAGACCAAGATCCCTGCTCTGGGAGTTTTATAAGAGATGTTGACTCCACCTCCAAGCAGGCTGGCCAGTCCCCAATGTGGGCAGAGTCGGGGTGAAGTACTACTGGAGCAGAGATGACCATGGCCTTTGGATGGCCTTGATCCTGGTGGACCTCTGACTCACACTGCTGGAAATAAGCAGCTCTGGAAACTACTGCCGGTTCTTGTTGGTGGGGGTACTGTGAATCTTTTCTGGGACAGTTAGTTGTCTGGAGGCTGTACCCTTAAGTCCCTCACAAAGAGGGGTACCAAACACCTAACGTGAGTTGCCGAGCATGTCTGTCATGAGAAGATGAACTTAGGGATGTTCAGTCAGGCATAGGACCCTCACTGTAGAGGACAGAGGAGCAGCTATGCCTGGTGCTGAGCCTCTGCTTCTCCAGAAGCCACAATAGAGGGCAGCAGCGATGCAGGACGCATGCCCCTGACACACACAGGTGTCTGCTCCGTCAGATCCATCCAGACCCCTGTCCATGGCAGGGAAGGGGCTGCTGCGAGAGAACCATGGTCAAGCCTATCTTTCACATTCAGAGAAGGATGCAGGAGCAGAAGGAACAGCTATTCTACGGGACAGCATGAAAGAGGCCAGAGCACCGGCCTTGAGACCAACTCCATGTGCCAGAATCATTCCATGTCCAGGACCACACTCCATGTCCAGGACCGCACTCCATGTCCAGGACCGCACTCCATGTCCAGGACCACTCCATGTCCTAGGGCCAGTTTATGACTCAGGACCGCACTGGACAATGGAAATCCCATTTCCCTTCATGGAGAAATCCCAACCCTCTGGGTAAGTGGATTTTTATTTGACAGAGTAAATATATGTTCTATATTCTCAATCTATATTCTATATTCTCTAAATCTATTCTAAATCTATATTCTCTATTGGGAGAAAGCGATACAGAAAGAGAACATATGTTGGTTCACTCCCCAAATGTCCACAACTGCTGGAGCTTAGTTGATCTAAAGGCAGTTACAATCTGTGTATGTGTGTGCATGTCTGTGCACATGTGTGTGTGTTTGTGTATGTGTGTTATGATGGTAAGCAGGGGAGACAGAGACTGGTTCATTTCTAAATGGTCACAGCAGCCTGAGCTGAGTACAAGAGCCTGGGGCTGTGTTTGGGTGTCCCATTGGGAAGGAACCCAGGCACTTGGATGATCTTCTGCTGCCTTCCCAGACACATGAATATGGAGCTGGAATTAGAGTAGCCAGGACTCAAACCGGCACTCACATGGGATGCCAACATTCTAGGAATAGCTTAACCCAGTACACCAACACTGGCCCATCAGTACATTTCTCAACAAACGGAGTTCTTTTTCAATGCTTTTTCTGTTGATTTATTTGAAATCCAGAGTTAGAGAGAGAGAGAGAGAGGAAGGGAGGGAGACAGGAAGAGAAAGAAAGATACTTTCTACCTGCTGGTTCACTCCCCAGATGGCTGCAATGACCAGGGCTGGGTCAGGAGCAAAGAGCCAGGAGCTTCTTCTGGTCTCACCCATTGGTGGCAGAGGCCCAAACGTTGGTGTAAATTTCAGGAAACTGGAACCCACCAGTGAGTGAGCCCACCAGAGGGTAGAGACGTGAACCCTAGACCGCTGACACAGGTCGTGGGCATCACAAATGACATTTTAACCACTAAGCTAACCACCTGTTCGTCATATACTTTTCTATAAACAGAAGTTCCTATACACATTAGCCTAGAGAAGGGGTTCATAGTTTTTGTTCCTGTAGAACGCTCCTACCCTTCCTTCAAGCAAAATTTTTACAGTCAGATCTACTTTAGCTCACTTCATAGCACAAGTGTTTTACTGAAGGTCACTTTTGGAAATGCTATTTCTTCAGCCTCCTGTGAAACATGAGTTCAGCAAGTACCCAGGCAGGAAAAACAACAACAGAATATCAGCAGAGACACGCAGCCGGACCAAGTGGTGGGATAAAGGGGCAGGGGCCCTTACCAGGGTTTCCTCCATCTTCCTGCGTGAATGCCCTTGGTTCTTGGCGTGGGTTTGGAGGATAAAGGAAGGATGTACACCAGCCTTCAGGGTTATCACGCAAAACAAACAAATTCTTGACTGGTAACAAATTCCTCTGGATGTAACTGAAGCGCAAGGTGTACTTCACCTATGAAGAAGAAGGAGAGGCTCATTCCATCCCAAGGTCCTGGGATGCAGCGATCCTAAAGCACAGCAGAGCCGTGCCTGGGTCAGGGCTTACACTGGCAGGGGCCATGTTGGGGGATTCTTCCTGTGACTGTTCTGAGAAAGCCGCAGGAGAGACAGCTGCAGGGATGAGATCTGGGATGAGGCACGGAGAGCTGCAGCAAACGACAGCTGGGACTCTGCATCCAAACAACCTGTCTAAGCCCATAACTGCCCACTGGAGTCCCATGTCACCTTGGCAAAGTTAACTTTATCTTTGTGCCTCTATTTGCCCTTCAATGAACTGGGGATAATAACAACAGCACTTGCCTCAGACTGTCGTAGAAGTAAATGAGACAGTCCCTACAGTGGGCCAGGCATTATTAAGTCCTTGAAAAATATTGGTGTCTATTCTATTAACCTCTTTCTTCACCTACCCACATTACATCCAAATTCTCACAAGTAATCATCAGACCAACACAGCGGCGTGATGGCTCCGTGGCTAAATTCTCTCCCTGCAACTGCCGGGATCCCATGTGGGCACTGTTTCATGTCCCAGCTGCTCTACTTCCCGTCCAGCATCCTGCTTATGGACTGGGAAAGCAGTCGAGTATGGCAGAAAACCTTGGGATCTTGTACCCGTGTTGGAGACCCAAAACAAGCTCCTGGCTTCTGGCTTTGGATTAGCTCAGCTCTGGTCGTTGTGGCCATTTAGGGAATGAAGCAGCAGACAGAAGATCTTTCTGCCTCTCCTTCTCTCTGTGAATCTGCCCTTCTAATAAAACTTAGGAAAATAAATACTAAAAAAAATAGATCATCTACACAGTACAAAAACTATGTGCGAGGGGTTTTCTCATCTCCAAACATAAATCAAATATTCTTGGGTTCTGATTTTTCTTTGAATAAACACCGAGATCCGCTATCTTTGAAGTCTGTGACGTTAGTAATAATGACCACAAGAACTAATTTCTCTGGAAAATTCCTCTAAGTATTTTTATAGGCATAAGCTCTTTTGCTCCTCCTAACAGCTCCATCAGCTGGGGAAAAACACCCACCATAGCACCCCACTGTGGACACTGAGGCTCAGAGCTATAACTTCTCCAGGGTTGCACAGCTAGTGCGTTGTAGAGTCCAGACTTAGACAAGACAGGTGTCGGAGTCCTGATCTCTCATGATGGATGCTTGTTCTTGTCAAGACTCTGAAAACTAGTGTAGGCTATAAGCCACAACAGGGGCCCATCCTCTTATCCCCTCTGGAAGTGAGATGGCTGAAGCGCCGCAAAGGGAAACGGGGGGACGTGTCAGATGCATGGACAGCAATGGTGGGTGTCTCAAGGAGACTGTTAGCAGTAACATGTTCTTACCACAAGTGGCAAAGGTTCGCTGCTGTTAATGAATCTATGGTCAAAAACGATTCCTGTCAAAATGTAGAAAGCCTTTTGTTCCTTAATTATGAAATTTTCAAACACAGGCACCGAAGAGAAACCTAGAACTACAGAGAAAAATCTGATTCGTGTGCGGTTAGTCCGAAATCAAACCTGCTCCAATGCTTGCTCTCTGCCCGGGAAGTGCCAGCTCACTCCTGCACTCAGTCACCCAGCTTACCCTGCACTCACAGCAGGAGAGAGGGTGTGAGTCAACAGAGGGGAAGGCGCACAGGCTGAGAGACAGAACTCCAACTGGGAAGTCCAGGCTCCCAGGAACTGCAGTTAAGGAAGTCACGTGAAGGAAGAAAAGAATTTAAGTCCCACTTCACATAGGTTTGAAACACAGAAAAAGCTTTGTGGTTTCTTTTCCTTCAACACTGAGCTCAGGGGCATCGTGGCACAGCTGGTGAAGCCACCAATTCTGACGTCAGCATCCCATGTGGAGGTTCACTGGTGTCCCAGCTGCTCCACTTCTGATCCAGACCTCTGATAACGACCCGGGAGGCAGAGCAACATAGCCAAGTGCTTGGGCCCCTGTGTCTGTGGGGGAGACCCAGATGAAGTTTCTTGTGCCTGGCTTGTCCACTGCAGCCACTGGGAGTGTGAACCAGCAGACAGAAATCCTCTTTTTGTCTAAAACTGCTTAGAAGTAGGCATTTGGCACAGGCTTTAAACTGCCGCCTGGGTTCCCACAGTGGAGTGTGTAGGTTTAAACCTTGGCCACTGTGCCTTTATCCTGCAGATGTGCACACTGGGAGAAGGCAGGCCGCTCCTCCCCTGGGCTCCTGCCTGTGGCCTGGGCTGTCCAGCTGCAGCAGGCATTGAGGGAGTAAACCTGTGCATGGGAAAAATCTCTCTTCCTCCCTCCCCCTCACCTCTGTGTCTCTCAAATAGAGAAATAAAAACTAAAAACAATGATTAAAATAAGTAATCTTTGAAAGGTAATGTAGAGGCTAGCTGTGTGACACAGGATTAGCCTGCCATCTGTGATGCCAGCACTGTGATGTGAGCCCTGCATGGAGCCCTAGCTGACCCTCTTCTGATCTAGTCAGTTAATGTGCCTAAGAAAGCAGAAGACAACTCACGTGCTCCCAGAACCCACATGGACGTGGAACTGAAAATAAATGAGGCAGCGTGGATTGGGGCGTCCCAGGCGCTGACACCAAATACCCAGTCCTTGACTCATCACTTGCAACCCCAAAACCCATCTTTAATCCTGCTGTGTCTCTCCATTTCCCTTGTTCATCTTTGTCCTCCTAAATTTTTAGATACTACTTCCTCCTAGTTACAGTTGCAGAGCTATGTCTTACAGAACATGCAACAGGAGTAGGTGCCCCAAGTGGTAGTCTAGTTACAGTTCCAGAGCTATGTCTTACAGAACATGCAACAGGAGTAGGTGCCCCAAGTGGTAGTCTAGTTACAGTTCCAGAGCTATGTCTTACAGAACATGCAACAGGAGTAGGTGCCCCAAGTGGTAGTCTAGTTACAGTTCCAGAGCTATGTCTTACAGAACATGCAACAGGAGTAGGTGCCCCAAGTGGTAGTCTAGTTACAGTTCCAGAGCTATGTCTTACAGAACATGCAACAGGAGTAGGTGCCCCAAGTGGTAGTCTAGTTACAGTTCCAGAGCTATGTCTTACAGAACATGCAACAGGAGTAGGTGCCCCAAGTGGTAGTCTAGTTACAGTTCCAGAGCTATGTCTTACAGAACATGCAACAGGAGTAGGTGCCCCAAGTGGTAGTCTAGTTACAGTTCCAGAGCTATGTCTTACAGAACATGCAACAGGAGTAGGTGCCCCAAGTGGTAGTCTAGTTACAGTTCCAGAGCTATGTCTTACAGAACATGCAACAGGAGTAGGTGCCCCAAGTGGTAGTTTAGAGACCTGCACCCCACGCTGAAGGGCTAGACTTCAGCCTCGGACTCCAGCTCTCTGTTGGGTGCACATCCTGAGGAGGAGCAGCAGCCGTTTCTCCAAAAATGGGGCCTCTGGGGTCCCTGGGGTCCCTGTGGCAGACTCGGACTGTGTCCTGCTCCTGCCAGGCCAGCCCTGACTGTTGGGAGCATCTGAGAAGTGAACCAGAGGTGGCAGCACTCTCTCTGTGGATCTCAAATAAATAATAAATTAAACTGCATAACTTTTTCCCCCTAAAATCTGTTTGATGGACAGCCTTTTGCATTAAGAAGAAATAAAAGTGTTTTAACAAGGCTCGAGGCTCTCGATAACGTTGCTGCTCCCAGCTCTCGAGCCCCGTCTCCAAGGCACTTCAGTCTGGCTTGCGGACTTTAAGCTCTTCAAGGCCTGGTCACCTGAGGGCTTCCCGACCCCAAGAGCCTGGAGAGCCCTTTACCCCTGAAACCTAACACTTTTCCATTTCTTTTTTTTTTTATATTTATTTTTTATTGCAAAATCAGATATACAGAGAGGAGGAGAGACAGAGAGAAAGATCTTCCATCCGATGATTCACTCCCCAAGTGATCCCAACGGCCAGTGCTACGCTGATCTGAAGCCAGGAGCCAGGAACTTCGGGTCTCCCATGCAGGTGCAGGGTCCCAAGGCTTTGGGCCATCCTCCACTGCTTTCCCAGGCCACAGGCAGGGAGCTGGATGGGAAGTGGAGCTGCTGGGATTAGAACTGGCGCCCATATGGGATCCTGGTGTGCTCAAGGTGAGGACTTTTTCCGCTGGGCCAATGTGCCAGGTTCACACCTTTCCATTTCAAAGTGCTTGTTCAGCAACTTTCATATCTCAACTCTCTTATCAGTTTTCTAGTGAAGATCTTTCTGTGTTTTTTGGTTTTTTAATGTGGTAATCCCTCCCAAGGTAACTAAATCAGAACAGTATTCCAGGATTTCAGGGAGGCCCTTTCAACACATTGTCCCCATTGAGTGGTGCTAAGGTGGGAAAAGAGAATTTTCTTTTCTACTTTATAGCCACATAAAGGAACTTCAATATGCTCATGGTAAGTGCTTATTATTAAGAAAATTCACAAATTTCAAAATTTCTTTCAGTAAAATAAACTTATCCTTTAATTCTATTTTTCATGATCCTTCTGGAGCATTCTTATATTATTAGACCCCTTTTACAATCGCATATAATAATTGTAGTAATTTTTTAAAAGTCTGCATCTGGCTTACACGCAGGCACACGGGAGGATAGGCCAGAGCACCTGTAGGAGAATACCTAAATCCTGCCAAGCTTTCCAAGATCCCGGCAGCTCCACTTCCCATCCAGCTCCCTGCCTGTGGCCTGGGAAAGCAGTGGAGGATGGCCCGAAGCCTTGGGACCCTGCACCCACATGGAAGACCAGAAGAGGCTCCTGGCTTTGGTTCAGCTCAGCTCTGGGTGTTGTGCTCACTTGCGGAGTGAATCAGTGGATGAAAGATTTTCTTCTCTGTCTCTCCTCCTCTGTATATATCTGACTTTCCAATACAAATAAAGTAAATCTTTATTTAAAAAAAGTATGTGTGCTAGTTTGTATCCTGGCTGTTTCACTTCCCATCCAGCTCCCTGCCTGTGACCTGGGAAAGCAGTTGAGGACAGCCCAAAGCCTTGGGATCCTGCACCCATGTGGGAGACCTGGAAGAAGCTCATGGCTCCTGACTTTGGATGGAGCTCAGCTCCAGCCACTGCCAGCCACTTGGGAAGTGAACTACCGGATGGAAAATCTGTCTCTCTCTAACTCCTTCTCTATGTAAATCTGCCCTTCTAATAAAAATAGGTAAATCTTTAAAACACACACACACACACACACAACAAACATTTAATAGTTAACATTGTTCTGCAAAGAAATGTCTCCAGTGTGTTGCTTGAAAAACTAAAAATGCCACATGGACGGATCTGCTAACTTCTAACTCCAGGACTTGAGAGTGTGGAAAGCCCAGACTCAGAATCATTACCGCAAGAATCCATAGGGAAAAAAAGACAACTTTGAACTTCACACTGCTCCCCGTCCCTCCCTGCCCTGTCTCACCTTCCAAGTCCACATCGAAGGACTGCCTCACCCTCTCGGTGATTGTCCTCAGCGTCTCACTCTGGGAAGGGATGTAGGCCAGCTGAAGTACACCTTTCTGAGGGTAACTGTAGAAGAATTCTGGCAGCACGCTGATATCAAAGGCACTGTAGTTAGACGGAGGCCTTTTTCTTGCGACACTGTTGCAACGAACATACAGTATGATTCCAGAGAACAGAAACGGCATCAAGATTTCAAGGATTGAGACCAGGGTCTTCCTCTTCTGGAACAAACACAAAAGTTACACGTTAGATACAAACACCAGTGAAAACCACCCTTCTACTGGGAACCCTGAGGTCTCCGGCTTCCTTGTGTAACAGGTGAAGGGGTAGAGGGCGCCCAGAAGGAGAAGTAGCTACAAAGCATCTACAGTCAGCATTTCTAACACCTGCAGCACATCAACAACAACGATGTCATCTTTCAAAATGCAGGCTGATAAAAGTACTATGGAAACATGCTTTGACCACAGGAAACAGCTCTCTATTCACCAGAGGCCAAATCACCTCGAGCATCCAGTGCTTTCCGAGGAGCTGCCTGGCCCCCAGCCCCTTGTACCCACCTTTAAGATGAAATTCTTCCACAGAAGCAGTTTTAACTTCTTGAACGCTGCCATTTTTTCAGGTGAGGAGGTGGGCTCAGCTCACTAGCTAGGAAACAAAGAGGGGAATATAACACGAGACAGTAATGACAAGGAAACCTTGTCATTCTAAAATTCCTTCTACTTGTGTGACAAACATTCTGCTTGTCCACGCTTCCTCAGTCAGCTGCTGCGTTCTTTGCCTCCAACCCTTCCACCTTCCTCGCCCACCAAACGTCAAGTGCCCAGGGCACAGTCTGCGCAGATTCCCCGCTTCCAGAAGCTCTGAGGTGACCTCACCCCGCTCACTCAGGTTGCAATCCAGCCATATGCTGATGGTTCCAAAAGTCTTCACTACCAGCCTGGAGCCTTAACCCATCCCTACAGCATTGCATCTCAATCTTTTTTTTTTTTTTTTTTAAGATTTATTCTAGGTCCCGGTGCAGAACGGTGCCCCTATGGGACGAGCAGCTGGAGGCTGAGCCTCCAATAACATGGTGTTTGTCCCTCATCTCAATCTTGACATGACCAGATTGACCTAGTCACATTGCTCAAAATGCACATTATTCTCTGGTCTCCCTCGCCTCAGCTAACATCACCTCTGCTCTGTAAGTTGGACAGACATGTGAATGAGCATAATTCCCGATGCAGAAAGTTTGAAAAGCCTGAAAAGCACACTACGGGATCTTGTAGCTATGAGCTAACTGAGGCCTACATGAGTGCAGAGGCCCAGGCACTCAGGCATTCTTTTTTATGATTTATTTTATTTTTATTGCAAAGTCAAATATACAGAGAGGAGGAAAGGCAGAGAGGAAGATCCTCCATCCGTTGATTCACTCCCCAAACGGCCAAAATGGCCAGAGCTGCACCAATTCAAAGCCAGAAGCCTCTTCCTCTTCGAAGTCTCCCACGCAGGTGCAGCATCCCAAGTACTTGGGCGATCCTCTGCTGCTTTCCCAAATCATTAGCAGGGAGCTGAATCAGAAGTGGAGTAGCTGGGATTAGAACCAGTGCCTATATGGGATGCCAGCACTGCCAGTGGAAGATTGGTCTGTTGAGACACCACAACAGGCCCCATATATAAGCTTTTTTTTTAATTGGGTCAACACCGTGGCTCAACAAACTAAACATTTTGCAATGCCAGCATCCAATATGGGCATTAGTTCATGTCCTGCTCCACTTCTGACCTAGCTCCCTGTTTGTGGCCTGGGAAAGCAGCAGAGGCTGACTCAACGCCTTGGACCCTGTACCTTCATGGGAGACCCGGAAGAAGCTCCTGGCTCCTGGCTTCAGGTTGCCTCTGCTCCAGCCACTGCAGCCACTTGGGGAGTGAAACAACAAATACAACACCTTCCTCTCTCTTTCTCCTTCTCTCTGTAAGTCTGCCTTTCCAATAAAAATAAAAATAAATCTTTAAAAAATACGCCTTTCCAATAACAATATATATAAAAATCTTAAAGAAAAAAGTAATTAAAAATGGATGACAGACGTAAATGCAAAACTAACCACTATGATAAAACTTCTTAAAGAAAACGCATGAGAATGGCCCTGTGAATATTCCTTAAACACAGCATCACAGCTTACAGGAAAAAATGGTGAACTGGATTGACCAAAATTAAAACCCTTTGCTTGGTAAAACATACTCCTTAAGGAACAAAGACAAGCCTCTGACTGTCAAAAAATATTTACAAACAATTATCTGACAAAGTCAAACCACAATACAGAATTGTCAAAACTCAACAACATGAAAGCGAAGAACCAATTTTTTAAAACTCAGAAAAAGTTCTGAAGATGTTTTACCAAAAAGGATATATCCAAACAAGGTCACAGAAAGACACTCAATATCATTAGTCACTAGAGATATGCATATTTAAACCACCCCTTGGCTATCAGAATTAATGAGTAATTTTGGCTTAAGGTACAGAGTACGGTGCCAACGGGAATGTAAAAGCTCTCCACCATAGACAACACTTAGCAGTTTCTTATCAAGCTAAACGTATGTTTATCATACAACTCAACAATCCCAATCTTAAGCTTTTGCCCAAGAGAAGTGAAAACTTTTTTTTTTCACAAGAATCTGGACACAATTACAGAAAACTTGTAATTACTACAAACGTGCTCAATCTAGGAATAAATCACAAGCTGACACGCTACTTCCAATGAATTCTGCTCCTTTAGAGGAGGAACATACTATTGGTCTACAATTACTTTTACCTTCCTCATAGGTTTAAGGCATTATCCATGACCTTAGTTTACGAAGACTACATGATCTAGTCTATGAAATATTCTGGAAAATACAAAGCTGTAGGACTACAGGAGGAAATCAGTGGTTGCTAGGAGGTGGCAGGAAAGGCTGACGACAAGCAGACATTACAAGTAAACTTTCGGAGGGTTGTGTCTGGATTTGGTTGTGGTAGTAGTTACATAATACTGTGTCGGTCAAAATTTACAGAACTAAAAATAACCACGAAGAATGGAGTTTAATATATGCAAACTGAAATTTTAACGATTAGTTTTTGTATTGAGAAACGATAATGATAGTTTTAGTATTAAGAAAATTGGTTAGCTCATGTCAGCAAATAATACCAGATATATAAATGTGTAAACACATAAAAATTTAATTATGAAGGCAGTGAAAGACAACCTGAGTAATATTTTTATATCCTCAGGGTTAGTTCTTTTAATAAGCCTGGCTATGACCCAGAAACCACAATGAAACTAATAAATCAAATTACATAAACAGCAATAAATTCCCTTTGAAAAAAAACCAAGGGAGCCCAAGGCAGACACCTGCAGCGCACCTGTAAAGCCCTCTGGCCCCTCCCAGCCGGAATCCCGCCCTCCACGCAAAATCCTCTGTCCCGGAGCCGGGGTTACAACCATCCATCTTACACAGCTAAAAAGAAAACTTCAAAATAACATCTACAGAATACCATTTATGGGAAAAACATGAAATAATGCTACATATATCAACAGGCCAATTTATATAAGGGTACGTCAAAAGTCCGTGGATGATTGAATCAAAACAATTTCAATTAAGTTGAAAATTAAAAGAATTTCATTTGCTGCTGGCGGGTCCTAGCTTTGGGAAGGGCATCTGCTTGGTGGCCATGGCCTCTGTCCTGGGACATGGTGTGCTCCCAGTGAAGGCAGGGGAACTGAGCCCAAGCCATGGCCAGTACAAGGGTAGCAGTTGGACTGACCATTACTGCTGCAGGATTTGTAGGCCCTTCTATGTCGCAAGCTATCAAGCAAATGGAACCTCAAGCAAAACAAGTTTTCCAAAGTCTTCTAAAATCCACCTTCAGTGCTGGTGTTACAGAGGTAGACTTGAACCCAAGATGATGAAATGAGAAGCACCATTAATATTTAGGTGTAAGCCCAACTGCCAATAAAGGAAAAGTAAGAAATGCACACCGACAAATTATGCTCTTAAATGACCCAGAGAAGAAAGGATCTCTTCACATCACAGTCAAAATCAATGAAGCTAAAGATTGACTAGAAGGTCAAGCTAAAAAGTAAACATGAATTTTCAGTTCACATCAGCATGCGTGTACATGGGCAACAGCTTTTCATAATCAAATAACTGTTACACAAAAAACATTCATGGACGTGCATGACATGAAAAAGATAGGCATGGATTTCAAAAAATTTTACATCAAAATAAAACGACTTTCATTTTGCTTTTCCACTGATGTGTTCAAGTACCTCTCATACATGTGCAAATGCAGAGGAAAACCTTAAGACGTGTATTTAATCCATGCCCACAGAGACTCAAGGAAGGGGATGGTGGGCATCACAAAAAAGCTGGTTCGTCTTGTGCTTTGAATTCTTCAACAGGCAGTTTCTTTGGCACATCTGAGTATCTCTACTACGTGAAGGTGATCCAGCATCTGACCTGAAGTCCCGCTACAGCCCTGCGGGGTGACTGTCACACAACGCACACACCCAGCCTCCGGCTGGAGAGGCAGCCTCTGGCCCTGCTGGGTACTTTTGTCAGCAGTGGGCATCGAACACAATGTGATGACTTCTTATTGACTGTCGGACAGCATCAAAAGCATCCAGCTCCTTACAAGCAACAATTCCCAGTCTGGAATCTGTGCACGGCACACTTCCTTTGCCTCGACGCTTATGAGTATAATAATAATTCCAACAGCGGGCATGTTGGCAGAGTTAAGAAAAAAGACGCCGCATCTGTACTCTGCCACTGTTAGTCTACTTTCACTCTCCCCCTTCTAAGGGAATCCTGCGGCAGACTGCAGACCAGGAAGGGGTCTAGCCACGACGGACGCCGGGGCGGGGTGGGTTAGATGAAGAGCAAAGCCAGCGAGCAGATTCACAGGCTACACTGCCACGTCCCTCTCACCAGGCAGCGCGCCACACACAGCCACCCTCAAACACACACCTCTAAGCTTTCATTATTACTACTGTTCTCATTGCAACTTCAGGGATAGGGAAACTGAGGTTCACAAAGATAAGACGACACCTGTACACCAGCAAAGACGCCGGACCAGTATCTGAAGCCAGGCGGTGTCAGGAATACAGGGACGCGGCCGGGGAGCCTGGGAGCCGGGAGCCGGGAGCCGGGAGCCGGGAGCCTGGGAGCCGGGAGCCGGGGAGCCGGGAGCCGGGAGCCGGGAGCCTGGGAGCCGGGAGCCGGGAGCCGGGAGCCGGGGGCCGGGAGCCTGGGAGCCGGGAGCCGGGAGCCGGGGAGCCGGGGAGCCGGGAGCCGGGGAGCTGACGCCGGGAGCAGGGGAGCCGGGAGCCGGGAGCCGGGAGCCGGGGGCCGGGAGCCTGGGAGCCGGGAGCCGGGAGCCGGGGAGCCGGGAGCCGGGAGCCGGGAGCCGGGAGCCTGGGAGCCGGGAGCCGGGGAGCCGGGAGCCGGGAGCCGGGAGCCGGGAGCCGGGAGCCGGGGGCCGGGAGCCTGGGAGCCGGGAGCCGGGAGCCGGGGAGCCGGGGAGCCGGGGAGCCGGGAGCCGGGGAGCTGACGCCGGGAGCAGGGGAGCCGGGAGCCGGGAGCCGGGAGCCGGGGAGCTGACGCCGGGAGCCGGGGAGCCGAGGAGCTGACGCCGGGAGCCGGGGAGCTGACGCCGGGCCTCGGCGCCCCTCGGAGCACACAGACCACCCGGGATGGGGCGCCCAGCGGCCCACCGGTCCGGCCGCGGAGACTGTTGGCCGCGAGCCCCCCGGCCCGCCCCGTGCCCCCGGACCCCGACTCCCCAAGCCCCTCGGAGGAGCCCCCTCCCTGCCTGAAGGGACCCCCAGCTCCTCTCTCTGGGGCGCTCCTGTCTGAGGTGGCTCTGCCCCATCCTCCTTCTCAAGGCATGACCCTGACCACTACAGACCATCCTACTTGCAGGTGTCCCCCCCCATTCCCTCTTCTGGGACTCTCAACCCTGAGGTGACCCCCGCCTCCCACCCTTCTGCCTGAGGTGACCCCGAATTCCCTCCTGAGTATACCCCGACCCTCTGGGACCCTCTCGGCCTGGGGTGGCCTCACCTTGGGGACCCCCTTGACCACATGGCCATAACTAATAGTGTCGGGCCTCCCTGAACTCAAGGCCCCCATGAGGGCTGGTTTCCAGAAGGTTTCTCTCTGTCCTAGGTGACGAGAATTAAGAGCCAGGCCAAACAAGAGGTCTAGGAAAGACAGCGAGGAAAGGGAAATGGAAAAACTACCAAGAGATGTCAAATGTGCCGAAGTGACTGCTTCCACTGCTCAGAAAAACATATGGACCAAAGGATTCTTGGCAGTGCGGGAATCGCGTCCTTCCTCACGCGGGAACCCGGCCGCGCGCCCCCTGCCGGACACGCCACGGGCGCGGCCACTGCGCAGGCGCGGCCGAGTGGGCGGGCGGCAGCGGTGTGCCTGCAGGAGCGGCCGGCTGCGCACGCGCCGTGCAGCACGCTCCCAGTCGGACGGCGAGCAGGCACGCAGCACTGCGCAGGCGCAGATCCCGCGGGGCTGAGCCCGCCGGGGTGGCGGTGCACCTGCAGGGGCGACGGTCTGCGCACGCGCGAGCCGGGCCGCCTCCTGCAGGAGAGGGCGCCGCCCCGCGCGTCTGGCCGGTCTCCGGTGGCAGGTGCCTCGTCTCCGCCAGGGCGGCCTAGCAGCTGTCCCCGCCGGCCGTCGCAGCCTCCGAAGGGCTGGAGCGGAACCAGGGGTGCCGAGGGAAGGGACGCTGCGAAAGGCGCGCGTGCCGGCCGCCGCCCCGGCGCTGAGCGTCGGTGAGTGCCGCCGGGACCCCTGTTCGCGCGCTCGCTCCCGGGCTGGCTCGCGGCTCCGGGGCCGCCTCCCCGCCCGGCCGGCTCTGCCCGCTCTGATCCTTTCCCGCAGCCTTGCACACCTCAGCCCCGCCAGCCCGCACGGAGTCTTTGCGGGTTGCATCTCGCAGCCCCCCGCCGCCGGGCTGTTCAGATTCGGGGAGCTTTGGGTGTGTCCGCCTCACTGCGGACAGGAGCAGCCGCAGAAACTTGTGCTGCCGGGGACTGAAGCCCTGAGGGGCCCTTTGTGCGGGGCCAGGAGGCTGACCGACAGCCTTGTCGCAGAAGGGCGCTGGCTTTGGTGCGGCGGCGCCTGGCATGGCGCCGGCGTCCCCGGCCGGGGCGAGGCAGGGCCAGGGCGGCCAGCTTCACCTCGGCACAGGTTCCTGAATGAGGGGAAGGGAGGCCTCCAGGTGTTCCACTGGCTCCTCCGTTGTGCCCTCAGTGGTGTGAGTTTCCGAGACGCTCCCCCCGGCCCCCGGGTGGGACTGGGAGCCGCCGGTGCAGCCGGCAGAGTCCTCAGGTCTGCTTGTTCTGTGCTCATGGTCAGTGCAGGCACCTGTCCCCTGGCTGCTTCCTAGGGGCAGCCCAGGCGCCTCCCCCATGGATGCTGGGGTGAGCGGCCCTCTGCACCTCCTGGTGGATGACACACAGTAGAAGCTGCTCCCTCAGGGCTTGCAGGTTTTGCCCCTGAAGATGTGGGTTTGGTCTGGTGCGGGGCACATGACAGGGGCTGGAGGGATCCTGAAGGGTCAACCGACAGGTGACTGTGCAGGCCAGGCACTGTGCAAGGGCTTGCCCTCCACTCTGCCTAAGAACTGTTGCATTTTTTCCCCAAAAGCTGATGCACTTTTTAACATTTTATCTTTATTTGAAAGGCATAATTAAAGAGGAGGAGAAGCAGAAAGAGATCTTCCTTTTGCTGGTTCACTCCCCAAATGGCACAGAGCTGGGTCAGTCCAAAGCAGGAACCAGGAACTTCTTCTGGGTCTCCCACGCTGGGTGCAGGGGCCCAAGGACTTGAGCAGTCTTCTGTGTTCCCAGGCATGTTAGCAGAGAGCTGGATCAGCAGTGGGACAGCCAGGCCTTGAACTGGTGCCTGTATAGGATGCCAGCATCACAGATGGAGGCTTAGTCCAGTATACCAGGGCACCAGCCCCTGTGAATGCCTGTTATAAACTTCGGAAGACAAAGACTGTTCTAGAAAGTCTGTCTCCTAGAGATACAAGAGGAAGGGAAACAGGTGGGAAGCTGCCCCCTCACCCCACATGCTCATGAACTAATAGAGAAGTCTGAGTCCCGCGCTTGCTTGATCTGACAGGCAGAATGACACTGTTGCCTCTCAAATCTGTTGTCCTGCTGCCCTGACAAGCAACCCACAGGACCGAAGCAGCATGGTGCCAGCCCTTTCCAAGGCGACCGTTGGCCTCAGGTGGCGTGTGAACCAGGCTGGCTCATGGTAGCAGATCTGACCCAGGTTGGACTCCCACCAGCCAGCCCTGCCCCCCAGGAGGAGCACACTTGCCTGTTCTGCCAGGGGAGGCCTGCTCCCTGCCTGTAGGCAGCCTGTGTGCGTGGAAATGGTCCTTAGGGACCTCAGGGTGAGGTACAGGGATGGGTCCTCTCTAGACTATTGACGTGCAGTGAGCGCAGTGTCCCACTGGCCCAGGTGTCCAGGCAGGATGAGAGTGGCTCGAGCCCAGGCTGCATGCTGCGTAACCTGTGGACAGGTGTCTGCAGGCACCCAGAGCCCACGATCTCTGGGGACCTCGGGCATGGGCCGTTGTTGTCTTCCTCCTCATTTACCGAATTCCATTTTGTTTGAAAGGCAGAGAGAGACCTCCAGGAGGAAATCTTCCAGGGACTAGCAGTAGGGCGTGGTGGGCAAAGCTCCCACCTGCAGTGCCAGCCTCCCATAGGGAGCCTGAGGAAGCAGTGAAAGATGGCTCAGAACTTGGGCCGCTGCCAGACACAGATGTGCTGTTCAGGCTATTCGGGGAAATGAACAGATAGTAGACAGTGCTGTAATTCTGCCTTTCAAATAAATAACAAATAAATCTTTAAAAAAGAGTTTCCATTTTCTGCTTCACTCCCCAAATATCCACAGTAGGCAGGAGGTGGCCAGGCCACGGCCTGGAATGTGGGACTCCAGCTCTTCCACGTGGGTAGCAGGCCTGAGCGTTTCGGTTGCCATCTGCTGTGTCAGCCAGAAACCGGGATTGGAAGTGGAGCCAGGACTCAGTTGAGGCCCTCTGATAGGGGGGATTGTGCAGCCAAGAGTTCCCTGAAATCAAGCTTAGTGCCCAGGGGGTGGCCCTGGGAGTGACAAGCAGCTGTGTGACCTGGGCAGACAGATACACTGAAGGCCCACACTTCATGGGAGGGAGGCAGGCCTGGCTAGCTGGCGAGTGTTTATGACGGGGAAGGCCTCCCCAGGAGCCCGTCGTGAGCTACAGGAGCCATGGTAACTTCTCCTGGGACCTGTGCCGCCTCGCTCCCTCCTGCCCTGCGCCTCAAAGTGCTGAGCAGCCAGCGGGTGGCAGTGGGACTGAGGCTACAGCCACAGGTAGGCTGGTGGGCAGTAGCCTGCATCCCACGCCCCCTGCTGGACCTGGACCTTTCCACCCCCTGCCGGTAACCCCAGAGCCGTGGGGTCCTAACAAGGTGACACTTCCTGGCGTGAGTAGATCTCCACCCGGGCCTGCCCTGGTCTTATGGACACAGAAATTCACACCGCTGTGGGCCTTTGAGAGAGATCCAAGGAGAAAACCATGTGAAAGGATTTCCCAGCATGTTAGTGAGACCAAAGCTGTCCCACACACCTGCCTATCCAAAATGATCCATCAGGTCCCACATTCCTTTAATAAACTTTGAAGAACCTAATTTATTTGAAAGGCGGGAGATACAGAGGTCTTCCATCCACTAGTTCATTTCCCACATGCCCACAGCAGCCAGACCGATGCCAGGAGACAAACTGGATACACCTTGCAACACCACGTGCACTGTGGGGGACTCGGCTGTCCCCTGAGCATGGCAGCGTGAGCTGGGTCCGCTCTTTCTGGCTCATTCCCCGCTCAGCAGCACTTCAATCCATGTCCCTCTCTTCCACTTAGTTCTCCATGATCCTCTGGTGCCCTTCCTGGCCAACTGCGAGTAGCTGGGCCTGGCTTCCTGAGTCAACAACGGGGCTGCCACCTTCCAGGATCACACGTCATTCCTGTCTCCAGACTTGCGACACTGAACTTACATCACAGCAGTCCCAGGGCGCCCGATGTCCCTGGGGACCACTCACTCCTTGAAGTGAAAACACCACCTCTGCAGCAGTACACTTGGGAAATGTTTGTGGCATGAATACATTTTGTGTCATGTGTCCTTAAAGATCACGGTGGCTACTGACAAATGGTGATAGGCTTTCTTGAGGTCAACCCTCAGCCTGGCCAGTGCCTCCTGATAGCCTTCCCTGAGGTCCTCAGTTTAGCCAACACCTCCTACTAGGCCATCTGTGTTTTTACACCTGTGGCAATAAGCAGGGTGGCATCGGGATGTCTGTCTGTGGCTCCATACATGCCATCCCCCAGGCCTTGCTGCTGGTGTCTCTGGTGGAAGGGGTGCCTGGGCTTGGGGCACACCTGACATGACCCTGCTCTCTTCTCGTCTCCATTGCCAGGGACCCCAGGGGGGCATGACCACCCCCTGGCACCAGGTGTCCAGAGGTAACAGCTGTGTTTGAATGGGCACAGAGGAGTGGGCCACTGACACAGCAGCTAAGATACCACTTGAGACACCCCTCTCCCATCTGGGGGTACCTGGAGTTGAGGCCCACCACTGTCCCGCATCCAGCTTTTGGCAAACATGGATCCTTGGTGCAGGGGTTCTTGGCTCCCTGCCGCGGAGAACCCGGTGTTGGCTGTTGCAGGTACTCAGGAACAAAACCACCAGGTGGACAATCTCTCCCTCTGTCTCCCTACCTTTCAAGTAAAATGAAAATAAACAGATTTTAATTACCATGGACACATAGAAATTGGGCGTCAAATTCAAGCTTGTGATGGAAGAAATACTAGGAGGAGCACACATTTGAAGTGCTGGTTTCAGGGCTTCTCCACGGGGTGCAGTACCCAGACTCACAGGTGCCCACGAGCTGGCAGGACTGTGGCTCTGGAGGAATTCTGGGACCCAAGCAGAGCCTTCTCAGAGATTGGCAGCCCACAACCTGTGCACACTCTGTGCCCAGTGGATTGCTCACCTAAACATCAACCCGTGAACTACTCAAGGACTTGTGTAATATTTAATGTCTCAGCCGCAAGCAAACAGGCTCTTTGGCGGGAGGAGGGAGCGCCTGCAGTCCCCTTCCGGCCTGTGGCCCTGGGAGGCGGGAAGCCAGCCCTCTCCAGCAGGAGTTCTCGGAGGCTCTTGAGGTGCCTGGGGGGCGGTGGCAGGCGTCTCCGTCCTGTTGGCCTTGGCGCTGCAGGCGACAGCTCTGGATCCTGGCCATGGCCACTCTGACGACCTCGCATGCCTGTGTGGAGTGTCTGAAGAAACTTTACTTCCTCTGCGTGTACATGTTCTTTCATAACCAGAGAGCTTTCCAGATTTTGTAATTCCGGGATTTCCTCTTTTGGATCTTTTTTTTTTTTTTTTTTTTTTCTCAAACAACAGGTTTCAAGTCTAGCTTGGGGTGAGGCCTAGATAAAGCCTCATGAGGTGGTAGGCTGAGGGCTGCATGTGTCCTTGGGGTTTGCTGGTGTTCTGGGAGCCCCACGTGGGTCTGCAGGGACAGATGCTGTCTGCAGTGATGCGGTGATGAAGAGCGCGGATTTAACAGCCAAGGTTCAGATCCCAGCCCCGGGCTTCCCTCTGTGCGGCTGTGAGTCATGCTTCCGTTTGGTGAAGGCGGAGCATGCCAGAAACCAGAGCCAAATTCGGAGGCTGGCAAAGTTGCAGTGCTCGCCCAGAAGTGTCTCCCAGGTGCCCACCGAGAGCTGCCACGGGGGCGTCTGTTCCAGCCATGTCCATTGCGTGGCTCCTGGCTGCTCTGAATGCCAGCACCCTGGCTGGCCTGCTCTTTTGTTCCCTAACTTGGGTAAGAGATGCTTTATGATCATTTCCAAGTCACATCAGTGCCCTGCGTCTTCCCACAGGTGCCGGAGAGTCATGCCCTGGAGGTTGCGGTCCCTCCAGATGTCCCTGGAGACGTCAGCTGTCCCACACCACAGAGCCACCCTGTCACCCTCAAGAGACTCGCTGGCCCCGCCCCGCAGCCCTCTGTGCAGGGCCACCGCCTTCCAGCCAGTCCTGCCGTAGCCCTGTGGGGACACTGGCTGTCGGAGCCCCTCAGGATTCAGGTCAGTGAAGCTGTGTCACAGCCTGGGTGGGAAGGTGGGTGGCCTGGCCGTGTGCCCGCCCCTCTCGGTCTGGCCCTAGTCAGCACCGGGGAGCCTGCTGTTACGGGAAAGGAAGTCACCTTTTCTGAGCAGAAGACCTTGTTTGAGCAGTGACCCCTCTTTCCAGCACGCTCCTGGTAGAGGGAGAGGGCTCATCTTGGCTAATTCAGCTGCCTGCCTCTGGACAGCTCTTGCTGCAGGTGGCTGGTCCCCAGGCGCTGCCCCATTCCCTTCTCTGCCTAGACCAGTTCAGGAGCTGTTCATGAGCCACAGGCCTCTGCGTGGTTCATGGGTTGCCGCTGCTTTATCAGCAGTCTGGTGACTTTCAAGACAGAGTTCACCCCGTTGATTTTAAAACAGACGGGGCAGTTGATTAAAGCTGCCACTGTGTACTGCTGCCTACTGTGTTAGCTTTAATTTCTTTTGAGCTGGGTGGTTCGTTAAAATTCATATTTTAAATTAATCTGAAATAATTTTTTTCAATTGTGACTTCTCCCAGCATAGAGAGGGAACTCCCATCTGCTGGCTGCGTCCCACCTGCCTACAAGGCCCTGGAGTCAGGGAGCTGAGAGCTCCGAGTCCTCACTGCCACCTGGGCTCTGCATGGGCAGGGTGCAGGGGAGAGGAGTGGGAGGCGTCTCTGGACTGGGGTGCAGGCATGGGAGATCTGCGTGGTCCAGCTGACACCAAACCTGCCAGCCGACTGCCCACCCTGAGGGAGACGATACCCACGCCTGAAGCCGCCAGAAGAAGGCTCACTTTTAGGGACCGGCCGGCCATGCCTGGGCTCTGGGCCCCCAGCTCGTGTCTGTGCCTGTTAGTGAGAGAGGCTTCCCTGAGGCCATGCACGCCGCAGCTGACTGAGGTGGCCTTAGGTCAGGGTTTGCATGGATGCAGAGCTGAATAACCAGACCCAAAACCCTTTCACAGTGAGTTGCCGAGCCTTTCTCCACTTGAAGGAGGCCAGACGGGGAAGGGCTCTGCTCTGCCTGTGGCCCCGTCACAGACAGCGCCCCGAGCATGGTCCATGCCAGGACTCCTGCCAGGGCTCCTCCCATGGCCCCATCGCAGACAGCGCCCCGAGCAGGGTCCACCCCAGGGCTCTTCCCTGACCACCTCCGCTCCCTCTCCTAGCCTGCCACCTGCCTCTGCTCCCTCAGCTTTGGTTTCCTGGGTTCTGACACCCTCTCTGGCAGGTTCACCTCTGACTAACTCCCAGTTCAAAGCTCTGTGTCCCGGGTGTGAACTGTGGTGAGGAGGATCTGCAGACGAATGATAGCTGTGTGAATCTAAATGCCGCCATCACTCGTCTGGGCATCTCTGAGCTCCCCTACATGATGCTCCAATTTACATGTATGTGCTTTGTGGTTTGGAGGGAATGCATTTGCTCCGGCAAGTGGTAGAGGAAAGATGAGCTTGGCTCTTAGTCCGGTGGAGGTGGCCAGTCCTCCACTTCCTCTGCCTCGTCCTTGTCCAGGGCCCCCCATCGCAGGCCTGAGCATCTGTCTCCCCCACAGCAAGGACACCCAGTGGGCTGTTCGTCCCCTGGTTCTCTGTGAGCTGAGCGTAGACTGGTCAGGAAGAGCACTTGTCCCCCCAAGTGGGGTGTTTGCTGGTAGCAAGTTCTCTGTGGCTCAGAGAGTAAATGTGCTGTCTTTGGCTCCAGTGCCCACCACCCCCTGCCCCGCCCCCTGGAGAAGATGGCTGCGCTCCGACAGCTGGCACTGCTGCTCTGGAAGAACTACACCCTGCAGGTGGGTCTGGCCCCACGGAGGGCGGGGGTGGTGCTGGGCCAGGAGCGCTCGGCCGCATCACCCTCGGCTCTGCTTTCGCTTGCAGAAGCGGAAGGTTCTGGTGACGGCCCTGGAGCTCCTCCTGCCGTTGCTCTTTTCCGGGATCCTGATTTGGCTGCGCTTGAAGATCCAGTCAGAAAACGTGCCCAATGCCACCGTCTACCCGGAGCAGTCCATCCAGGAGCTGCCCCTCTTCTTCACTTTCCCTCTGCCAGGGGACACCTGGGAGCTCGCCTACGTGCCTTCCCACAGCGATGCCGCCAGGACCATCACCGAGTCGGCCAGGGGAGCGCTGGTGATCAACATGAGAGGTGAGCCTGCAGGCCGGGGGCTCCAGTGGGACCTGAGCCAGGAGCTCCCCTGCCGGCTGTGTCACCGAGGACTGCCAGGCCCCCGAGTGTGCCACACTTGGTTGTAACAAGTTGTGGGTGCAGGCCAGCCCCTGCCTGGAGCTGGTGGGGCCCAGTAAAGTAATATGTGGGACAGTATGAGCAGTGCCTAGTTTGGGGACCCAGCTGACAAGAGCTTCAGGGACTGTGCCCACCACCTGCTGGCCCGGGAAAGCTGCTGCATTGCAAAGCCTCTTCCTGGGGTGTCTGGTGGCTTTGAGGAGGGTTCGGGTTCAGAGGTCGCCTGTCCTCCTGCCCTAGATGCAGGCCATTTCCTGTCTCAGGAGAGGCTTACAGGGCCCTAGCGAGTCTTTGTGTGCAGGTGACCGGGTCTCCCAGGTTCCCTGTGTGGGTGGGGCGGGGCTGAAGGACCACGGGCTCCCACGCTGTCTCTGCAGTTCGCGGCTTTCCCTCGGAGAAGCACTTCGAGGACTACATCCGGTACGACAACCGCTCCTCCAACGTGCTGGCCGCCGTGGTGTTCGAGCACAAGTTCAGTCACAGCACGGACCCCCTGCCCCTGGCGGTGAGCCTGGCACCGCCGCCCCTTGCTGCGCTGGCCGCTGAGGCTGCCCGCTTCGCCTCTTCCTCCCTGGCGGCTCAGCGTAACCCCTAAAGGCCGTTGGCTTCCGCCCACCCCTGTGCACATGGTGCATGCGGGGATCTCGCCCGAGGGGAGCTGCTCGGCCTGGAGGGGCTGCCCTGCACACAGCTCTCTGCGTCCCTGAGGTGTTTCTGGGGTGAGGGAGTGGTGAGGTGGGGCAGTGACCACGTGGTCACCCTGGGTGACGCTCCCCATCCCCATCACGTGCGAACTGTCTCCACAGGTGAAATACCACCTGCGCTTCAGTTACACACGGAGAAACTACATTTGGACCCAGTCGGACTCCTTCCTCCTCAAGCAGACGGAGGGCTGGCATACCACCTCCCTTTTTCCACTCTTCCCGAACCCAGGACCAAGGGAGCCTTCGTCCCCCGACGGCGGGGAGCCCGGTGAGGAGCCCCCTGTGGCCGCTGGGAGGGTCGTGGGTCTGGCACCGCTCTGAAGTAGTTGTCAGGCGCATGTGTCTTCCTGTTTGGAGGAGGAGGGCAAAATATCACAAACGCAGAGTCCTGGCTATCCCCTGGAGTAAGACATTTTAAGGGTGCTTTTTTTTTAAGGTTTATTTATTTTTATTAGAAGGGCAGATATACAGAGAGGAGGAGAGACAGAAAGGAAGATTTTCCATCCAGTGATTCATTCCCAAACCAGCCACAATGGCTGGAGCTGAGCCAATCCAAAGCCAGGAGCCAGGAGCTTCTTCCAGGTCTCCCATGTGAGTGCAGGGTCCCAAGGCTTTGGGCCATCCTCCGACTGCTTTCCCAGGCCACAAGCAGGGAGCTGGACGGGAAGAGGGGCCCCCAGGATTAGAACCAGCACCCATATGGGATCCTGGTACATTCAAGGCGAGGACGTTAGCTGCTAGGCTATAGTGCTGGGCCCTCAGGGGCTTTTTGTTTTGCTTTTTATGATTTACTCATTTGAAAGTTGCCATTACAGAGAGAGGGTGAGACAGAGATCCTCCAACCACCCATTCATTCCCCAGACGGCCACAGTGAACACAACTGGGTCAGTCGGATCCCAGGAGCCAAGGAGTTCTGCTGAGTCTACCATGTGGGTACAGGGGCTCAAACCCTGGAGCCCTCTTCTGCTGTCTTCCCCAGCACATTAACAGGGAGCTGGATCAGAAGTGGAGCAGCAGCCAGGCCTTGAACCTGTGTCCATGTGGAATGCTGGCATTGCAGGTGCAGGCTTGAGTTGCTGCACCACAGTGCCAGCCCCCCACATCTGCTGTTCTAAAACACTTGAGCCTACACTGAGTCTTGTGGGCTTGGCTTTGCATTTCTGTCCGCTCAGCCTCCTCCGTAGGGCTTCATGGGCTTTTGAAGCTCCGTAATCCATGGCTTAATCCATTGAGCACACCTTGTATAGAGGCTGGATCTTGGCTTGTCACATACCCTGCCAGTGATTGTCTTGGCTGCCTCTGAAGCGTGGGTGTGTCTGGCAGCCAAGCTTGGCAGAGCCAGGAAGACACGGCCCGAGGGGGCCAGGCCAGCTGCAGGACACACTGGAGAGCGGCAGGGCGTCCCACGGGTCTGGCAGCACAAGAGCCCACCCATTCAGGTGTCAGTGGAGAAGCACAGATGCCAGCAGAGCCCGGGATGCTGAAACCGTGAGCAGCGGGCGGGGGAGGGGGGGAGGGGACAGCGTTCGGACAGGTCTGTCCCAGAGTAGGAGCCTGTTGGCAAGATCCTGCATCCTGAGGAGGACCTGGGGCGGTCCAGGCCCGGTGGCAGGAGTGAGCTGGCTCTGGACAGTTCCCCAAAGCTGGGGCTCAGGAGAAAGGGTAGTGGCTGACAGTGGGATGCACTGGCTCCCGAGCCCAGCAGGGCTGGAGCTCCTCCGTGCCCTCCCGTGGCTCCGAGGACAGTGTCCCCAGCTTAGAAGCCGCAGGGAAGATCTCCAAGCAAGGCGAAGACACAGGTTTCAGTGGCCTGCCAGATGAGAGCAAGGCCTCACTCACCACGATTTCTGCAGCAAACAGGATGGCAGTGACAGCAGGTGGGCAGGTGTCTGGTGGGGAGGAGGACTCTGGTGTGGCAGCAGGCACCCATTCAAATCCAGGCCTATTCTTGCCCTGCCTGCCCCACCTCCCCGTCCACATCTCAGACCCCATGTCTCTGCTGTGAATGCAGCCCTCAGCGGGATAGTTGGAAAGGAGGGGAGCCCTCAGCAGGGTAGTTGGAAAGGAGGGGAGCCCTCAGCAGGGTAGTTGGAAAGGAGGGGAGCCCTCAGCGGGGTAGTCGGAAAGGAGGAGAGCCCTCAGCGGGGTAGTCGGAAAGGAGGGGAGCCCTCAGCAGGGTAGTTGGAAAGGAGGGGAGCCCTCAGCGAGGTAGTCGGAAAGGAGGGGAGCCCTCAGCGGGGTAGTCGGAAAGGAGGAGAGCCCTCAGCGGGGTAGTTGGAAAGGAGGGGAGCCCTCAGCGGGGTAGTCGGAAAGGAGGGGAGCCCTCAGCGGGGTAGTCGGAAAGAAGGGGAGATCCCTGGCACAGAGATGCTCCCTGTGGCTTCTCTTGATGCCACAGACACCTCCGCAGGGGGCCGGGCTGACCACATCCCCACTGCCTCCTGAGAGTGGCATGGGAGCCTGTGGCAGCCAGGCTGCATCCAGGAGGGCCCCAGGCTCGGCACAGCCCTCCTCCACTGTGCTACAACTTTCTGGGCCACAGCGCCCCCTCTGCCCAATGGCGATGTCACCAGCCTGGCCCTCACAAGCACTCAGTAGGTGCTACTGCGATTGCAGATTCAGGAGACTGAGCCTAAGTGGGCAGAAAGGTGCACCCATGGGAGCCCCCAGCCAGCGGAGTGGGCCTTGTGGCTCTCCTCTTTCCTGAAGGTTGGGACTTAGATTATTCTGAGTGTTTCCGTGCTTGGTAACAGAGGGTCCCGTGCCACCCACTCCTGAGGCCTTATGGCTGGGCCCAGAAGCAGGCCTGGGGGGATGGGGTGTTGCTGCCAAGTTAACTTTGCCTGAGCCAAGGGCTGGGCAGCCTCTGAGCGGATCCTGCCCTGTCCTGCCGGAGGGACGAAGCCTTGCAGCCAGCCTGAGTGTGACTCTGTATTCTCTGAGGGACCCCAGCCTCTGGGATAAGTACAGAGTGCCTGCTGATAGCACCTGCTGTGGGTGGGGCCTTGTCACAGCAGCAGGAAGCTCATGGACTCCCGACTCCTCAGCTTTGCAAAGTGCTTCTGTGCCCCTGGCTACTGACTGTTTTTTCTTTGAGCACTCAGACTTTTATGGGGTGCTAGGGATTGGCTGCTTCTCAGGCCCATCTCTTGTCTCTCTCTTCCCTAACTCAACTTACCACCTCCTTCCTGGTGTATTTTTGGCCTCATTCCTGTTTGCTTGTTTAAATCCCACCCATTTTGGTTAGGCCGTCCCAGTTTCTCTGAAGGCATTGTTAAAGCGTGATCAGGCGTGTGACTTCTGTGTAGTGTGTGGATCACAGCCCCCTCTCAGTTGCTACGGGTGTGTGGGTGTGTGATGCGTCTGCTCCCTCCTCCCATGAGGCCCTGGGCAGCCCAGAGCGCCCCTGGGCACAGTGGGTGGCAGCGGGTGAAGTCCTCCAGGGCTCCCAGGAGGCCCAGTCCAGCTGGGTGCTAGCAGCTCTCCTAATGCCAGTGTCATCTGCTCTGTCCCCAGGGTACATCCGGGAGGGCTTCCTGGCTGTCCAGCACGCAGTGGACCGAGCCATCATGCAGTATCACGCCAACGCATCTGCACACCAGCTCTTCCAGAAGCTCACGGTGGTTGTCAAGAGGTTTCCATACCCACCGTTCATCCAGGACCCCTTCCTGGTGGCCATCCAGTACCAGCTGCCCCTGCTGCTCATGCTCAGCTTCACCTACGCCTCCCTCACCATCGTCCGGGCGGTGGTGCAGGAGAAGGAGCACAGGCTGAAGGTGACCTGGGCCCGGGCTTCGTGGGGCAAGGCCGGCACGGGAGGCAGGTGGTTGTGTCCTCGTGCCCCTGGAAGAAGCGGTGCGTGTTTCAAGGCTGCCCTGTTGTTGGCCCACGCCCACAGCTTCGTGGCACCCAGCTCGTCTTGGGGCTTCTCTGAAGTCAGCCTGGTGCCTTGATTTTCAAATCTGGACAAGGCGTCCAGTTTGGTATGCCGTGCACCCGGGGGGAGATGGCCATTGGGCCATGTTGTGCAACATGAGGGACTCTGTACGCTTGCAGGAGGCCTGGCCCAGCTGAGATGTCCCAAAGGGACAGCAGGCACGTGGCAAACGTTACTGTGGACAGCCCGGCCCTCGGCGTTAGCAGTGCGTGCTGGCGCGGAATAGGGAGTAGCTAGCATTGTGTGTAGCTTGAGCACTCCGGGGTCACCGGGAGTGACATTGTGTGACGGGTCGCCACGAAGTCACACGGGACGTCAGATGCGTGTGGTGAAAAATCCAGCCAGGAGCTTCAAGAGTCTTTGTGCCAAAATAAGGTCACTTCCATTGTCTGCCTTCCTCCTCTCCAAGTTCCCAGCGAGGTGACCTTGAGAATATCATCAGTCGTGCTGCTTCGTCAGTCAGGCATGAGGCTGAGCGAGTGGCAGGGAAGGGGGGACCTGCTGGAATCCCTTACAGAGCTGCGCTGAGTTAGCCCAGCATTGAGCTAGGTAGGACAGACCGCGGTGACTCCAGGAGGGGCCCACAGGTGAGCCCAGCGGGGCAGGCTGTCGTGGGGCAGTCAGGTCTGTCTGGCGTGGGGCAGGGCAGGCTGTATGGGGCAGTCAGGTCTGTCTGGCGTGGGGCAGGGCAGGCTGTATGGGGCAGTCAGGTCTGTCTGGCGTGGGGCAGGGCAGGCTGTCGTGGGGCAGTCAGGTCTGTCTGGCATAGGACAGGGCAGGCAGTGGGGCAGTCAGGTCTGTCTGGCATGGGACAGGGCAGGCTGTCGTGGGGCAGGGCAGGCTGTCGTGGGCAGTCAGGTCTGTCTGGCGTGGGGCAGGGCAGGCTGTCGTGGGGCAGTCAGGTCTGTCTGGCATAGGACAGGGCAGGCTGTCGTGGGGCAGTCAGGTCTGTCTGGCATGGGACAGGGCAGGCTGTCGTGGGGCAGTCAGGTCTGTCTGGCATGGGACAGGGCAGGCTGTCGTGGGGCAGTCAGGTCTGTCTGGCATGGGACAGGGCAGGCTGTCGTGGGGCAGTCAGGTCTGTCTGGCATGGGACAGGGCAGGCTGTCGTGGGGCAGTCAGGTCTGTCTGGCATAGGACAGGGCAGGCTGTCGTGGAGCAGTCAGGTCTGTCTGGCATGGGACAGGGCAGGCTGTCGTGGGGCAGGGCAGGCTGTCGTGGGCAGTCAGGTCTGTCTGGCGTGGGGCAGGGCAGGCTGTCGTGGGCAGTCAGGTCTGTCTGGCGTGGGGCAGGGCAGGCTGTATGGGGCAGTCAGGTCTGTCTGGCATGGGACAGGGCAGGCTGTCGTGGGGCAGTCAGGTCTGTCTGGCATGGGGCAGGGCAGGCTGTCGTGGGGCAATGATTGTGTGAGAAGCCGTTGACATCTTTCCGTCAATCCCAGCAGACATGGGCAGCCGGTGGGAGCGGGAGGGTGGGGGGGTGAGGCCGGGTTCCTTCCATGGGAGCTGAGAGTTGCCTGACGGGCAGACCCCAGTCTCAGCCTTGCTGCCCAGTGCCCTGCAGCCTGCAGTACAGGTGTGCAGGACCCAGCTGTGCAGGTGCGATGTGAGGCTCTCCCTTCAGGAGTACATGCGCATGCTGGGGCTGGAGAGCTGGCTGCACTGGAGCGCATGGTTCCTCATGTTCTTCCTCGTCCTGCTTGTCGTGGTCTCCCTCATGACCCTACTCTTCTGCGTCAGGGTGAGTGTGCCCTGCCCGGGGCTGTTCCCGTCAGCAGCAGTCTGTGGTGGGTAAGCTGGTGTGGTCATCGTGGCAGGACGCCTGCCCGGGCCCAGTGTGGCATCCTGTGGCCCCCAGTTCAGGCTTGGGGAGGGACTGGGGCTTCCCACAGGTCCTCAGCTCCGAGCGGCACCCTCCATCCTGGGGCTCCTCCTGGTCCACACCCCTTTCCTGCCCTCCGCACACTGACAGCCGGCTGGCCTCTGCAGGTGAAGGAGGGTGTGGCCGTGCTGACCAGCAGCGACCCTTCACTGGTGCTGGCCTTCCTGCTGTGCTTCGCCATCTCCTCCATCTCCTTCAGCTTCATGGTCAGCACCTTCTTCAGTAAAGGTGAGTGGGCGGGTGTGCTCAGGCCCCCAGCACTGAGTGTGTGGGACTTAGAGGGGCAGGCCGGCGATGGAGCCTCTGGAGCCTGAGAAGCAGGAGGAAGACACAGAGCCCACAACCTGGCGGGAGTGCAGGGTCGGGGTGCAGGGCACCTGTGTGCTGGCTGTGCTGGCCCAGGAGCTCATCTGTCCTGTGGTGACTCCCAGTTTACCAGTGCTGTGTGTGCAGGCCCCCTGCCCTTCCAGGCCTGAAGGACAGCCCACGTTGCCTGGCTATCCGTGAGTCAGCTGCTGTGAGCCATGCTCCGTGAACACGCCCATGGGGAGGCCTGTCCGGCCCCTGCTTTGAGCTCGCTGGGTCCGTCTTGGCTCTTTTCCGTTCATGCTGATCCCCATGGATTGCCCCGTGCTTACTGATGTCCCTACAAGGTTCAGGCTGCAGCTGAGCCTGCCGGCGCGGCAGTCAGACACTCGGCCAGCAGAGCCTCCCTCCCATGTGGATACGTCTGCCCCAGAGGGCCTGTCACTAAACCCTAGTTCTTAGACTGTTTCCCTCTCTGCCCCCATGTCTGTGGCCCTGTCATCCTCCCTGGACTCGTCCCTGCCAAGTGGCCAGTCACTGGAGCAAGAGGGACAGACTATATTCCAGCTGCATGCCCGGACCCTGTGGTTCTAAGTTCCTTCGTGTCCTTAAAAAAGCAAGGATGCCACAGCATCTCTCCATCTGTCTGGAAGTCAGAGTTAGAGAGAAATGCAGAGACAGATTTTCCATCTGGTTTACTCCCCAGATGACCCCGACAGCCAGAGCGAGGCTGGGCCCAAGCCAGGGAGTAGGATTCCATCCATGGTTGGCGGGAGCCCGGGCATTTGGGCCGCCCTCTGCCGCTTCCCAGGCAGCTTAGATGTGGAACAGCCAGGACTTGAACCCATACCTTCATGGGAGGCCAGCTTTGCAAGGAGGTAGCTCAAACTGCTAAGCCACAGTGCTGGTCTCGAAGGGTTTTTCTTACATGAATTTTACAGACACGTGGATCTGTGTGTATTTAATCTGTGATAGCTGAATATAAGCAAACCTAAGATGCTTTGAATCTAAGGAGTAACCACCACATGCCTGCTGTGTTTCCCATGTGTTAGCAGCAAGCATGAAATGTCACATTCTCCCCAGCTTCTCACTGAGCAGTGGGCCCAGCTGGGCCCTCCCTGTGTCCAGGGTGTCCCGTGACACACACCTGATGCATATGTGCAGCTGGGCAGGGGACTCCCGAATGCCCAGCCTGGTACTTGGCCCAGGTGGGTGCTCAGTGCGCGAGTAGAAGCCATGAGGCCAGATGAGAGGCGAAGGAGGAGCCCTCGGACGTGTGGTGATGACAGGGAGGCAGCAGGTGCCCCTGAGGCCTCTGCGCAGCTCCAGGCAGCTGTGTGCAGGAGGCTGCAGGCTGATCCTCGATCTCCCGGAGCGAAGCTTGGGTCATGCACCCTCTGGCCGTGAGCACCCACGCTGCACCCTGCCCTGCGAGCCGTGCACAGCGCCTGCCTCCTCTCACCCACAGCCAATATGGCGGCCGCCGTGGGAGGCTTCCTCTACTTCTTCACTTACACCCCCTACTTCTTTGTGGCTCCTCGGTACAACTGGATGACGCTGAGCCAGAAGCTGCTCTCCTGCCTCCTGTCCAACGTGGCCATGGCCATGGGAGCCCAGCTCATAGGCAAATTTGAAGCCAAAGGTGAGTGTCATCTGCTGCGTTCCCTTGGGGGCAGTGCCACTAGCAGTGGCCAGTGGAGACAGCCGACGTCAGGGACTAAGCCGGTGCAAGGGCGCTGTGCGGGCCAGTGGCAGGAGCTCTGGTCCTGGGTGGTCCCGGAGGCTGCAGAAGCCGAGGGGTGTGGGTCAAAGACCCTGAGCTCAGAGGGCAAAGGGTGACTGTGTGGTAGCAACTGTGTCCACCGATCTGTTTTTAGATTTATTTATTGGTTTGAGAGATAGAGAGGGGAGAGAGGTAGGTCTTCGACTTTGTGCTTCACTCCCCAAGTGGCCAGACGGACAGAGCTGAGCTGATCCAAAGCCAGGAGCCAGGAGCTTCTTGTGGGCTCCCACACTGCTGCAGGGTCCCAAGAACTGGAGCCATCCCCCGCTGCCTTCCCAGGCCACAAGCAGGGAGCTGGATCAGAGGTGGAGCACCTGGGACTTGAACCAGCACCACAGACAGTGACTGCCCACTAGGCCACAGCATTGGTGCCTTAAATACTTTTTTAAAAGCTATTTCCGGGCCCGGCGCGGTGGCGCAGTGGTTAAGGTCCTCGCCTTGCACGCCCGAGATCCCATATGGGCGCTGGTTCTAATCCCGGCAGCCCCGCTTCCCTTCCAGCTCCCTGCTTGTGGCCTGGGAAAGCAGTCGAGGACGGCCCAAAGCTTTGGGAACCTGCACCCGCGTGGGAGACCCGGAAGAGGCTCCTGGCTTCGGATCGGCATAGCACCGGCCGCTGTGCTCACTTGGGGAGTGAACCATCGGACGGAAGATCTTCCTCTCTGTCTCTCCTCTCTGTATATCCGCCTTTCCAATAAAAAAAAATAATAAAAATAAATCTTTAAAAAAAAAAAAAAGCTATTTCCAAAGAGGACTGTTCCTCTACACTCCAAAGTTCTGCCGTGAGTTTCCTTAAGCAGACGAACTCATTGTCTGAACGTAGACACTGACATGACTGGAGAGCCACCATTTCCCTCAGGGTCCAGGGTCCTCGAGCCGGCCAGGATGGGCGGGACACACCAATCCCAGACACCTTGGGGCTGCCACCGCGGCACGCTCCATTAGGTCGCACTTTTTACATGTGTGCGTGGGTTCCTGCGTGTGGTTTTGTGTATCTGCGTACATATTGGTTGTATGCTGTGTGTATGTCTTTCCACACACACGTGTTTATGCTATGTGTGTATGTGTGATATCAATTAAGTTTGCATGTGTCTCATCAGTAATGAGCTTCGGCTGGCAGGGAACTTGGGATTTTTTGTTGTCCTAAAGATGTGGAGAAAGTTCCCAGACTTGTTAGGAAGCTGTCGGGCCAGAGTCGGCTGCCTTCGCAGTGCCGGGGGCGGGGAGAGGAGACGCCTGGGACGTCAGGTCGTGTAGGGCTTTTCTTCCTGGTACTCTCCAGGCACGGGCATCCAGTGGCGAGACCTCCTGAGCCCAGTCAATGTGGACGACGACTTCTGCTTTGGGCAAGTGCTGGGGATGCTGCTGCTGGACTCCATGCTGTACGGCCTGGTCACCTGGTACGTGGAGGCCGTCTTCCCTGGGCAGTTCGGCATGCCCCAGCCATGGTACTTCTTCGTCATGGTGAGTGCCTGTGTCCGTCCAGGCTGAGGTTTGCCTGGACCCCCTGCGAGCCCCTGCCATGTGGTACCTACATGGGCTGGGAGAGAAAGCCCTGCCCTGCTTCCAGGTGCCCAAGGAGAGGATTCACAGCAGGAGACCGCAGACTGACGTTCATGGCGTCTGCTGCCCCATCCCGTCTCCTTGCCCAGGAGGCGTATTTCACAGGGTTTTCCACCCACAAAACCATGCAGGTTTAAATGGCTGCCTATGGCTGGAGCACGGAGGGCCTCCCGTCCTGAGGGGTGACTCTGCGGGCACCTGGGTGCCACATGGGCCTGGGCTGCATTCATTTTACAAAGGTGGGGTTGTAACAAAAAATGCTTGACATACACCTGAAGCTAATAACACTTCTTAAATGCTTTAAATATATGTATGAGTATTTATACTATGGCTTTAGGGTTTTGTCTAAGCATACATATGAATGCTGTTCTATTTATATATTTAAGATCGGTTTGGGGCCCAGCACGATAGCCTAGCAGCTAAAGTCCTTGCCTTGAACGCACCGGGATCCCATTTGGGCGCCAGTTCTAATCCCGGCAGCCCTGCTTCCCATCCAGCTCCCTGCTTGTGGCCTGGGAAAGCAGTGGAGGACGGCCCAAAGCTTTGGGACCCTGCACCCAAAGAGGCTCCTGGCTCCTGACTTCGGATCGGCACAGCACCGGCCGTTGCGGCCGCCTGGGGAATGACTCAGTCCTCGGAAGATCCTCCTCTCTGTCTATCTGCCTTTCCAATAAAAATAAATAAATCTTTAAAACAAATGAACAAAAAAAGATTGTTTTTATTTGTTTGAAAGGCAGAGTGGCAGAGAGGGTGAGGCAGAACCGGATCTTCCAACTGCTGGTTCACTCTCCAGGTGACCTCAACAGTCAGGGCCGAGGCTGAGGCCTCCAGGTCGGCTGTGGGTGCAGGGCCCTGGCGTCCCCCGCCTTCCCAGGAGCGCCGTGGGAAGCCGCGCCAGCAGACAGCCGCCTGTCATTGAGGCCATTTGGAGAATGTGCCGGCGGACGATCTCATTCCTTTTGATCTCTAACTCTGCCTTTCAAATAAGTCAGATCCACCCGTTTGTGCTGGGACTGGGTCCAGCTTTTCGGAAGGCAGTTTAGCTTGCTGCATGGCAGCACCAGTCCCCGGTTGTTTTGTTTTTTAACATCTGCTTTTAAGTAGGTTTGTGTATCTAAGTGTACACCTTTTGGGGGATCCAGTTCATTATGGTGGCTTCCAGTCGTCCCTCCCAGGTGTGCACCCCAGTGTGTTCAACTCCTGCCCTTTCACTCCCTTCATGCTTGGGTTGGACAGACAGCATCGCACTGGTGCCTCAACCCCGGGTGGCCAGAGGCACCCATTTCTTTACTATTCGGAAAAATGTCGCAGCCGAACCATGGTGTTTGGTAACGTGAAGCACACTCTGAATTCAGGGTCGCTGTGTGTGGGACCGTGTTCCTCCAGCGGAATGCAGTGATCTGGGCACAGCGACAGGGCTGGATATGCCAGGCGGCCCCCACCCCCTGCCCCAGCTCACCCGCCACCATGCACCACCCCTGTGGAGGGACGCCTTGTACCTCTGCCCCAAGGCAGAGGCCTCTCCCTGATCTTCGGGGTTCACGTGCAGCTTGAGCGGTGAGGCATGTGGGATGCACTGAGACTGGGCTGCTCTCCTGGGCACCCCTTTTCCTCGGTGTCACATGCAAGCCTGCAAGTGACTCTTGCATCAACCTTCCAGCCCGGAAATGTGAGGCTCCAAATTGGGAGTGGGCTGGGCTGGGCTCCCGCTCTGCTTCCCCAGCAGGCAAGGACACGGTGGGCACCCCGCATGTGTCTACTCGTTGGCTTGTTCATCACCTGGAAAGTGACACACCTGTCCCCACGCAGCCCTCCTACTGGTGCGGGAGCCCCAGGACAGCCAGGGGGAAGGAAGAGGACGCCGACCCCCAGAAGGCCATCCCCACGGAGTACTGTGAGGCTGAGCCCGAGGCCCTGCTGGCTGGCATCAAGATCAAGCATCTGTCCAAGGTACCATGTGCCTGTGAGGCCAGGCCGCTTGCAGGTGCCCTGCTTGCTCCCCAGTGCCGGAGGAGGAAGGGCAGTGCCCCCAGCTGCTCTCTGCCTGGTTCTCTGGGCACAGCCCCCGTGTCCCTGTCGGCTGTGCCTAGTGTGGGTCAGCACACGTAGCTCGTCCTGCTTAGCTGTCCTGGACACCTTGTCGTCGTGCGTCCCCAGTCCCCCCCCCCACACCAGGACACTCACATGGGAGCAGGGAGTGGCCGGAGATAGCAGTAAGACGTAGAGGCCACTGCACCCCAGGGCCCTGGGCATCCAGGGCAACCTCTGCCTTTCCCACAGGTGTTTCAGGTGGGGCACAAGGACAGAGCAGCTGTCAGAGACCTGAGCCTGAACCTGTACGAGGGGCAAATCACTGTCCTACTGGGCCACAATGGTGCGGGCAAGACCACCACCTTGTCCATGCTCACAGGTGAGGGGCAGCTTTGTGCACCCTTGCTCGGCACCAGCCCGATCTCTGCCACAGCTCCCAGCCCTCCAGGGGTGAGCCCCAGTCCCTGAGCCCAGAGGGCTACATGGCGACCTTCAATCCCCCTTCCTTGGTGAATACTCCAGCCCAGTGGGGTCAGTAAAAGACCACCAGGCCACCTGAAGCCAGACGAGAGCAGGCGCACTCCATGTCGGTCTCATCCTGGCCAGTGCCCTGGCCTGTCACACGGTCCTCCCCGTCAAGGCTTCCACATCACCGCAAGTGCCAGAGCCCTCAGCCAGCAGCCCTGGCTCAGCTCTGGGGCCTGGGCTGCACATTTGAGATAGCTGACACTCTGGGCTTCTCGTCCTTAGCAAGCTGGGATACCCTGGTCATGGCTGCGTCCCTCTCCCTCAGCAGGCCCCCGGCAGCCCAACCTGGTGGACAGCGGGGGAGGGGGGTCACCCATGAGTCAAACAGGGAGACCAAGTGGCGTGACTGGGGCAGGCCCTGCCGGCTCTGATACTTAGGATTCTCACGCCGCTGGGGCACCTTCTGCTTGGTCCAGGTCTCTTTCCCCCCACCAGTGGACAGGCATACATCCGCGGCTACGAGATCTCCCAGGACATGGCTCGCATCCGCAAGAGCCTGGGCCTGTGCCCCCAGCACGACATCCTGTTTGACAACCTCACGGTGGCCGAACATCTTTCCTTTTATGCTCAGGTGAGCTGTAGGGGCAGGGGCCCCTTGGCTGGTGGACTCGGCTTTCCTGGGCGGGGGGCCTCCGGGGCCTGCCGTGAGCTTTCAGGAGCTGGGACAATAGGGGCGTGAGACAGACTCCATCGGCCGGGAGCCTGCTGGGGTGGGGCTGGCCTCACCACACGGCCTGCCCCATCTCTCTTTGGTTGCTGTGGTCTCAGCTGAAAGGCTTGTCGCGCCACAAGTGCCCCGAGGAGGTCAAGCAGATACTGCATGTGCTCGGCCTGGAGGACAAGCGCCACACCCGGTGCAAGCTGCTGAGTGGGGGCATGAAGCGCAAGCTGTCCATCGGCATCGCCCTCATCGCGGGCTCCAAGGTACGGGGCCTCGGGGGCAGGCGCAGCGGGCAGGAGGGCGCAGGCGCAGCGGGCAGGAGGGCGCAGGCGCAGCGGGCAGGAGGGCGCAGGCGCAGCGGGCAGGAGGGTGCAGGCGCAGCGGGCTGGAGGGCGCAGGCGCAGCGGGCAGGAGGGCGCAGGCGCAGCGGGCTGGAGGGCGCAGGCGCAGCGGGCTGGAGGGCGCAGGCGCAGCGGGCAGGAGGGCGCAGGCGCAGCGGGCTGTAGCTCTTCTTGGCTTTCGCGATGACTCAGGTATCTCAGCCATAGATACCCTCATCGCGGGCTCCAAGGGACAGGGCTCCACATGTACAGGATGCCAACCAAGTCTAGCTCAAGGAACCGGCCGGCCAACCTGGGCCTAGGGTGTCTGCACCTGCTTCCCATGCCCAGGTGCTGATGCTGGACGAGCCCACCTCGGGCATGGACGCCATCTCCAGGAGGGCTGTCTGGGACCTGCTGCAGCAGCAGAAAAGTGACCGCACCATCCTGCTGACCACCCACTTCATGGACGAGGCTGACCTGCTAGGGGACCGCATTGCCATCATGGCCAAGGGGGAGCTGCAGTGCTGTGGGTCCCCGCTGTTCCTCAAGCAGAAATATGGTGAGCATGAGTGAGAGGGTGGGCAGTCCTCTTGCCGCCTACCATGTGGTCAGTGCTGCTGGCCTGCTGTGCTCAGGCCAATGCTCCTTGCTTGTGTTCAGGAAAGGCCCTGAGCTCAGACTGCGAGAGGCCTCCCCCAGGCTCCCTGCTCCGATGCCCTCCACCCCTGACTGGCCAGCCTCTTTTCCCTGCACCTACCGAGACCCCAGTGTGTCTGGGAGGAGTAGGGGCACCCCCAAAGCCTCACGCCAGCCACATGTCCTAGGCGCTGGGTACCACATGACGTTGGTGAAGGAGCCGCACTGCAACCCTGCCAGCGTCGTGCAGTTGGTGTGTCATCACATCCCCAATGCCACACTGGAGAGCAACGTGGGCGCCGAGCTCTCCTTCATCCTCCCCAAGGAGAGCACACACAGGTACCCCCCAGGAAGGCTCCCGGCCACCCACCCGCCTCTGTCAGGCCAGACACTCAGCCCCGCCCTGGGCCCCACAGTCAGCTTCCTTGCTGGGGCCCAGCGTGCCCGGCCTCCTGGGCAGAGCTGGCTCATTCGGAGGCGCCCAGAGCTCACCAGGTCTGGCTGCTGCCTTTCCATGCCCATGCTGCATTGGGGGAGCCGCTCGTCTGTGTCGTCTGCCGGGGTGCGGACAAGGCCTGCGCTGTCCTGTCCGTGTCTGCTCTCCACAAGCACCCGCAGTGTCCCCCAGGAGGTTACAAAGAAAGGGGGTGTCCGTTCCTGTGCCAGTCAGTGTGACGCTAAAGTAGCAATAAAAAAAAACACAGAGGGAGCCGAGCCGTTTGAGCTGGACTTTCTGTAATTGTCTTTCAATGGCATTTTAGGGCCTTGGCTGTCCTTCACCCCTCCCCACACCTACAAGAAGAGGGTTCTCCAGGCGGACCGCCCAGGAGGCAGACCGCCCAGGAGGCGGACCACCCAGGAGGCGGACCACCCAACAGGCGGACCGCCCAGGAGGCCTCAGAGAGACCCTCCTCACTCTGGGTCCCTTCTCCAGGTTTGAAAGTCTCTTTGGCAAGTTGGAGAAGCAGCAGAAGGAGCTGGGCATCGCCAGCTTCGGGGCCTCCGTCACCACCATGGAAGAGGTCTTCCTCCGGTCGGTACAACCAGCTTTGGGTCACTTGGACTTGGCACTGGGGGTGAAGGTTCAGAAGCAGTGAGCTGCTGCCCAGTTGTTCATGGGTCCACTGGATGGGCAGTAACCTCAGAAAGTCCATCTGCTCCGGCAAGCAAGATCCCAGGAGAGGTGGCCCCGTGGAGGCTGTCCCCAAGAACCTTGTAATCTCAGGGGCAGCCTGCATAACCAGGGCATGGCATGGGCCGCCCCAGGAAAGCCCTGACTGTGGGGACCAAGGCTCAGGGGTTCTCGGGCTTCCGTGTGGCACCAACCTGGCACCTACTGTCCTGCCACCTCAGTGCCTGCTCCTGCTGTCACCCTGCCTTTGGCAGTGAGTGCTCCAGACCACATCTCCCACCACCAGGGCTGGCTGAGTGATGAGCCCTCCACAGTGCCGCCCCATGCCCTACGCCCCCTCCCTCCCCAGGCTCGTCCAGCTGTGCCCAGCTGGTGTTCCTGCTGAATGAGTGGGCAGCCAGGCTCACAGATGGACAGACAAGCCCATGAGTCCACTGGTGGTCTCCTTCAGGCCCTCTGACCTCAGCCCTGCCCCTGCCTGGGCAGAGGGGCTGGACTAGAGCGGTGCCCGTGTGTGCCCATCGCAGGGTCGGCAAGCTGGTAGACAGCAGCATGGACATCCAGGCCGTCCAGCTTCCTGCCCTGCAGTACCAGCACGAGAGGAGGGCCAGTGACTGGGCTCTGGACAGCAACCTGTGTGGACTCTTGGACCCAACGGACGGCGTTGGCAGCCTCATCGAGGAGGAGCCCACCATGCTCAAGCTCAACAGTGGGGTAGGAGCTCCGTGCCGGGCTGCATGGGGCTGGTGCGAGGAGCTCCGACTTCCCCAGCTGCTCATGGCCAGGAGGGATCCTTGAAAGGAGATGTGGGTTTCAGAAGAGTGCCTGCCAGCAGCAGAGGGGGACCCCCTCCCCTTCCCCTGCCCCTGTGCAAGGGTGTATTCCCTGCCCCCTGCAGGCTCGGGTTCTAGCAGAGCCGTTGATATTCCCCAGGGCCCTGACGTGGGCGCTCAGGTTGGATAGAACCTTTGCTTCTGAGGTCAGCCCGTGCCCAGCCCTGTGCAACCTCGGCAGCTCAGCCAACTGGCAGGTGGTCCAGTTTTTGCTTCATGGGCAGGAGACTGAGGCCCCTGGCCAAAGTCAAGTGGTCTTCCTGTGGCATCACTGGGGTCTACTCGCCAGATAGCCTGACCCTAGGCACCAGTGATCCTGGGCACCCGACCCTGGGCCCCAAGGCCATTTAGGGGTCTGTTCGCCAGGTGGCCTGACCCTGGGCACCCAACCCCGACCCCGATGCTACCCAGGCTTACAAACTGTAAAGGTTCCGGAAAGGTGGCTGGGGAGGTTGGTCCACCTGGGGTCTGCAGCCAGCAGCAAGGGGAAGGGAGAGCGTCTTAGGCGCTCCCCCAGCCACCCTGGGAGCCCATGTCTGCCATAACTCCCCCGCCGTGCTGAGTTCCAGAAGCCCGAGTGCCAGCTGCTGAGCTTCTCTAGACCCCTTCTGGGGACCCCGATGATTCTCAGTGTGGCTGGGGGTGCCACGTGGGGCAGGTGAGCTCAGATACTGGGTTCTGTCTTCCACACAGCTGGCTCTGCACTGGCAGCAGTTCTGGGCCATGTTCCTGAAGAAAGCCACCTACAGCTGGCGGGAGTGGAAGATGCTGGCCGCCCAGGTCCTTGTGCCCCTGACGGTTGTCACCTTGGCCCTTCTGGCCATTAACTACTCTTCCGAGATGTTGGATGACCCCCTGCTGCAGCTGACCCTCAGCGAGTACGGCCGCACCGCCGTGCCCTTCTCTGCCCCTGGGGCCTCCAGGCTGGGCCAGCAGCTGTCGGAGCATCTGAAGGACATGCTGCAGGCTGAAGGACAGGAGCCCCGAGAGGTGCTGGGTAAGGCGCGGGGGACAGACAGTGCACAGGCTCCGGATGCTGCAGATGTCCCCCCTGGGAAAGGGGAGTGGCACCCTAAGTTAAAGGATGTGCTCTGGCAGGGCCTCCCCGGGGATGTTCACTCCTTCAAGTGTGACTTTTGGGATGACAGCAAGACATTCCATGGTCATGGTCTTGATTGCTTGCTGTGCCCTTCCTGGCCACAGCCTCCTCCGGGAGGCAGCTTGCCCACCGGCAGCTGGGCTCAGAGGTGCCCCAGGTCTGAGAACAAGCCGGGCTCTGATGGAACGGGATGGAAGTTCCACAGCTCACCATCTACCTCTTGAGCAGTACGGTGGACGTTCAGCAGACACTGAGACCTTGGCAGAGCTCAGAATGTCCTGAGCTGCCCGCTGGCATTGCTGCAGGCACCGCTGACCAGGGAAGAGCCCCAGCTGGACCTTGCCCGCAGCGGCCCCCTGACCCACGCACTGAGGTGGCACTGTGCCCTAACTGGACCCTGCCCACACTAGGCCCTCGAGCCGCACAGTGAGGTGGCACTGTGCCCTTGCTGGTCCCTGCCCGCAGCGACCCCCTGACCCACGCACTGAGGTGGCACTGTGCGCTAACTGGACCCTGCCCACACTAGGCCCTCGAGCCGCACAGTGAGGTGGCACTTTGCCCTTGTTGGCCCCTGCATCTCCTGACTTGGCTGTCGCTCCCCAGGTGACCTGGAGGAGTTCCTTATTTTCAGGGCCTCAGTGGAGGGGGGCGGCTTTAACGAGCGGTGCCTGGTGGCCACGTCATTCAGAGATGTGGGTGAGAAGATGGTGGTCACCGCCTTGTTCAACAACCAGGCGTACCACTCTCCTGCCACTGCTCTGACCGTCGCAGACAACCTGCTGTTCCGGCTTCTGTGCGGCCCCCGGGCCTCCATCGTGGTCTCCAACTACCCCCAGCCCCGGAGCGCCCTGCAGGTCGCCAAGGACCAGTTCAGCGAGTATGTGCAGTCCACACTCCCTCCCTGGGATTGCCTGCCCACCTGGCTGGCACTGCCAGGTGTCTACACGCACAAGGGTTTCTGTCCCCCAAAGCCCTGCAGTATCTGGGTCCCCTGTCAACCTGCCCCTCTTGAGCGGCCCTTTTCACCTGTCTCCAGGGGTTTTGGTGAGTCCAAGCTTCCAGCAGGGTCAGCCTCGGGGTGGAGCTGGCAGGGCACAGTGTGAGCTATAGGGTCAGCCTCAGGTGGAGCTGGCAGGGCAGTGTGAGCTGTAGGGTCAGCCTCAGGTGGAGCTAGCAGGGCACAGTGAGCCAGCGCAAAGACTGGTTAATTTTGCTGGGTGGCTTTAGTGGCTTTAGCAGATATGAGTGAGTTAGTGTGGAACTTGCCCCCTTACCATCTCGCTCAGGGGCTGATGGGCATATTCAGTGAACATTCTGGAAGTGGAGCTCAGGACCTGCTGGGCTCAGTCTCTGTGGCTATTCAGGAGTGCCCTGGCGGGTCTGGCCATGGGATGCAGCTGCGGGGAGTCAGTGGGGACCCGAAGTGCCCAGGAAAAGCCTTCCCAGGTTCCTGGCTCCAGCTTTGCCTCCTCAGCCCCCTCTAGTGGTGCGGCCGCTGCACTGCAGGCTTGAACCATCGCGGGATTTGGGGTGAGGGCGGCCCTGGCCTTGACCCAGCCGTCCTGTGCTCTGTACCCCTAGGGGCCGGAAGGGCTTTGACATCGCTCTCAATCTGCTCTTTGCCATGGCCTTCCTGACCAGCACATTCTCCATCCTGGCGGTCAGTGAGAGGGCTGTGCAGGCCAAGCACGTCCAGTTCGTGAGCGGCGTCCATGTGGCTACCTACTGGCTCTCAGCTCTGCTGTGGGACCTCATTTCCTTCCTGGTCCCGAGCCTGCTGCTGCTTGTGAGTCAGGAAGTCCCTCCCGCAGGTCTCGGGGTGGGGGTTCACCCTAAGGAGACCTGCACAGACCTGGAGCCAGATGGGACATCTGAGCTAGGGCTCCGTCAGGAGCCAGGGCCAAGAGGGGCCGACGGGGCAGGGCCCAACGGGGCAGGGCCCGATGGGGTAGAGCCCAATGGGCGGCCCCTTCCCTGACCGCTGTGTGCCATGGGCAGGCGGTGTTCCGGGCCTTTGATGTGCGCGCCTTCGCGTGGGAGGGCCGGGCGGCTGACACGCTGCTGCTGCTGTTGCTGTACGGCTGGGCCATCATCCCCCTCATGTATCTGCTGAGCTGCCTCTTCTCCAGTGCGGCCACTGCCTACACCCGCTTGACCATCGTCAACATCCTGTCGGGCGTCGCCACCTTCCTCATGGTTACCATCATGCGCATCCCAGGTGGGAGCACGCAGCCCTCCCCAGGGCACCCCTGCCTGGCCAGCCACAGCAGGCCTCTGCAGTGTCCCTGCCGTGTGCAGTGACGACAGAGCCAGCCAGGGCCCCCTGGGAGCTGCCGCCTCGCTAGGCCTGCTAGTGGGGACCAGGCCCTAGCCCGGGAGGTCCCTGACTGGCGCTTTGCTGCCTGTGCCTGTGTCTCCTCACCACAGCGGTAAAGCTAGAAGAACTTTCCAGAACGCTGGATCATGTTTTCCTGGTGCTGCCCAACCACTGCCTGGGGATGGCGGTCAGCAACTTCTACGAGAACTACGAGACCCAGCGCTACTGCACATCCTCAGAGATCGCTGCCCGCTACTGCAAAAAGTACAGTGAGTGTCCCACGCTGGCCACAGCGGCCACAGCCCAGGGTTCCTCTGCTGGCCTTCCAAGCGGCCGGCTTTCCATGCTGTGCCCCGGTGTGGCTTCTGCTCTGTCCAGCCGTCCCTGTGTCCTGAGGCATTCAGGGGTCCAGGCTCAAGGGCGAATCAGGGGCGGGCCCGTTGCCCCCTCAGGGAGCTCCGGACCACCCCGACAGGTGGCCGTGTCCCTTCTGTCTTCATGTGACCCCTTCCTCAGGTCTGCGTCTCCAATCTCGCTCTGTTCCCCTAAGAGTATCAGTTGACCGTACAAGTCGCAGATGAGGGGGTGGGACTTGGCCCTGCACAGGTTTGACCAAGTCTCCACGGCATGTCAGATGGGAACGCTGTGGCCACCTGCAGACCCCTGGGCACCCTCGGCTGGCCCAGTCCTGTGTCTGTCACTCCAAGGACTGGGCCAGCCGTTGCTGTTTGTGTGCTGTCCCCTACTCGAAGCCATTGCTGCACACAGTGCCCAGCCGGAGGAAGCGGGTGTGTGAGTGGACGCAGCGTGCTGAGACGCACCTCACATGGTGGGAGGCCGGATGGACACAGGGTGTAGAGTGGGGCCCACGTCTCCCCTGTTCCCCACAGACATCGTGTACCAGGAGAACTTCTACGCGTGGAGCGCCCCCGGGGTCGGCAGGTTCGTGACCTCCATGGCCGCCTCAGGGTGTGTCTACCTCAGCCTGCTCTTCCTCATCCAGACCAACCTGCTGTGGAGGCTGAGGAACGCCGTGTGTGCCTTGCGGAGAAGGCGGACACTAGTGAGTGGCCGCCAGGAGCTCGGGACGCTAGCCACAAGCCCCATGTGCTTCGTCTGAGCGTCCCCATCCCCGACCAGGTCCCGGGGACTGCCTCCTTTCCCCCAGACCCGTCACTGCAGTCAGCCTTGGGGGCCTGAGTTAGTACTCTGTAGGACCCAATGAGACGTCTGTGTCCCTGCCCTCCTCCTTGCTTCCTGCCTGCAGGGCCTGAGCTGGGGCGAGGATCTCCATTCCAGCAACCCACCCCAGGTCGACCCCCAGCCCTGCCCCATCTCCCTCCAAAGAGGGGCCTAGGCTGGGATTCACCAGTGCCGTCTGGGTCTCGAACCTCCAGGCAGAGCTGTGCGCCCAGACAGCGCTGCTTCCCGAGGACCAAGACGTGGCTGATGAGAGGGACCGGGTCCTGGCCCCCAGCCCAGACCGCCTGCTGGACGCACCACTTGTCATCAAGGAGCTGTCCAAGGTGACGCAAGGCCCGTCCTGCCCCTTCCTGTCCCCGCCTGACCCCGGGGTCTCTTCACCGCAGGCTGACCACGGGCATTCTTGCAGGTGTATGACCAGCGGACGCCCCTTCTCGCCGTGGACAGGATCTCTCTTGCGGTCCAGAGGGGGGAGTGCTTCGGCCTGCTTGGCTTCAATGGGGCTGGGAAAACCACCACGTTCAAGATGCTGACCGGGGAGGAGTCCATCACTGCTGGGGACGCCTTTGTCGGGGGTCACAGCATCCGCTCTGCCATTGGGAAGGTGGGGAACAAGGCGGGGGACAGGGCTGTCTCTGGCTCCTGGTAGGCATAGTCAGCAGTGTTGGCTGGTGGGACTCACCCCAGCAGGTGGGAAGAACAGAAGAGGCTGGCCCAAAAGGAAAGCATGTCCAGTTCTGGTGCAGTGGACACCTTGCATCCAGACAGGATGAGTGAGTGTGGTGAAGAGGCCACACAGGAGACTGGGGCTCAGCACAGGGTCCCCACACTGGGCTGAGCACGCAGGCTGAGGGTAGCCTGGGAAGGCATCCTGCCGCTTAGCCCAGCGTACACCAGGGAGAAGGGACAGCAAGGTTCCTGTGACCAGGAGGTGGCTGCCAGGTCCCCCCTGGTGTGCACACACGTTCAGGCCCAGGCCTCCCAGGGTCTCCAGGACTGGGCTCTGAGCCTGCAGGCAGGGTCATATTTCCACACAGGAGATTCACAGCCCCTGAAGGGAACCATCCCACAGGCTGATAGGAAGCAGTTAGAACATGCAAAAGGCCAAGAGCCACTGTTGCTGGGATCAGTGGGGCGGCTAGCCACAGCACCCCTGGGTTCCGGAAGGGAGAGAGAATGGGAACTGACTATAACCTGAGCAAGGAGTGGCCAAGCAAGCTGGGTTTGAAGCAAGTGCTGGAGGCCTCAGTGGGCAGCTCTGCTCGCTGGCCCCCTCTGCTGGCGGAGAGCCTCCCTGCACCAGCCGGGTCTTGGTGTCCAGGCCCTCTGCCTGGCTCTCCCACCAGCAACCCTAGACACATGAGAAACATCCTCCAAAGGATGGCTTCCTTCTGACCCGCTCCCTCCGGGGCTGTGTCCTAACCCCAGGTGCGGCAACGGATTGGCTACTGCCCCCAGTTTGATGCCCTGCTAGACCACATGACCGGCCGGGAGATGCTGGTCATGTACGCTCGACTCCGTGGCATCCCCGAGCGCCATATCGAGGCCTGTGTGGAAAACACTCTGCGGGGCCTGCTTCTGGAGCCACATGCTGACAAGCTGGTCAGGACGTACAGGTGCGACCCTCGTCAGCCTCATCCCTGGCCCTGGGCCACCTGGCTGAAGCCAGGGTCCCCCTCAGCCGCCCTGGCCCATCCAGCTAGAGCTGGCCTGCCCCTCGGCCTCCCTGACCCACCCAGCCGGGTCCCCCTCGGCCTCCCTGACCCACCCAGCCGGGTCCCCCTTGGCCTCCCTGACCCACCCAGCCGGGTGCCCCTCGGCCTCCCTGACCCACCAAGCTGGGTGCCCCTCGGCCTCCCTGACCCACCCAGCCGGGTCCCCCTCAGCCGCCTTGACCATGTCTGGGTTCTGCTCAGCACAGAGCTAGGAGTGACTACAGCAGGCCAGTTGCCTGAGCCCACAGCCCTAGGACTGGGCAGGGATTGGGCAGCATGGTCCAGGCAAGGCCAACATTCAGAGCCTGTCCCGACACCAGAGGCAAGGCCAGTGTATATGGGGGCACTCCTGCTCTGCATGTGGTCCGGGACCCTGCTCCCGCCAGAGCCTCTCCCCTGGCTGTCACTGGGCAGTGGGGCCTGGGCTGCTTCCCCTGGCCCAGTCACTGGGCAGCGGGGCCTGGGGAGTCTCTTGCTGTCAGTCTGACCCTGTACCTGTCACACGCCACCCCAGTGGGGGGAACAAGCGCAAGCTGAGCACGGCCATTGCCCTCATCGGAGAGCCCGCCGTCATCTTCCTGGACGAGCCGTCCACTGGCATGGACCCTGTGGCCCGGCGCCTGCTCTGGGACACCGTGGCCCGCGCCCGCGAATCCGGCAAGGCCGTCATCATCACCTCCCACAGGTAGAGCCGGGGGTCCCCGTGGGTCAGTGAGAGAGCAGACGAGGCCGGGGAGGGCAGGCTCCGGGGTGGGCAGCAGGGCCTGTGCCTACCACAGACTCCCCGGCCCCTGGCCGTGGCCACACTCTGGAATGCCCTGACCTGGGCGTCGCCACCTTCCCGCCCACACAAGACCCCGGCGGTCAGGGTGGGTGGCGGCACCCCAGCCGTGTCTCAGGCCTCCACCCTTGTCCCCAGCATGGAGGAATGCGAGGCCTTGTGCACCCGGCTGGCCATCATGGTGCAGGGTCAGTTCAAGTGCCTGGGCAGCCCGCAGCACCTCAAGAGCAAGTTTGGCAGCGGCTACTCCCTACAGGCCAAGGTCAGGAGCAAGGGGCAGCAGGAGGCGCTGGAGGCGTTCAAGGCGTTTGTGGAGCTGACCTTCCCAGGTGTGTGCTGCCCTGCCTGAACCCCCGCCCCCAGCCACCGGGGCGAGGGTCCCTGTGCCCAGGCCGCCCTGCCCTAGCCCAGCATGGAGCTCACAGCAGCATGGTCTGATCTGTGTGCAGGAAGCATCCTGGAAGATGAGCACCAGGGGATGGTCCATTACCACCTGCCTGGCCATGGCCTCGGCTGGGCGAAGGTGAGCACAGGCCCGGGCCCTCGCTCTGACTGATGCCAGTGGGGACGGGGCGTGTCCCAGCCATCTCTCCAGGTTGAGTCTAGACTCTTTCCAGAATAAATCGCCTGATTTCCCCCTAAAACTCACCAGCAGACCTGCCAGCTCCTAAGTTTTATGCCTAGAACATTTGAGTGGAAAAGAATTGAATGCAATAGGAAAACTGACCAGGGAAGATGCAGCTGGCCCAAGGTCACACTCTGTGCTTGGAACAGAGCAGTAGCTTCTCCTGGGGGGCAGGACTGACCCCTTGGGCTCACTCCGGGGTGGGGGACTCTGGAGCCAGGCTGACAACGATCAAATCTTGGCAGGAGTGGCAGGCTGCCTGGTCCTGTTGCCAGGGAATTTGTAGAGCTGGGCCCCCGGTCCTCTGGCCAGTGACTGCTGTCCTCCACAGGTTTTTGGCATCCTGGAGAAAGCCAAGGAGAAATACGGCGTGGACGACTATTCTGTGAGCCAGATCTCATTGGAGCAGGTCTTCCTGAGCTTTGCACACCTGCAGCCACCCACCTCCGAGGAGGGGCGATGAGGGGGGCATGGTGGGAGGGACAGGAGCCAGGGCCTGTGCCACTGGTGTGCATCTGTCCCAGGGAGTCCTCCCGTCTTTCACTTTCACTCACTGTCTCCTGTGGTGGCTCTGAAGAGAAGCGAGACAGTCTGCACAGAACAGACTCAACGCACTGGCACCCTCCAGGGCAAGGCAGCCGGCAGGCCTCAGCTTCCCAGGCCCAGCCGCCGGGACTCACGCTGCCAGCCCAGACTTGGGTCTCCCAGGTGTGGGCAGGCAGGCATCCCCAGCGGAGCCTGGCAACTGGGTCTCTATAGGAGCTCACGCAGGGAAGGGGCCCGGCAGGCAGCATGGAGGAAGCGAGACCCCAGCAGGGATGAGGAGCAACCAGGCCCCCAGGCTGCTGGCAACGGGAGGCCACAGAGACAAGATGGCAGCATGGCTCGGGGCTGAGACTGCCCTCCAGGCACTGCCACCGCCAGCGTCCTGAAGTGGCTGACCCAGACCGGCAGCACTGTCCACCGCTCCCTTTAGGACAGTGGGGACCAGGGGTACCGAGCACACACTAAGCACATTGTCCAGAAAATAAAGGCTGTCTGTTTCAGACATGTCATGAGCTCCATCACTCACCCACCAATCCCAGCAGGAACCCCACTTTCCCCATGGCTGAGGGGGACAGCCACCAAACAGTGAACAGGTGGGTCCCTGTAGCGGGGGAGCAGCTGGCCCCTGGACACAAAGTTCTCTTCTAGAAGATTCTTCCTCAGTATTAGCTCCCTTATGTGTGCAGTGTCCTGAGGTTTTTCACAGCTTTATTTTGACTTAAGTCCCTGCATTTGGCATTACCTTACAATTCACCATTTTAGGAAAATTTCTTCTCCCTGTGGCCCTAGGGCACTTCTTATTTATACTTTTCTCAGTTTCTCAAACTTTTTTTTAAAAAGATTTATTTATTTTTATTACAAAGTCAGATTTATATAGAGAGGAGGAGAGACAGAGAAAAAGATCTTCTGTCTGACAATTTACTCCCCAAGTGACCGCAGTGGACGGTGCTGCGCCGACCTGAAGCCAGGAGCCAGGAACCTCCTCCAGGTCTCCACACAGGTGCAGGGTCCCAAGGCTTTGGGCCATCTTCAACTGCCCTCCCGGGCCACAGGCAGGGAGCTGGATGGGAAGCAGGTATTAGAACCGGCGCCCATTCGGGATCCTGGTGCTTTCAAGGCAAGGACTTTAGCCACTAGGCCACGCTGCTGGGCCAGTTTCTCAAACTTGATGAAAGTACAGGGAGCTTTCAGTAGCTTCCAACAGACAGATGTACAAAGAAGAGACACAGAGAGAAAGATCTTACATCCACTGGTTCACTCTCCAAGTGGTTGCAATGGCTGGAGCTGAGCTGACCTGCAGCCAGGAGCCAGGAGCCTCTTCTGGGTCTCCAGGATGGGTACAGGGTCATAAGGCTTTGGCCCATGGTGTACTGCTTTCCCAGGTCACAGGCAGGGAGCTGGATGGGAAGTGGAGCAGCTGGGACATGAGCTGGCGCCCACAGGAGGTAAATACAGAGATGGCTGGGAGGGAGCCCCATTGTGGATGCTCAGCTTGGCCTGAGTCACTTCCTCCAACACTCAAGGCACTGTCCCTCACTAGGCCCCAGGGCAGGCGGGCTGGGCAGCTCAACCAGAGCACCTGTTTCCTGTTGTCCCACCTGAGTGGCACTGTCCCCGTGACCGTACTGCTCACCTGGGCCAGCACAGCACTCACTGCACAGGCAGCTGTGCCCTCTGTATCCCCTGCCCCAACAAGGACCAGCCAGTGCCACCTGAGCCTGCGCTGCAAGTGGAGTTGTAAGGAGAGCTCTTGGGGTAGGTGGCCTGGCCCCACTGGAGCCCCAAGGGGCTGCCCTCCGTCCACGCCCCCACGGAGAAGACAGCCCACACACCCTCCTCCCCACGGCTATCATGAAAACCCCAGGACCTGGGCAGCCCTTGTCCTTCTCCCAAAAGAACCCTTAAAAGAGGGGGCCTCGGGGCTGGGGAGCAGGAGTCTGAGAGGGGGCAGCAAGCCTGGCCCTAGGCTTCCACAGGCCTCCCTCACACCCAGGAGGCAGGACAGCACTGGGGGGCCCCTCCTCACCGGCTGGGCCCTCCAGGCCTGGGCAGGCTGCAGCTGTGGGGTTGGCCCTGGGGAAGGGAGGACCCTGTCTCAATAGTTGCTCAGGCCCCCACACTGCCAGCATGGGGTGCCCCACCTAGTTGGCCTGTCCTGTGACACTGCAATGAAGTGCAACTAGCTGTCACTACCTCAGAAGTACATAAGAGGCTCCAGGGGTGCTCGGACCCCCACGTCCACTGCTCCAACCCTGGGACCCTCCAGAGGGCAGCCTGTGCTGCTGTCTAGGATAGTCTGGGGTGGCTGCTGTAGGAACCTCAGTCCCTGGCAACACCCGGGGGGACCCCATGAATCCAATCTGTCTAGGGCAAGATCACCCCAAACTGTGGGACTTCCCCTGCAGTCTGGTTAACCCAGGAGACCTCCGTTCCTCCTCAGACGGGCACCAGGCCTCAGAGACCATATGCTACCCAGGCCCCAGCCCCAAGGCTCCACCCTGCCTGCCACCCCTGCCCATCCAAAGCTGCTGGAGTTCACTGCCCTTTGCAGCACACCACAGGCTACCTGTGTGTGCAGAGGCAGAGGCAGCCCTTTCCTAAGGGTGCCCACGCTGCTGCGCCCCAGACTGCCGCTAGGGAAGGGGGCTGAAGACACTGGCCACAGCCTCAGCCCAGGCAGGACCCTCCAGCGTCAACCTTAGCAGGCTGGCACCAGGGCTGGGAGCACAGCGGAGTGGGTTCCCACCACTGAACCTCTGCCAGTCTCCAAGCGCCACAAGCCAGGCCGCTCAGTTTGTAGCTGCAAAGCTGGTGGCACATTTGATAACAGAATTAGTGATATTCAGAAACAAATCTCTCACCTCCCTGTGTGCCTGAATAAATCACGCTTTTAGATTTAATATAAAATGTGTTATTTTTGCTGTGCCAAATTATTAAAGAGCATTAAAAAAAATTTTTTTTTAGATTTTTTTATTGGAAAGTCAGATATACAGAGAGAAAGGCAGATTTCCAGAGAGGAGAGACAGAGATTCACTCCCCAAGTGGCTACAATGGCCAGAGCTCAGCCAATCCGAAGCCAGGAGCCTCCTCCAAATCTCCCACTTGGGTGCAGGTCCTAAGGCTTTGGGCCATCCTCGACTGCTTTCCCAGGACACGAGCAGGGAGCTGGATGGAAAGAGGGGCCACTGGGACACAAACCAGCGACCAGATGGGATCCCAGTGTGTGCCAACGTGAGGACCTTAGCCACTAGGCTGCCGCGCCAGGCACAATGCAAGGGAGAGCCTGCCCTCTCCCCACACCGGGGTCTGGGGCCTCTTTGGCCAGGCGCTTCAGGTGCTCCCCAAGTCGCCTTCAAGGCCCACCAAAGCCATCAACAAGCTGGGGACAGCAGCCTCGCACCAGACCTGCTTGTCCTCCTCCTCCTGCTCTGAGGGTTCCTCCCATGGGCGGGCCCCAGCAGGCAGGCTGCCCAGCTCCCCTGCCCCCCGGGGTGACGGGAGAAGGGCACCAGTGCCACGCCTGGATGGGGGAGGCAGTCAGCATGAGCCTGCTGGACGGCAACCCTGGCCCCAGGAGCGGGGAAGGGGACGCGAGGACACCGCTGGGCTCAGTCTGCCCTGTGTCCCTGAGGCCTGCCTCGCCTCTCCAGCCCCCTCCCGCCCTTTACCCAACCTCACACCCCGTCTCTTGTCCTCTCGTCTAACAGCCCACAGGTCAGGGAGGGCTGTGGTCTCCTTTCTCCAAAACCCCGGCTCGGAGCTGCCATCTGGGGCCGAGCACCCCCCCCCCGCCCTTCCACAAACTGTCACAGGACAAGGACTCCAGGAAGGTGGCCGGGGCTCAGCGGGGCCCCTCGGTGTGACCCGTCCCTCCCGGGCCTTCCTTCAGGGGCGGTCGGGGTGGCATGGCCTTCCGTGCACTCCGCCACCCCCGGCCCTTGCACCCAGATTCCAGCGCCCCTTTGGGCCTGCTCCCGGCTGCGACGCCATCTTCCCGCCCTCGGCTCCTTCCCTTCCTCCCCGCCTTGAGCTCCAGACTTCTCCGCCCCGCCGCGATCACAGTTCGAGTCCCGCGTGTACGGGGTCACCCCGTCCCTGCCGGGTCCACGGCACCCCTGGGGTTCGTCCCGCCCGCGCCGTGCCCAGCGGCCCATCCCGCCCCGTTCCCGCCCCGTTCCCGCCCAGCCAGAGGACGCCCAGGGCTCCTCCACCTGGGCGACGCCGCCTGCCCTTTGACCCTCCCCAGGCTCGCGCCCATTGGCCGAGGCGCTGCGTCATCGCCGCGCGCCGCCCGGCGGCCCCTTCCCGCGCTCGGGCGCTGACGACAGAAGGGCGCCGGCCTCGGCGGCTGCGGACGCAGGAGGCGGAGGGAAGATGTAAGTGGCGGGGCCGAATCCGACCGCATCCGAGCGGCGGGGGCCGCCCGCCAGCCCCGGAGGGCCTGCTCCTGGCGTGGGCCGGCTGCCGCGCCCCGCCAGGCCCCCGCGGGCCGGCTGCGCGGCCCCGAGCGCTCAGGAGAGGCGCTGTGGCCGCGGCGGCGAGGGGCGGCGTCGCGGCCCGGAAGTGGCGGGCGGGCGGCGGGGCCGGGGGGCGCGCGGCCTTGCGGGAGGGGTCTGCTGCTCGCGTGTGACTAACTCTTCTCTCCTCTCTCTGCTGGCCGCGCACCCTCCGGAGGACGGGGACGTCCCCGAGGCCCTGGACTGGTGTGGACAGAGGAGCTCAGCCTTTGCTTTCTAGCTCGCGACCGCACCCAGCGAGGCGTTCGCTCTCCCCGTGGCTCTTGATTTTTTCCTGTCTAGTCTGAAGCCGGTGGGACCCGTTCCCCGCAGAATGCAGGGGTGGGAGGGCCCGCCCTGTCCAGCAGGGTGGCCGTTGGGCCCTTGAGAGGCCCGGAGCCGACCGTGAGGAAACAGGACCCTGCTAGCCTCTCTTCCGTTGGGAAGGTGAAATTTTGGATATGGCGTGTTGAGCATGTGATGCAAAATTAATTTCGTCTATTTTTGCGATGAGGCTGCAAGAAAATTTGAGGTGGTGCTCGGGGCGCGCCTCGTTTCCCCTTGAGAATTCAGAAACTGCGTGTGACTGTGCACACAGGTGTTATGGCAGTTTGACAAGTTAATGCAAAAGTGAAAAGACAAGTTTAGGTGCAAACAGTCTGAAACCGTGCGTATTTTCATGACGTGTGCCTCCCGTGCCCTCTGAGGAGCCCTGCTAGGGTCGCCACACCAGGTGTGTTCCATGGCTCACCGCGCTGATGGCGGTGAAGGGGGCCGTCCTTGTCACCGGAGAAGGGACGAGTGGCCGGCACAGGGCCTGTGCGGCTGCACCGCCGGCCGCCCTCGCTGTCTGCTGGCAGGTGTCGCTGGGGGGGTGACAGGACTGCTGTGCGCCCGCCCCTGGCTGCAAGGCACCCAGTGCAAGCATTGCAGGCCGTGCTCCTGGAAAGCAGCCATGAGGAATCTGACTCTGAGTAGTGACTTGTTAGCATGCGTTAACCAGT